CGGTGCCCGATCATGTAGCACTGGAAGTTCACTAACTTCTCCTCGTAGGCGTCAGGAAGTCGCCGGCATAAGGTCGTCCACCTTCGGATGGAAAATCCTTGGCGTTTCATGATTCGGTGAAACCACCCGCGGCTGGCACGAAACTGGACACGCGGTATGCCGTCTTCTCTTGCCAGCCTCAGAGCTTCGATCTGGGCCATCTCTGTTGATACGGCGTGGTCGCGGCCTCTCTTCTCCACAATGAACTCCACCAGCTTGGCTTCGATCTGGGGCTAGGCTCCAGTCTTGGGACCGCGGAAGGACCTGCGGTCCCGGCTTGCACTTTGAAGATCCTGCTTCTTTGCTCTCCACTCGCGTGTACAGGATTCGTCGACATCATACTTTCGGCCTGCTGCACGGTTCTCGGTCTCTTCAGCAACGCTGATTATTTTGAGTTCCTGCTCTGCCGTAAAGGACTGCCGCCGAGCACAGCTCATGTCGAACGGAACGTGACGACCAAAATGGCAAGATCGACGTTTCCTGCTTCGTTCTCCCTTCGCGAGTGTGCGGCCAGTCCAGCGTTTTGACGCGCAGACAATGCAAAGATGGCAACTCCTAAAAAGAAGAAAAACAAGGAGAGACGGGAGAAAGTACCTAGGAAGCAACGGCTAAGAGGGATTCTGGGGAATTAACGTTCCTGCCGACCATGCGGCTCGATGCGTACTGTCGTGAAGCCACACTCTCGTTTGAATTTGCGTATTATCGAGGTCCCTACTTTGCCTTGGATTTTTTAAAAGTTTTGATGCGGGTAATACACGAGAAAATATGGTAATACATAATGTTATTGTAACCACGAAAAATATACACACAAAGTCAAGTCTGGGGTGTTCTGCTCACTCGCCGCCGCACTTCTGGTGGTGTCGGAACCTCGGATCCCCTAGGCGTTTTCCGGATGGCGAGGACTTGATGTTCGGTGTCGGCGGTAATTCCCCGGCAAGCCTAGTTGGTGCCCCCCCGGGCCTCAGACGTCCATCCAGGACATTACTTCGCTTCTAAAGCCCACGGCGTTGAGCTGTGTTCATTCCTTTAATGTCCTACTCCAAAACCGCCCTGCACGAGCTTGCTTGAGCCGTCACATCTGTGATGTTGTCTTCCTTTTCTTCTATGTCCCGTTCACATCATCACACCATGGCGCAGCGGCCAATGGGAGCGCCGTCGACATGCGCCAGCCAATGAAACCGAAGGCGAATTGCTCCTATTGGGATCGTGGTGGAAACTAGGAGCCATTTTCGCGCTTCAAACTGATGACGTCAGCTCGCAATATGAGACAGTTAATGCTTTCACATTAAAAAACAAACAAAAAAAACCCCTTTAGGTGCGCATTTTACGACGAACACGTAAGAACGGCAAAGTGTCTCTTTCGAAAGCCTGGCCTCCAGCACGTGCTCAATGCCTTCTGGCATGCTTTGGCTGTGCGTGCACACGCCACGAGATGCCCAGGCGTTATTGAAACTAGGAAGCTCACGCTGGATGCGGGACAACTGAAGCTGCCCCCTGTTGTTTTCATTCTGTCTGCGACTAGAGACGATGATTAGTCTGCAGTGATGACGTCAGTCCCGTCGTCATCACTGCTTCGTTCTCAAAGCATGGCGTTGTCCAACAAAATCTCACACTTTCCAAATGACAGCGTCACCCGCATCTTTTGCGCTTGCTCGGTGATTGCATCGCACGTCTCGGGTAGAGACTGAATGCGCACTTCTGCGGCGTATGTTGCAAGCCTGACCTCTTTTGGAATTCATCTGGACCTATCCAGACTTTGGCCCATGAAAGCATCTTTGTTTGCCATCACAAGTAAGAACTTAAGATCTTGTGCCGTTGCAGATGCCACTGGAGCACCACCCGTTCCGACGGTTCGAACTTGCTTCCAGCAGTGCAGTTGTTGGTTGCTTTTGAATAAAGAACGGCCACAAACGAACACCGAAAAGCTAAACTGCTCGGATCACGCGTGTCATTACAGAGAAAACGTAGTTGACATTCGAGCGTGATCTCGACACTCGATCAAACGACGTGCGAACGTGAATCGTGCAAAAAGGAACAGCGGGGGGAGTGAGACTGGTAAGGCTGTTCCAGCGGCCATTCAGGAGTGGCTCTTACATCGAGTGCCACCACCCCCAAAGGTCTGGCGCGTCGTGCACCGTTCGCCCAACGAGTGTTCACCGCCGTACATTCGGGCTAATTTGCGAATCGCTGTTAATAGTACTAGTTTGCGCAAATTAAAAAAAAAAGAACTTGTAAAATGAGCAAACAGAATAGCGTGCTACAAGTACAACCAGCTAAGCTCATAACAAGCTGAGGTGTTCTTGATACCACGATAGTTTCGTTTTGGTCGGTGATGGAATGCCTTGGTTTGATTATAAGTTGACCCCCTCCACTTCAGATTTTCGAAAATTGAAGAATAGATTGACCTACACTTGTGTAGACACAGTACTTTCGCTTCTTGTCGCTCACGGCGGCTCGCAGTCTTGCTTGCGCCTTTGTATTTGGTCTTTCGTCGCTTCGCCCATCTTCACCTTTTGTTTCTTGTTGCCATTGTGCAACGGTGTCAGTGAGGTATTGTTGCGAGTTTGTGAGGATGTCGACGAAGTTTCCGATGACGATGACATGTCCAGAAGTTCTGAGGATAATCAAGCTTTTGGCATTGCACTGTGATCTAGCTGAGATGAAAAATAGCGCAAAAAACACAAGGATGCAGAGGAGAGAATTACACAAAGGACAGTGCCTTGTCCTGTATTTAATTCTCGCCTCTGTGTCCTTTTGTTTTTCGCGCTGTTTTTTATCATGAGCATATACCAACTACCCCAACTGTCCTTTCTAGTCAGCTGAGAGCACTGTAAATAAAGGCTTGTTTCTTTCTTTTGCCCAAACTTTCCTCTAATATTTAAAAAAACAATGGTTGACCTGCCATAAAATAACAGGGAGGCACCCCCTTCACTTTCACTGAAAACTGGGTTACTCTAGACCTGGGCGCTTGTCCGGTCAAATCAGGTGCTTAATGTATAATTTTCAGAATTCCCAAGTTTCGGAGATGATAATAGTTGGCACTTGAACGAAGTGGGCGCTTCCACGGTGTGTTACGGTATATTTGAATTATCTTTTTTTATTCTGGGCGAGTTTAATATAAGGCCATTGACCTATATTCATGGTCGACTTATATTCGAGTAAATACTGTATGTACATTTGACCTCGCAAATATTGCAAAAACCTTTGCTCTAGTGAACCGCAGTTCCAGGGTCACCGCATAGATGGCGCCAATGTGCCATTGTGTTCTATCGTCGTAAGAGATTGTAAGAAGTTTTAAGGCGCTCTGCCATAAGCAGTCGCACGTGTGTGAACGAGCCTTCTTACATAAAATACATTTTTAGGTCCTAAATTTCGGTGCAATCGTTCATCTACCAAGACACGTGTCGCGACTTCGGACGGGAATGCCACTGGTTGTTTTTGTGGCCACGTGATCACTTACGCCAGCCAGTGGGAATAAGGTGCCACCCGCGAGGGAGCTCCACTTCGATGACGACACTCCGTATCAATCTCTTCATCATAATGTTTTTGTGTCTCAATCTTGCGTCTTACGTTTCTGCTCAGTCACCCTCACTAAAAACACATCATACATTTTAGTAGTTCCAAATCAAAAAGAATCGCAGAACCCAAACGGAGCCACGGAGCTTTTGAGTGGCAGTCGGCAAGGGACGAGTCCTAGAGCAGAGTATGTGCCCCATAGAGTTATTATAATGTACGCTAGAGGTTCAACTGGCGCTAGTGTGCTGCTGCAAATCGAAGCAGACTGCAACCAGTCCGAAATTGACTTCCGGTAATGCATTTCTATGGGAAAAAACGAGTGCATTTTCTCGCTTCGCTCGATTACAAAAGCAAATATCACGAATATTTCATATGCACTAGGCACATTGGAACATATCTCAGTCACGCAGACGAAATAATTGGTCAGTTACGGCATTTTTATTTGAAATTCGTGGCATGAAAAACGGTGCTAAAACGGTTTTGTACATGTATTTGTGTGCACTGTCGGACACTGTTAGCGCGAACACGGCGTCGGCGCTTTTTGCGTGGGGGATATACGTGTCAAACGAACGAAGGACATGTGTAAAACCAAGAAAGACGGCAAAAACTATGCAGTAACACTGGATAAGTAACTCCTTGTGCATGAAGGCGATCAAAATAAATTGAAAGCCACGTAATATAGTATGATTTGCAATAAATAAGTACTGCTTTATTTTTTTCTGCCCATGAATATGTGCGAAGATGCATGTTCTGGGTTCAAATCATCAACAGCACGCTCCAAACCTTTACAAATAGGGAGAAGTCGGAGAACAGGTGCCCGATAAAAACTGCCTGACATAAGAGATAATAAAAAGACACACCTTTCGCAGCCCACATGCTTTATTTTTTACATTCAAATGTTCTTTAACCGATCGTAAAGATGCACGACGGAGTCATATTCGTAGAGTGACAGGACGGGCATATTAGCAATATATAAGTGCCACCGGAATGCTAGCGAACTTTGAACACACTCTACATTCCTTTCGATCGTTAGGTAGCTCAGAATCGTCGCTCGTTTTTACATACCTGCCATGGAACAGAGGTTTGGGCCTGAAATATAGCGAAGCATAACATCGTTCAACGGTAAAGAAAAATGCTGTAATTAAAGCAATTGTATTTTTACAATATTAATAAAGATACATACTATCCGGTACAACCGAAATAATAAAATTTATTTCTGTTATTTTCCGGCGAAGAGACGAAATTCACGCGCGTTTTCCCATAGGAATGCATGGGAGCACCGCAAAAGTTGACTGGTTGCTGTCTGCTTCAATTTGCCTCCCGAAAGTCGCATAGACACTAGCGCCAGTTGAACCTCTAGCGTACATTATAATGACTCTATGATGTGTCCCGAGCGATTGTGAGCGTGCCATGATACACCTTTAAAATCCGTTTAGGGTGGCAAAATGCAAAGTCCACCTCTGCTCATGTATAAAATGCCCTAGCCTTTATATTTAATTTCTCTTTCTGTGTCCCAGGTCCGTGTCGCCTTGGTGTCGATGTTGTTGATTCACCGTTGTGTCGGCCTTAATGAGCACATCTTTTCTCTCTCCGCAGGTGCAGAGCCGGAGGTGCAGTCGCCGCACAGCCAGGTGCGGGAGGCGCTGTCGTCCAGGGAGTCCTTCCTCAAGCATTACCTGGTGAGGACGAGCGGATGAGGTGGCGGGGGCCCTCACCCGGGGGTCCCCCTCACCCTTGCAGAACCTGTCGGAGCGCACCATGATCACCTTCAAGCACCTGGGCCGCATCCGGTCGGCAAGGCTGGTGGGCAAGGACATGGCTGAACTCTACATGTGAGCGGACGCCGGAGTGTTCCTACAGCTTTTAAACGAACGCTTTTTAAGGCACTTCAGACGGCCCGCAAAAATCGGTTTCTCAATGTATCGCGCTGCAATTTACTACAGAAGTGCAAGCAGGTGGTGTTTTCCTCTGGCAGGGGTGTGATAACTGCGCCAATTGCACCATTTTGATACAAACCGAATTTTCTGCTCTTAGTTGCGCCAGAAATGTGAAATCTGTCGAAATTGCGCCACACTGCGCCAAAGTAACTCAAAAACAAAAAAAAAAGTTTGCGGCAACACTAGATTTAGCGGAAAACGAGAGCTTGGTTGGCAACATTCAATCTCGTTGTAGTAAAGTACACGGCACGGTTACAGGGTGGCGCAAGCAACTGCCATATTCAAAGATTTCAGCTGTAGTACCCTTCTATACCTATGATACGTGATCTTTTCCCAATTTTCCTACCTCTTTCCGCTGTCAATCGTGACTGCATGCTAACGGTGCGCTGTCACGCGGTCTCGCTGTCTAGCCGCGGGAGGTACGACGCACAGGCTATCAAGATGAGCAAACCTAAGTATTTCTTTCGTTTTGAGAGTAAACTTTTTTTTAAAAGTGCTATTGAGCGCCTCCATTGTGTAATTGTTCATTCGTGTCCGTAATCTCGTCAAAATGGGCGTCGCCGTCGCCGTGAGTACTTTCGGTCACACACGTGTGCGTGAGCAATCAAATTCATCAGTCACACACCTGTATTTAGCGTGCATGTAGTGCTTATAGTTTTTCTACCAATTCAATATTTACCTTGTGACTCACTTTTGTGGGGGGCTTTTTCCATCTGCTTATGCTTTCTACGAGCGTCCGATCGATGTGTGGTTGTAGTAAACCGTGCTTCCCTCTCCATGCTCTCGAATCGCCGCTTTAAAAAGTTTTGCACTACAATTGCGCTTTGGCACCAGTTCGTATAAGCTTGAGGTATCTGGTACCCACCTAACTTTGCAGCAAGCCTCATCTTTGCGCATAAAACTCGCGTTTGCCTTTTCCGTTTCTTTTTTCTTTTATATTTTATCTCGGTGTGTATCAGCGCTGATGACTTATTGGAACCAGGGTGGACAAAATTAACAATTCAGAAAGAACAATCTGATTTATGTGATTTATATAAGATTTTTTATGATTTAAATTGCTGATAAGCTGCTCTAACATTTTCTGCTCCTAATCTGCTCCAAACTGCAGATTTTTGTGCTTCGAAGTTACTCCAAAATGCATAAACTGCTGCTCCGAAACGAGAATTTTGTGCTCCTAAGCTGCTCCAAAATCCTGATTTTTCTGCTCCAAAAATTGCTCCAAAACCTGTTTCACCTGTCTCGCCCCTGCTCTGGTCATTTCACACAACCAAGGCAGAGCATGCACATCAATAAAATTGATATGGCATGTGCATGTAACAATTTCAGAGAGGCACTCGTCCATTCTTGCAGTAGATATATTTTTTAGGGATGTGCAAATATTGAAATTTTCTAATACGAATCGATTATGAATAAGGAAAAAAACTGAGTTTGAATATCGAATATGTGTTTATTAATAATAAATTGCAAAACAAGAGGTAACAGCAGGCTTTATTTCCATTTTAAAATAAATCAATGCCACTGCATTTTACTGGGCTGCAGCAGGCTAAAGATGCTTCTAGTAATGCACCCATTAAAAATTATCATGTAAGAAAATTAGCTGCTCAACGTGTTTAGAAAGTATGCGCTCCCTATGCGCCGTGACAACATTTCGGCTAGTACAAACGACCCTTTCGCTCCGGACTGATGTAGCGGGGATGGCCTAGTACTTCTGAGCGAGTTTGCTTAAATGCGGGAACTTGAAGTGGACAGTGCGCCCCCACCACTCGCAAGGACCTTTGCCCCTGTCCAGAAGAGGCTTCTCGGCGTGTTCTATAACTTCCCTCTCTGGGGCAGATGCCAACTGAGTCTTCTCCTTGTTCATCACTAGATGGTCAAAAGCGTTCCATACACTGGATGCAACAAGTGGACACGAAGACGACGCTTGTATGGCAGTGTCCCCACTTGGTCCCACAACAGCTGACTGGAGCTCCCTTGTCGAAGGTCTTTCAGCCAGATCATATGGGCAGATGCCAGATGAACTGCGACTTTAAAACGAAAGTCAAGAAACATGGCCAGGCTGGCCACTTCATCAAAGTCACACTCCGCCAAGCGAGTCTTGATACATTTTTTTAGATTTTCAGCAAATCCCGAGTTATTTTTGCAACCGTGAAGGCAATGCAGAATTCCAAAAAATAATTGGAATTGGACATGGCAATGAGGAGTACTTTTCATCACTTGTGATCACAGTTGCATCAAACAAGGGCATCAATGCCTCTACAAACTCCACTGCATACCTCCACTCGGCAGTGTTAAAGCCATCTATGATACAGTCCAAAGTGGCAAGCTCAAATGTGATTGCTTCTTTGAGTTTGAGGAGCCTGGAGAGCACGAGGTACTGACTATTCCATTTTGTGTCAACGTCCTGGACAACATGGCGCACGTCTTTGTTTAGCTGCGTATGCAGATCGTCCAGTCGTTTCTGCACACTAGAGCTATGCTTGTAATGTTCTACAATCCATCTCGCCTTGCACAGTTTGTTGAGAGACTCGCATCCTCACATCGCTGATCGCCAGCTGCACGGTGTGCGCGAAACAGGCTCGCTCGAACCATGGCAGTTTACGTTTCGACTGCGCGGGAGTGGCAGGAGTTGTTGTCGATGGCGATGCAGTGTTCTGCTCGCACCTAGCTTTTTCTGTTTTTAATTTTCAAACATTTATATTAGATAATACTCTCGAGATTTATTTTATATTTATATTTCACTCTCGAGGTTTATTTTACTGTATCAATTTCTAGAACGTGCAATTACATCACATATTGCTATAAAAGTGCCACACAACAAAGGGCTTGGTGAAAAAGAAACCGAAACTGATCCTGTCTTGCCGCTATCGATGGATGGAAACAGAGCAGATCAATAACACACACAACATATGCATTTCCCAGTGAATAAACACATTCATAGGGGAATGCGTGGCAGGCAGATTATTTTTTACTTGCTCGAATATTCGCAGTTTGTGCAAATATTTGCCGTTTTTACCGAATATTCGCAGTGACTGAATATTCAGGAAATTCTGAATATGCAATTTTCGAATTGAATATGTTTCGAATAAGGAAAATATTCGACTGATATTCAAAATTTCGAATATTCGCACACCCCTAATAATTTCGTGTTTGGTGAATAAAAGGTTGGTAACCAGTCCCATGACACGTCTTGAATTTTTGAAGATCATTCCTATAGACAGATGGAGTACACAAGATCAAGAAATGAGCGCCTATTTTATCCACTTCATGGCAGTAGAGGTGTGCGAATATTTGGTTAAATTTATTACTTTTCCTTGAACCGTTATGTGAACCAATTAAAACGGGTTTGAACCGTTATTTTTTCTGCTCCAAAGCTGAACCTGAGTTTCGGTTTGGCACCCTTATTGAAACATGCTCGTGACACGCTCCACTTCCGAATAAATGCTTGTCTTCATCATTGTAAGGGATCGGGAGAACACAAGCATGTGTCGTGTGTACGGCATGTCTGAAACCCTCCCAAAGCTCCCCGTAACCAAGCCGAAGTGTGGCGAATTATAATGCACGCCTAACTCGCACACGACAGACTCTGCTCCCCGGGTTATCAGCATGATCGAGACAAGTTTTAATTCTTTCTTTCTCCTAGTGTGGAGGGGAGCCTCGCCATAATGCGTGATCCCAGAAAGCCCAGTAATTTAAATGGGAACTTACGTGGGATGTCTCCTTCACTCCATGCTTTGCACCTGCTCCCTGCAGCCGACTGGGGCAGCCTGAGCGTGCGGTGCCCTTCCTGACAGACCTTCTTCGCACGCAGTCGGACGAGGGCTGGACCCGGCTGGCTCTGGAGACCCAGCAGGAGCTCTGCAGGTGGGTCATCATCCTTCTGTTATTCTTTCGTTGCCCTTCCTTTGTTCTTTCATCATTTTGCCTCCGTTCTTCCAATATTTTCTATTGCCCTTCCTTCGTTCTTTCATCTCATCTGTTATTTTCTCATTTTGCTACATTATTTTGTTATGCTTCCGTTGCCCTACCTGTTTGTCCATCATTCTTCCTTCATTCTTCTGTTATCCTTTTGTTGCTCTAGATTTGTTCTTTTGTCATCTTTCTTTATTCTTCTGTCACTCTTTTGTTGCCCTTTCTTCATTCTTTCTTGGTTCTTCCATCATTCTTTCCTCATTTTTTTTGTTGGAGAAGCTCCCAGGCCCCAGCACTGCATCCAGCAAAGTTCGCACAAACAGCCATATTCATTTCAGGAGAAGCCTTTAGATCAAGTAAAGCTTTATCCCTACTGCTTCATTGAGCTGTGTCCATCCCTCGACGTCTTTGTTGATGTGATTACCTATGAACACGACTTAGTGCTGTTGAGTCGGATGTGTCCTGCTAAACATCCAAGTTTATAAATAACCATCCACTCCTGCAATGGCTCACAGATTATGATCTTCAGTAAATAAATAAATAAATGGATTTTGCCAATTCGGGTAGTATAGTGAACATATTTCTGATTCCTGTTGACTTCATTACCTTTTGTGCTACTTATAATGCCTTGAGAACTAGGAACTGGTATAGTGATAGAACCCCAAGGAAGGTTGCAATGAAGCGGCTACGAACATCGGTCTATGCTGGCAGTCATCATCTGCCATCTGTTGTATTCTTTGACCTCCACAGGTTCAACTGTACAAAGTACAAATTCCAAAACTTGAACAGTACGACAGGTTCACCAAGCACCGAAGTACCACATACCCCACAATTTGCATCGTTAAAACTCGGTCAGCCAGTTCTAACAGGTAAAGGTGTGTGAATGGTGATTCGAACCTAATGGCGCTGCGTTGTTACCACTCTTCACAATGCGAGGGAGTGGCATTGCATACCGACTCTTCTTACGATGTTGAAGCTAGTGATGACACTGTGCTATTTTATTTGAAGTGATGTTTGCACGCCCCTACTGACCAGATGTTACAATTGACGACTTCCACTGAGGTCTAGCCTCCCCCTGCTTTTGCAAAAAATGCAGAAGAGAGGCGACAGATTTGACGAAGCTGAATTGACCGGAATATTGTCCGATGCATCACTGACCACGTTCCAAGATTTCTTCGATCTCGCTCCACATAAGGGGTTTTGTACCTTGGCATTTGAAAAACCACTCACATTGAGCAATGCTCAGTCTGTGTCAGGGTAAAAACGAGAGCAGAGTGCAGTAAATTTTATGTGTTGATATCATTGGTCCTAGGAAAATGAATATGAGAGCAACAGGAAGGCGAAAAAAGAAAGCAGACCATAGGTTAGGAGTGTTTGTTTTTCTGTGGTGAGTTGAAAGTGTTCAAGTGCTTGTGAACTTCTGTTTATATATATATACTACAATATAAATCAGCCCCTCCCAATTCTGACCAATAAAAAAAAAAAAGTTTTTTCAAGAAATATTTTTACAGCAGAGCTGTTAAGGGCTAGGTTCCCCAGGATTCTGTCTGGTACCAAACAAATGTTGACACAAAACTCTAGACAGCTACCGCCATCTATGAGCGACGGCGGCAACCAGACAACCGGCCTGTTGGCCTCGCTCATAGATGGCGACAACCTTTCCAGCCTTTCCACTCTGGTTTTTACCAGAGTGGAAAAACTGAATTTCTCTAGGCGTGATCCTAGAAGTCGTCCTTGAGGTCGTCCTAGACGTCGTCCTTCAGGTTGTCCTCGAGGTCGTCCTAGAAGTCGTCCTTGAGGTCGTCCTAGAGGTCCTCCTAAAAATCATCCTTGAGGTCGTCCTAGGTGTTGTCCTCGAGGTCATCCTAGAAGTAGTCCTTGAGGTCATCCTAAACGCCGTCCTTGAGGTCGTATTAGACGTCGTCCCTGAGGTCGTCTTAGGCGTCGCCCTTGAGGTTGTCCTAGACGTCGTCCTTGAGGTTGTCCTAGACGTCGTCTTCTGGGCGTCGTCCTTGAGGTCGTCCCATCAAAGTACAGCTTCGTTGGTCTTCCTTCTTCACCAGAGCGGAAAGGCTGAAAGTTTTTTTTTTTAAATATTTATTTTTGAGATACTCTAATTTGACATACCTATTTCTGAAAAGGTTGGCTTATATGCTGTAATATGTGATAATGCTTGATGCCAGTGTTTTACTACTACAAAATAAAGGCTGGAACGCCCCAAAACAGGCAAGTGATGTTTTCCACTTTTTTGTGTATATTAAGCGTCACCGGCGACTGGCCCATCGAGACCACCGATGTCCATGTCTAAGCCCCACTGTTTCAAAGCAGCTGAAATGCATGGGTCTTTTCCCTCAGTATTATTATATGAGCCCTGTGATCTGTGTTGTCACATGATATGGCCATGGGGAGCGAGTCAAATCTGTCCGAGTGATATTTGGAGTATAGCCGCTCTGCCGGACAATGTTTGTGAAGAGTGGCCCGCCTGACGTGTGCAGGTGCTACCTAGAGCTGACCCAGTGGGGCAAGTTCCTGAGGACCAGTGCCCAGCTGGCCTGCCACCCGGGCCTGGGCAGGGAGCAGCGGCTGGCCCACCTGGCAGACGTCTGCCAGCACATGGGGGCCCTCAGGGACTCTGGTCGGTAGGCCCAGTAGGGAACTGCTTTTACTGTACTGCCTCCTCAGAGAAGCATCCTTTGGGGAAAAGGGATAGCCCGTAGGTTATTGACTGCCATTGGTGTGTTGGTTTAGAGGTGTCTAGTTTGTCGTTGCAATCCGGAAGTATGCCACATATAAAGGTACATTGCTTTCCGTGGGTCATTTTCTCTTGCATTACATCTATATAGAAACATGAACAAAATTGAACAGTGTCTACCAACCTGGAAAACCTGGAATTGTTAGGGAATTTATGAACATCTGGAAAAGTCAAGGAATTGTCGGGGAAATCTCCAGACAATTTCTGAAGTCGGGGAAAACGACCGATGTGGGCGGCACAGTGGCATGCAACGAGGCAAGAGGGTGTGGCATGCGGTTGCCTGGATGGCCTTCACGCCAAGTGACAGCATAAGCCACCACTCAATTCACCAGATTTAAATGAGAACAGCTTGAACAGCCATACAGCCCCATCCTACGCATTTTCTTCTTTTGTAGTGGCCGGGAAATTTAATAGTAATATTCAGGGAAACCTGGAAAACGCAAAGAATTTGAGAGAAGAAAATTGGCAGTGGTAATCGAGAAGACCTCAGAAGACAATTTAAATGCATCTTAATTTTACAGATTGGAAGACAATGTGCATAGTTTATTTTACGGTCTTCCACCATTTGAAAATCTTTTGTGGCAACACAAGTATGTGTATATGGCAATATAACCGTGCCAATCAAGGCCACTCTTCTAGTGAAGCAGAGAAATACTGAACAAGAGGTCAGTCGTTCGATTCCTGGCAGGGGACACGGTCTTTTGTGAGGACCAGTCATGTTATTGCATTTTCATTACGACAATTCGTGATGCTCTATGCCTGGAGACCAGCCCTAAAACGCATTCTGCATTCATACACCACGCGTAGCGAAGGGATATTGCCTCCGGTAATGCAGTTATCAGAACCGAGCCTCTCGGAACACTGATTGTCACAATAATTGGGTAAAAACTCTTGGGTATCTTTCGGGTTTGTTTCCTTAGACTGCAGTCGAGATGGTCGTAGGCTGTAACGTTCAGCCACCTCACCTAAAGTTCCGACTCAGTGTAAAGGCAGGTCGGGCCGCGTGCACCGGGGACCTTGCTCCACACCCTCTTGCAAGGGAACCATAGTGTTTCCCCCATCCAGGGCCTACACTTTCGAAAGCCGTGACATTCACCATGCAGGGAGGTTTCGTGTCTTCTTCCGCTTGGTGCGGGAACTTGCCCAGCGGCGGCCGTGGTTAAGTTTGGATCGTATGTTTGTGTTGGGAAAGGGGGGGGGGGGGAGGGGGATTTATTTTGTGACGTGTGTGTTCTATCCAGGTGCTTTAAAAAAAATGTTTCTGGGGAGTTCAGTGTCTATTTAAAAGGACAAATTAAGACGCTTCTGTGCTGCCCTCAAAAAAAATTCCCAGTTCCTTGCCGTGTCCTGCAAATAAACTGCGGCAAGAGCCGGCGCGCCGCACGCTCCCGCACACAGCTACACTGCCGCGTTTCAATTAGATTTAGCGGCTCAATTAAGGAGGGAAATTGCGACGTCGTGCAAAGGCATCAATTGACGCTACGATGCCTCAACGTCATGACTCAGTGATTCCCCGCTAAATTTAGCGAGGACATTTTTCTGCCATATCAAGTGGGCCACAACGTACGTACGCAAAATGCATGCGGGACGCACCGCAAAACCTTGCCAATAACGATTAATGCTGAAAAAGTGTGGGGTCATCACCGAAAAACCTCAAATCTGTCTGTCGGAAATTCGCTCAAATCCTCGGAGCGTACGACGGTGGAATGTATTGTGACAGGGGACGGCCCCTTGACACTGGAGTCTGAGGGCATTGTACGCCTGGACCGGGTCTCGGTGCCGGGCGGCGGCAGCTGGACCGCTGGGAGTGAGGTCACCCTGGGGCTGCACCTGACCAGTGAGCTGCCGGCCCCCGTGCGCTGTCGCAAGATCACTCTGCTGCTGGCACGAGAGGACGCTTCCCAGACGGTCAGAAAATGCACTTCGATCTCGCCCGATTGCCGAGCGGCTCGAATCAAATATGGCGAGAAACCGAGGGAGAGGAGGAGATTAGAGCACACAGAGACATTGGAGCACCGAGCTTGAACTGGAAGGATAGTGGGTAGATGCAAAGGCTGGCCGCGTTTGCCTCTACTCATGGTTTGAACATGTTTGAACGGGGAGCAGAGGCAAAGGCGACTAGCCTTGCGTCTACCCTCTAGTCATTTCAACCAGATTTTGGCGCTCTGATGTCCCCACGCACGTTCATTGCCTCCTCTTCCATAGTTTCTTGCAGTATTAGCAGTAAAAATCTATACTGTGTAGATTTTTTGCAAAATTATCCAAGCACTAAGGAGAATGCCGGTAACGTATAGGTACGGCTGGCGACAAAAGTCTACGGATCACGCGAGCCGTGCTTTAGCCGCCCAAGCTGCATCACTGCGCTACCTTGCGGCGCGGCACCTGTTGTCGAGACCCGTAGTGTGTGCATGTGCATCCTTTGGTACCTGTGGGCATGTCATCTCTCCCGCTTCCGGCCGACACCTTCTTATTCCCACGAATATTGCACCGGGCACCACTTCAGCAGTCACCATTGGTGGACGTGCTGCAGCTCTATCTCAGTGGTGTGTTGAGCGGCAAAGGCCGCCATATCAACTCTATCTCCCGCCGTCTGGCATGGTATCGTTTTGCCCAGCTCGGCGGCCAGAAAAACAGCCGTTCTGTCTTTTTTCTTTTCTTATTTGTTTAAGAAGCCCTTTAAGTTTGTCTGCACTTGCTGCTCTATCAACCAATCAGTGACAACAATTAATTTAAAAAGCGTTATTTTATTGTATAGTGCAAACGTTTTCTTTAAAAATCTTTAAAAAATCTTTAAAAACTTAAAAGCTTCTGACACAAACAAATGAAGGAAGAAAAAGACAGAAGGGCTTAGGGTATCTACATGTCTGTCTGTCTCAGGGTGAAGACAGCCTTTGTTGTACTGAGTGGGCCAGCCTGTGACGTGCTGGTGCACTCACTGCGTGACTTGTGCGGTAAATTGGTGTCTAAGCATTAGCCAGGGCTACGTGCTCGAGCCAAGTCTTGCCGGTTTGCACAAAAGTGTGTGCTTGTATGAATTCAGTCTAGAATAGCTGTTTTCCCGGCGGCTGAGTTGTGCAAAAGAATACGATGCCGGACGGCAGGAGATAAAGTTGATATCGCGGCTTCTGCCACTCATCGCGTCATTGAGATATGGCACGGCAGCCAGCGGCAGTTACCAAAGTGGCGCCCGGCATCGGCCGTATTTATGAGAATAAGAAGGCGTTGGGCTGGAAGCAGGAGAGTTGACATGCCTGCGAGTTTGAAAGTACACACATGCAGGCATTACAGACCTCAACAACAGGTGCCGCGCTGCAAGGTAGCATGGCAATGCAGCCCATCCCCGGCTCGCGTGGTTCGTAATCTTTTGTGGCTGACCATAGACACGCTGCACATGCTCATCTTGTCTGTATAAAAGCTTCAAAGCAAATAACCAAAAAAAGGCGTTTGCAAATGCGCATGCAAGGTGATTTATTTTTCCCTTCGAACAGGTTTTGCTGCAGATGCCAGCACGGGCACTGCGTGTAACTAAACTCACAGTGCACGTCTCGGTGGTTGGGTAATTTAGAGAAAGTTCTACTGGATTGAATTGGATTTTATTGACTACCCCAGTAGAGTTGGAGGGGACTGAGAAGAAAATGCCACTTTTGTGTGACTTCACAGAGTTCCTGCCCCAACAAATGTTAGCATTAGGGGCAGAAACGAAACAGAGAGAAGGATCAGATCTCTACAGGAAAGTGTGGGTGCATTACTAACATGGACAATAACAACAGCTGTACAATTTATAGTTAAAGTAAAGGACAAAACAAATGAGTGTCAAATATCCATGGGAATATGTACAACCGATGACACAACCCAAGAGAAATGTTACAGACCCGGGTTCTAATGCACAATTTTCACTACTTGTTTGTGCAGACATATAAGCACATGATGCCCACAACTATAGGTAATTAACCAATGTATGCTAAAAATAGATTTAAAAAATCAATAGTGGGTATGGATTTAGCAGTTAGTAATTCCATATCCGAGTCTCGCGAAAAGAGGCCATTCAGTGCAGTGGGTAGCGTATGTTTGGTTTTTTGCATGCCATAGTTGGTTCTTGATAGTAAGCCTCGATCTGAGTCTATGTACATTTTAGGCAATTCTCAAGTCTTTTGACGTGGACAGTGTTATGTTGAATAGCTGGCCCCTGGTTACTTCCCGTGACGCATTCATGTAATGGAAGAACATTGCGCGACTGCTGCATCAGCGTTCAGCTGGAACTCAAATCCTGGCTGAATGAAGACAAGCCACGGCCGAACATTGACACGGCACTCATGTCTAGACTTTGTGTCCCACACTCGCAGGAGTGCTACCTCTTGTAGGGCTTTCTTTCACAGATGCTACACACGATGATGTGTCAACGAGCCTTAAAATGCATGCCAAGTTCATCTGTGCAACCTCACTGCAAAGCAAAACACAATTCGTTTTGTGTCAAGGCCCGTTCACACTCTTGCGACCGAGTACGACTGAGTGAGACGAGATCTCTTACAACTTCTTAAATGTTTCTAGAATGAGGGAACGGTTGGATGGATGGATGGATCTGGCTAAACCCTGTGAATCGGGCGGTGGCTTGCGCCACCTAGCCAACATTATAAATCTAATTATATGTTTTGAATTCCAAGATTAAATCTCACCCCTGCCTCGATTTTAGCCACCAGTCTGATAACCTCCGCTTGGTTATTTCTACCCGTGTAAAGTCTATTTTTCCTTCACTGTCTTTAAAACCCAATGCTTCGATTAAATCCGCCCGGTCACTGTTAACTGTTGGGTGAAGCCCTTTACAGAAAAGTATTAAGTGTTCAGCCGTTTCCTCCTGCTCCCCACACACACTACATAAAGTGTCCATCTCCTGGTACTTAACCCGGTACGTCTTAGTCCGCAATACTCCTGTCCTGGCCTCAAACAACAAAGAGCTTCCCCTAGAATTATCGTAGATATTTTCTTTGCAAATTTCCTGTTTGAACATTCTGTACGTCTCCAGTGCTGGTTTTGTCTGCATACCCGTTTCCCACAGACCCTTCTCTGTTTCTTTTATCCTTTTCTTAGCCCGTAATTCCTGGTTGGCACCCCCACTGCCTCCCAAATATTTGCTTGATAATTTTCTAGTTCGCTTTCTCCATTTGGTATCTACATTCCTCATGAACACACTGACATTGTGGCGCCATCTATGCGGTGACCCTAGAACTGCATTTCACAAGAGCGAAGGTTTTGCGGGATTTCCGAGGTCAAATGTGCGTAATACCCATAGAAAGGCTCGTTTATAACATTGACAAAAGTTTTTTGAGCCAAAAAAGAAAGGATATTGCGCGAGAAATAAAAAAAAAATATGCCGGACCGCCGAGTTTACACTGCTTCCCAATAGATGGCGCCAGTGTGTTCTCTGGTTTAAGAAGTTTTAAGGAACCCAGGTTTAAGAGGTCGCAAGCAGTCGCAAGAGTGTGAACGGGCCTTCACCAATGATTTTGATACGACAGGGTTCTTTATTTAATTTGTTGACGTGCAACTGACACTACGAAACCCACCCCTTTTCCGCACTATTGCATCAAAGGCGGTGGTGACTTGGAATGTATAGCGCGTTCCTTTCACGTTGAAACTGAGTAGATGTACACTTGGCACGCATTTCGTGCCTTGGCGGCACAAACATTGTGGTATGTAGCATCTGAAAGAAAGCCCTGCCAAAGATAGTGCTCGAGCGAGAGTGGAATGTGAGGTTTGTGTCTATTGCATTGCACACCCCAGCTTTGACCCTGCTATTTCATTTCTCCCTGTTCACTTCAAGGCACACGCTTGTTCTGTTACTTCTTAACTCCAACATACTTTTCCATCATACATGGGAATGTACTCACTTTCTTAGTAACAGGGCCATAGTGCTGGAAGGTAGGACAGAACTGGAAGGTGGAAAAGTTAAAGGGCCCATGAAACAAATTTTGGGTTGGGATAAATGAATTTAGATTGGGATTTGACTAATAGCATATCATTACGTGGGCCAAAAGAAAGAAGATAGAAAGTCAAAAGCCTGATTTTCGGTACGAAAATTTTAAAACACAGCAGACTATTTCACACCTTCTCTCCTTTGAAAGCTCTTTGCCTTTTCAGTGTGATACGTCTTCGGACCTCATTTATTCCCTTCACGTATAAGTTGGCAGTGCGGTCGAAGCTATGCACTTGCCGGACCAATCAGCCACCTCCCTTTCATCACCTTTCCCTTATTTCTGCACTTAGGTATGTGCGAGGTAGTGTGATCACGTGGCAAATGTGTGGCTGGTCCAAGGAGCATGTAGCTTCCACAGCACTGTCAGCTAAGCGGTGAACGGGGTGGGAAAAGCAACTTTTTTCTGAGTTTTGAGGGACGGGCTAATCTTCTAGGGGAAGAATGGCAGTTTTGGGTACACGAACAAGGGTCCGAGCAAGGGGAGAGTCCCTCCTTTCCGTCTTCCTGAACTGTTAGGTACAATGCACGATTTGTGAGTTGAGGAGAAAAGCTAAGAAGGAAAAAGTTGAATAATTGTTTCATGACCCCTTTAATGTGGGTAATTGTCCGGCCACTTTGTGCTGGGTGAGGGGGATGGCACAAAAGGTGTAAAGACTCAAGCACTATAAACATGGTGCTCTTCGTGAACACCAAGGTTCGTCCTCTCTACCTGCAAGAGTCCAGGCATGTTTCCTTTAGGAAACAAACAAAAGCTTTTGTGGCCTTTGCTCCTTCGTGTGGTTTGTCCTGAGAACCTCTGCCACAAAGAAGGGCTGGTCATCCAGGCATGCAGGCATGCTTTCGAATTCACTTCTTTCTTTCTGACATTATCCACCAGAGGCGAGCACTGGGTGCAAGCAAACTGGACACGGGTGTTGCGTCAGTGTTCGGCTGGAATTCGTGTCGAATCAGTAAGGACACAGGTTCCAGCCAAACAGTGGCAAAGCTCTCTTGCGTTACTAGGGAGTGCTACCATGAGCTGCGAGGAGCTAGCCGTATAATGCATTCTGCATTAAAAAAAGGCAATTCAAAACTACTTTTTATGGTCGAATAGAGGCTTCTTTTTAAAGGGGTCATAAAACGCTTTTCCATCTTTTTCCTGTTTAGCTTTCCTCTTCAACTCATAAATCGCGCATTCTACCAAACAGTTCAAGAAGACGAAAAGAGGGGAGTCCCCTCTTGCTTGGAATCTCACTTTTATACCCGAACAGAGCAATTGTCCCCCTAGAAGATTAGCCCGTCGCTCAAAATTCAGACAAAAGTTGCTTTCCCCACCCCGTTCACCCCGAAGCTGACAGTGCTGGGGAAGCTACGTGCTCGTTGGGCCAGCCACACTTTTGCCATGTGATCATGCTCTCTCGCGCATACCAACGTGCAGAGAATGAGGTCAGGTGATGAAAGGGAGGCGGCTGATTGGTTGGGCGAGTGCGTAGCCTCCACCACAATGTCAGCTTAGAGGTGAAGGGAATAAGGGAGGTCTGGTATCATGTGACGTGCGTTTGGACCCGGTGACGCGCTTTGGGAATTGCGGATGTATCACAGTGAAAAGGCAGAGAGCTTACGAAGGGAAGGAGGTACGAAATAGTCCACTGTGTTTTCAAATTTTCGTACCGAAAGTCAGGCTTTTGACTTTCTACCTTTTTTCTTTTGGCCCACTGAACGACGTTATATTAGTAAAATCCCAATCTAAAGTGATTTATACCAGCCCAAAAATCATTTCATGGGCCCTTTAAGTATCCTGAGCTGCAAGTGACCAAAGCTGATAAGAGGTGGCCAGCCATAGTAGGGGTCCAATGGTTGGCCTCTTGCAGCCCCCTCTCCATTCCACAGTTTTGTTTTTCCCTTAGCCATGCTGTTCATAAGCTAAAAAGTTGCCTTGAAAGACATTCAGAAAATGAAATTGAGATATTGTTCATGTGGCAAACTGGGTAATGCGGTTGCAGGTGCCTGGGTCTGGCAGGGGCTATTCGGCGAGGGGTCGCAGGGACTGGGTGCCCCTGGCGCACATGGCCCTAGCCCAGGGACTGGCCAAGAAGGAGGGTGGCACGGCCGTGGGGCTGGTCTGCACAAACCTCCTGGTGAGTCCATCGCACAAGGGTGTTCTTGCTTGGTTACGACGCCGGGCATTTAAGTCACGTGAGAACACAAATGCTTTCACCGAACAGGCACAGACTCTGACTGTAAAAGCAACAGGAATGTATAGTGAGGCAAAATTCTTCCAGCAAAGGAAGTTAATTTGCATTCGGCATATGGAACAAAACTAGCTTGCCTGTCGTCACATTGCTTCCTCTCGTGTACTTCCGCTACTAGTTGAAGTCGTACCGTACAAGCACATGCTAGTATTACGAGTGGCATTATTAGACTGGAACTTACCAGAATAGATGGTCAAGTCTACAAACAGTGGCTGCTGGCAAGGACTGAATTTAGACCGTCTGCTTTAAAGGAAAAGTGAGCTAGCCCTGCAGCATGTTTTCCCCCTTCTGCAAGAAGTACAGTCGGCTCTAAAAAAAATAGCCCAAATGAGCGATTGTGGGGCTGCTGAGAGGGCATGGGGAGCTGCAATCATGCCAACACAGCGGGATCAAGATTACTTGGCAGTTTTCATATTTGTAGCATGGGGGAGGTCATCAGACAGCAGCTATTTTCAAAGCACACTTTCAGTATGCCGCTTCTCTGCCTCAGGCTTTCACTGGTGCCGGTCATGCATTACTGTGCATATATGGGGTTTTTCTTTTGCTCGCTCATTGAGAGCAGTGATTACTTCTTTTTTATTCACCTTCTTACCATCATGAGATATCTTTGAGACGTCAGAGTGGCAAAGAACATAGATGACAGTACCGACGTAGCAAAAAAAGAATTCTTTGGGAAAGAGAACTATCTTCTGAAACACCTGCGAGATCAAAAGGTGAAGGGTGGGAATGACACGACCACTCTCGCTCTTAGCATATTCGTGACTACTCGGTGCCGCATGTGACGCTTTTACTGTTCTGGTCGTTGATCACTTGTGCTAATCTTTTTGAATGCCAACTGTACCATTTTAATGTGGAAGAATAATTTTTTCTGAATAAGTTAAAATCCATGCACATTGTGTTAAAGGGAAGCTGAAACACATCTTAAAAAAAAACGAGTTAGAAGTGAACTCTGGCGTATTTTAGAGCGCAGCTCTTAGGCGCTCGTTTTCAGCTTGAGCGGCGTCGCTGTCCCCGTCGGCAAAACCCCGCGTTGCATCATGGGACGTTTCCCATAATGACGTCAGACGTGACGTCACCAGGGTCATTAGGGTTACGTCTGACGTCACTCGCAACCACGCATTGCATGATGGGACGTTTCCCATAATGACGTCACACGTGACGTTGTGTGCAACATCTTGAGGTTTACGAGTGACGTCACAAAGGAGGAGGGAGGGAGGAGGAAGAAAGGAGGAGGACAATGGAGGAGAGGGAAGAGGGGCATACTCTCCTCTCCGTACCCCCCCTCCTTCTCCTCAAGAGTTGCATTCTAATTCGGCATTACAGGGTGTTGTAAACATCTTTCATTTTTTATCCTGTGAATCTGAATATCACGTTTATTTTCCCCAGAGATGTAACGAAACGCAAGAAAACACGAAAAACCTCCGACCAGTCGTGACATCATTCTAGGATTTTTGGGCCACCAAGCGTGTGTCACTCATGTGGGCAGCCCGTGCAATTGGAAGCTTGCCAGGTATATTTTCCTGCACTGACGCCAGTCGTGACATCTATTTCTGACCTTTTTGAAAATTGCAAGAGTGTGTGTGCATAGCTTTGACAGGCACTGAAGATGTGCGAGAGCAGTGAGTCGGAAAACTCCTAGTATGACGTCACGCCCTGGGAAGGAGGGGCTTCAGCAGTACTTTAAAAATTAATTTCTGCTGCATCCGTGCACCAAATTGAAAAATAATCATGATATTCGTGATCCTGGAGGCCAAATGAAGTCGATTTCGGTGTTTTTCGTCAAATACAAAAACGCTGCAGTTTCTCTTTGAGTAAGTGTTAGAATAGGGACATAAAAAAAATATTACGAGTGAATTGAAGAAGTAAACAATCATGGAAAAGATCACAGTCCTAATCACGTAGTAAGCCTTTGTGTAGACGACCGGCACATCTTTGGGTCACGGCGGGTGACATGAAAATGGTCATATTTGTCACAAATGATTGGCAGAGAGACGGTTAGCACCGTAGGAAACTAAACATTTAATAGGGGCAAACTTGTTCCCCTAACAAAAAAAAAATACAATGAGGTAGCGTCGCAGGTGTCGAAGGTCGGCTGAGTGGCACGATGGAGTGCAAAAGCGAAGACTGACCCCGGACCGCCACACAGAGCATCTTTTATACCCGCGTGGGTTTCTGGAACATTCGGCGTAGAACTTTCGGCGCGTAGAACATTCAAACCTCGATTAGACGACAAGGCTCTCGAACTTACGAGAACGCCAAGTTAAAAGAATAAAAAAAAGGAGCTTCTGCTTCCAGGAATCGAACCTGGGGCCTCCGTGCGAAAGCCGAGCAAGGTAACCATTTGGCCAGGCCCGCACTCGCTCAGCAACACCCGTGGCAATATGTTGTCGGGCACGACTTATAGGACTGGACACAGAACTGGGTAGAACGAAGGCAGTAATGTGTTCAAAAATTTCTTTCCATGGACATGCCTAATGCTTATCAAGATTCCAGATTTTTACTTTGTCTGTGGTCAATGGCAAATGTGGAAGTGCATAAATGTAAGAGCTAAGGAACGCTCTTTGTCTTTAAAGTCTGCTCCCTGGGGACACTAAGCTCTACATTGTGACAGATGTGGCAGTTCTCCTCAGTATAGCGATATAAGACTTTTGGCAAAACGTTCTCATAGATACACCAGGGAAATTCACGAAGCTATCTATATTCCGTCTGCTCTAAAACCGTGCAGTACAGCCAAAGCTACAGGGGAGGAACAGGAGAGGAAGGCTGGGAATCCCAGCCTCTCTTCATTGTTTCTCCTTTCCCTTCTCTTGAAAAGGTTGGGACACACTCTCTCCCCTGTGGCTTTGGCTGCATTCTAGCGTTTTAGTGAGACGGATTATATATTAAACTGTTTTGAGGTATGCAATTCTGCGGAGATATTCGGTGCACATTCAAACGTTCTGGATGTTTGCGCATCCCTCGTGAGCACTCATTGTTGCCTCATTTGCACGGAGCAAACTTCCCGGTGTGCTCCAGTGTGCCCCAGCCGAGTGCTCTCTCTCTCTCTCTCCAGGAGTTGCTTCCAGGGCCACGCCACACTCCCACCTCCCGCTTCTCCCACTCCCCACTAGAGGGCGGCACTGTCGATCTGGTGTTGCTTGGGGCAGAGCTGGTCCCCGGCTCCAACGAGCTGGTCATCACCCACAAGGTTGGCCACGGCGCCTATTATATTTCTGTGTTGCCTTTGCACTTGCGAGCTCTTCAGTCTGCCTTGACAAGCAAGCAAGGTCATGGCCTCAGACACCAAATTAACCCTAGTCATTGCCTGCCAGTACAGTGTTGTCGTTTTAAAAGAAACATGGAAAGAGCAAAAAAGTTTTTTTTAACAGCTTGGATGAAAAAAGGATGTCATAAAATAAATTTACTACGAAAAAAACAAATATTTTTAGAGCTCTTTTTACTGCACGAAAAGAATTTGTAGTTGGCGCCCGCAATAGCCCGTGGAAAAGTGGCCACTAGCAGTCATGCGACTGGCCACCAGTAACGTGGTAGATCAGTGTACTGCCGCGGTGCACCACTGCCGCCGCAAGTTACGCTGGAGCTGTTCAGGGCCGCCGCTGAGGGTGCCGTGCCGCCGGCTGAATGCATTTTACAGCGGAGCTGTTAAGGGCTAGGTTCCCCAGTATCGTGTCTGGTATCAAACGCCTGTCGACACAAACCTACCTGGACAGCTACCGCCATCTATAAGCGACCGTGGCAAGCACACAAGCGGTCTGGTTGCTGCCGTCGCTCGTAGATGGCGCCAACCTTTCCAGCTATCATAGCAGAATGGATAGTTGGGCACGTTGGTGGGAATTCATCGTAGGAAACAGCGCGAAAAACGGACGACGACAAAGAAGAAGGACGGGAACGAGCGGAGCGCTCGTCACGTGTGTTTCTTCGTCCTCGTCTGTTTTGCGCGCTGTTTCCTACGCTCTTATCAGTCTCGGTTTGGACTTAGGATGGGTCGGCCGCACGCCCTTTCGGGGAAAGAAGACTGGCTGCAGAAGGAGCGGCGACGTACGCAGCAGCGCGAATGGGTCCGCAACCGCCGCAAAGCCACTGTCGCCTCGACTTCTACCGCATAGAGTGCTTAAGGTTCTCTTCCTTGCCAAAGAAGAGAAAATCGCTCACCTGGAAAGCCTGCGCCGAGAACAGAACCAGCGATGTAAAGGGCGCCGGCGGGCCAACACCACGGACGACGATCGTGCCACGGAGGCCAAGCGCAAGCGCGAGGCCCGGCGACGACGGCACTCCACGCCGGCTGAACAGTTCCCGGGCACGACGGCAAGGTTCCAAAGGGAGTTCGTGGATTACCCATTTTGCGTCACATGCGCCGTGTGCGACCGACTCTGGTTCGCCGGAGAGGTATCCACGATCAGCGGGGTGTCGGACGAGAAGAAGCGGGAAGCGTGCGCGTTGCGGCGGTGTGTCGAGAACAGCTCTGTTGGTCTTCCTTCTTCACGAGATTGGAGAGGCTGAACTTTTTTTTTCTTTTTCTATTTATACGCAAAAAGTAATTTAAAATATGCCTTCAAATTTAACAAAAAAAACCTTCACAAGTCTTAATAAATCAAAAAATGAAATAAATTTTGGAAAAAAGTTATTATCGTCATCATTACTTAGCAACCTCTATTCACGCCGCCGCCGAAAGGGAACACTCAGGCGCGCCGCCGCCGTCAGTTTCTGACCGGTGCACTGGTCTATCATGTGGTGCTTGTGCTCTTTCGGTAGCTTCCTATGAGCTCTAAAAGTTACTTGTTAATCTTCGTTTTTTTGTTGCACTTAAAATGGAGATTAATAAATAATTTTTAGAGCCCATAGGAAGCTCCCAAAAGAGCGCAAGCACCACGGGACTATATATTGTCCAGCCACGTGGCTCTCGTAGCAACTTTTCGGCGAACCCTGCGTGCGCTAACAAAAAATTTTCTCCTCTCTGTAAATATAGCTTGAAAAATTTTGTTTTTCTTTTGTTGTAAATTTATTTTATGACATCCTTTTTCCATCCAGGCTGTATAAAAAAAATTGTTTTTTTCCTTTGCATATGTCTTTTAATGCAGAATTGCATTCTTGCCGAGGCCAACTCGGATTTCTCGAGTATCTGTTGTACGCCATGTCCTGGCACGGTGGAAGCTAATACACGGTACTCTGTTTCATACTCGGTGCACGGTGTTGCCAAAGCTGCTGGCTCAAGCAGGTGGTTTCATCTTGCATTTTGTTTGCCCATGCTCTCACGAAAATGGGTTCTAGATGGTGTCGCGTGCTTGCATCAGTAGTTTTGACAGCACACAAGGGTTGGACCAGTTGTCCAGCTGCCAAACTCCTCCACCGGAAATCAACTGTGCATGCTGATGACAGATTGTGAGTTGCCCCACATGGTGCTCCCCCGCCTCGGTCTTGCATTGTCGGTGTAGCTGCAAGAAAGAAAAGAATGACAAGCTGACTCTTCGAAAGGACGCGGCGGCCCACACCATGAAGTTAAAACTAATACACGGTACTCTGTTTCATACTCGGTGCACGGTGTTGCCAAAGCTGCTGGCTCAAGCAGGTGGTTTGATCTTGCATTTTGTTTGCCCATGCTCTCACGAAAATGGGTTCTAGATGGTGTCGCGTGCTTGCATCAGTAGCTTTGACAGCACACAAGGGTTGGACCAGTTGTCCAGCTGCCTAACTCCTCCACCGGAAATCAACTGTGCATGCTGATGACAGATTGTGAGTTGCCCCACATGGTGCTCCCCCGCCTCGGTCTTGCATTGTCGGTGTAGCTGCAAGAAAGAAAAGAATGACAAGCTGACTCTTCGAAAGGACGCGGCGGCCCACACCATGAAGTTAAAACTAATACACGGTACTCTGTTTCATACTCGGTGCACGGTGTTGCCAAAGCTGCTGGCTCAAGCAGGTGGTTTGATCTTGCATTTTATTTGCCCATGCTCTCACGAAAATGGGTTCTAGATGGTGTCGCGTGCTTGCATCAGTAGCTTTGACAGCACACAAGGGTTGGACCAGTTGTCCAGCTGCCAAACTCCTCCACCGGAAATCAACTGTGCATGCTGATGACAGATTGTGAGTTGCCCCACATGGTGCTCCCCCGCCTCGGTCTTGCATTGTCGGTGTAGCTGCAAGAAAGAAAAGAATGACAAGCTGACTCTTCGAAAGGACGCGGCGGCCCACACCATGAAGTTAAAACTAATACACGGTACTCTGTTTCATACTCGGTGCACGGTGTTGCCAAAGCTGCTGGCTCAAGCAGGTGGTTTGATCTTGCATTTTGTTTGCCCATGCTCTCACGAAAATGGGTTCTAGATGGTGTCGCGTGCTTGCATCAGTAGTTTTGACAGCACACAAGGGTTGGACCAGTTGTCCAGCTGCCAAACTCCTCCACCGGAAATCAACTGTGCATGCTGATGACAGATTGTGAGTTGCCCCACATGGTGCTCCCCCGCCTCGGTCTTGCATTGTCGGTGTAGCTGCAAGAAAGAAAAGAATGACAAGCTGACTCTTCGAAAGGACGCGGCGGCCCACACCATGAAGTTAAAACTAATACACGGTACTCTGTTTCATACTCGGTGCACGGTGTTGCCAAAGCTGCTGGCTCAACCAGGTGGTTTCATCTTGCATTTTGTTTGCCCATGCTCTCACGAAAATGGGTTCTAGATGGTGTCGCGTGCTTGCATCAGTAGCTTTGACAGCACACAAGGGTTGGACCAGTTGTCCAGCTGCCAAACTCCTCCACCGGAAATCAACTGTGCATGCTGATGACAGATTGTGAGTTGCCCCACATGGTGCTCCCCCGCCTCGGTCTTGCATTGTCGGTGTAGCTGCAAGAAAGAAAAGAATGACAAGCTGACTCTTCGAAAGGACGCGGCGGCCCACACCATGAAGTTAAAACTAATACACGGTACTCTGTTTCATACTCGGTGCACGGTGTTGCCAAAGCTGCTGGCTCAAGCAGGTGGTTTGATCTTGCATTTTATTTGCCCATGCTCTCACGAAAATGGGTTCTAGATGGTGTCGCGTGCTTGCATCAGTAGCTTTGACAGCACACAAGGGTTGGACCAGTTGTCCAGCTGCCAAACTCCTCCACCGGAAATCAACTGTGCATGCTGATGACAGATTGTGAGTTGCCCCACATGGTGCTCCCCCGCCTCGGTCTTGCATTGTCGGTGTAGCTGCAAGAAAGAAAAGAATGACAAGCTGACTCTTCGAAAGGACGCGGCGGCCCACACCATGAAGTTAAAACTAATACACGGTACTCTGTTTCATACTCGGTGCACGGTGTTGCCAAAGCTGCTGGCTCAAGCAGGTGGTTTGATCTTGCATTTTATTTGCCCATGCTCTCACGAAAATGGGTTCTAGATGGTGTCGCGTGCTTGCATCAGTAGCTTTGACAGCACACAAGGGTTGGACCAGTTGTCCAGCTGCCAAACTCCTCCACCGGAAATCAACTGTGCATGCTGATGACAGATTGTGAGTTGCCCCACATGGTGCTCCCCCGCCTCGGTCTTGCATTGTCGGTGTAGCTGCAAGAAAGAAAAGAATGACAAGCTGACTCTTCGAAAGGACGCGGCGGCCCACACCATGAAGTTAAAACTAATACACGGTACTCTGTTTCATACTCGGTGCACGGTGTTGCCAAAGCTGCTGGCTCAAGCAGGTGGTTTGATCTTGCATTTTGTTTGCCCATGCTCTCACGAAAATGGGTTCTAGATGGTGTCGCGTGCTTGCATCAGTAGCTTTGACAGCACACAAGGGTTGGACCAGTTGTCCAGCTGCCAAACTCCTCCACCGGAAATCAACTGTGCATGCTGATGACAGATTGTGAGTTGCCCCACATGGTGCTCCCCCGCCTCGGTCTTGCATTGTCGGTGTAGCTGCAAGAAAGAAAAGAATGACAAGCTGACTCTTCGAAAGGACGCGGCGGCCCACACCATGAAGTTAAAACTAATACACGGTACTCTGTTTCATACTCGGTGCACGGTGTTGCCAAAGCTGCTGGCTCAAGCAGGTGGTTTGATCTTGCATTTTATTTGCCCATGCTCTCACGAAAATGGGTTCTAGATGGTGTCGCGTGCTTGCATCAGTAGCTTTGACAGCACACAAGGGTTGGACCAGTTGTCCAGCTGCCAAACTCCTCCACCGGAAATCAACTGTGCATGCTGATGACAGATTGTGAGTTGCCCCACATGGTGCTCCCCCGCCTCGGTCTTGCATTGTCGGTGTAGCTGCAAGAAAGAAAAGAATGACAAGCTGACTCTTCGAAAGGACGCGGCGGCCCACACCATGAAGTTAAAACTAATACACGGTACTCTGTTTCATACTCGGTGCACGGTGTTGCCAAAGCTGCTGGCTCAAGCAGGTGGTTTGATCTTGCATTTTGTTTGCCCATGCTCTCACGAAAATGGGTTCTAGATGGTGTCGCGTGCTTGCATCAGTAGCTTTGACAGCACACAAGGGTTGGACCAGTTGTCCAGCTGCCAAACTCCTCCACCGGAAATCAACTGTGCATGCTGATGACAGATTGTGAGTTGCCCCACATGGTGCTCCCCCGCCTCGGTCTTGCATTGTCGGTGTAGCTGCAAGAAAGAAAAGAATGACAAGCTGACTCTTCGAAAGGACGCGGCGGCCCACACCATGAAGTTAAAACTAATACACGGTACTCTGTTTCATACTCGGTGCACGGTGTTGCCAAAGCTGCTGGCTCAAGCAGGTGGTTTGATCTTGCATTTTATTTGCCCATGCTCTCACGAAAATGGGTTCTAGATGGTGTCGCGTGCTTGCATCAGTAGTTTTGACAGCACACAAGGGTTGGACCAGTTGTCCAGCTGCCAAACTCCTCCACCGGAAATCAACTGTGCATGCTGATGACAGATTGTGAGTTGCCCCACATGGTGCTCCCCCGCCTCGGTCTTGCATTGTCGGTGTAGCTGCAAGAAAGAAAAGAATGACAAGCTGACTCTTCGAAAGGACGCGGCGGCCCACACCATGAAGTTAAAACTAATACACGGTACTCTGTTTCATACTCGGTGCACGGTGTTGCCAAAGCTGCTGGCTCAAGCAGGTGGTTTGATCTTGCATTTTGTTTGCCCATGCTCTCACGAAAATGGGTTCTAGATGGTGTCGCGTGCTTGCATCAGTAGCTTTGACAGCACACAAAGGTTGGACCAGTTGTCCAGCTGCCAAACTCCTCCACCGGAAATCAACTGTGCATGCTGATGACAGATTGTGAGTTGCCCCACATGGTGCTCCCCCGCCTCGGTCTTGCATTGTCGGTGTAGCTGCAAGAAAGAAAAGAATGACAAGCTGACTCTTCGAAAGGACGTGGCGGCCCGCGTCCTTTCGAAGCATGTTTCTTGAAAAGACAATTCTGCACATGAAGGTTTGATCGGTAGGTAGAAATACAGCTCCAACTTTTTTAGCTCTTTTTTATATGATAGGTAGGCATAAATAGTGGATTTTGTGTTGAAAGCAAATAGTGATTTTAGATGAATATTTTCTAATTGAATATTGGATAGTTGCTACGCCCTTCTCAAAGCCTTTCACTACAGTCAAACCCGTTCATAACGAACAGCAGGAAACTCTACGATCAGTTTGATATAGCAAGTAGTTCGATATAGCAAAATCCATTTACAAAGAACTTTCACAATGCGTTCATTGTAAGGCGAGAGCTTCTCTTTCTTTCTCATCTCTTCACTTCCGCCTTGTAACAACGCGCTGGTTTTTTTTTTTTTGCATGCCTGCAGAGTTTTTTTTTTTATCTTCTCTCCCCTTCTGAATCGCTTCTCTTTGCTTAATTTCGTTCGTGGCTTGAGCTTTTAAAATTTTCTTTCTTTCCTACTTTTTTTAGGGGGGGGGGATGGGGAAGGGGAAGGGGAGGGACAGGCTAGAAGACGATTGTTTGCGTGTTTTTGGAAGCCTTCCCGGGGGGGAAAAGTTAGATATAGCCAATATGTTGTTCGTTATAAAAAGTACTTTTTACATGCATTTTTATTTAAATATTTTATGAGTTCGATATTGACAGTAATTTGCTGTACGTTGGTTCGTTCTAAACGGGTTTCACTGTACCGTTGCACCTAGCGTTCATCATATTGACACCGTTGATGCCACTTATTCAGCTTTGCAAATTTTTTTGGGTTGTTTTGTTCACATGTCGCGACATAGGATATTGTAGCGATGCAGTTGGTTTGAGGGGATAAAGGAGAGCAACATGAGTGATGGAAAGGACGAGAACAGGACAGGACTATGGACGTTTTGTCCTGTTCCCGTCTTTTCCATCGTTCATGTTGCTTTCCTTTATCCCCATAACTTTACCAGCGTGCTCTAATTTGTCAAGTTGGCCTGAGCTGCAAGAAATCCTTTAGAGCACATCCCTTCCACTGCATATATTATTCCAAGATTCGTGTATCGGCCTCTTTGCCTGAAATACATTGCCTTCCTTGCTTTTTCACTCCTGTGCAATTACCCGTGATCATTAATTGTACGGCATATAGTTTACCTCTCCGAAACATTTAACCACTTGTTCAGTTGCATTAATGGCACCAGACATGGCATCAAGAATGTTGTGACAAAAGCTATTTTATTTTTGTATAAAAGGCCCTGTTGCTGCAGCCAACTTTGTAATTGAGATTTCAGTTGTAACCGAGATTTCAGTTGCATGTCAAAAGATCCCTAGGTAATCAAAATTAATCCTCAGTCCTTTCTTTGGACGTGCCAGATGCCCTTTGCTGGTCTACTATGTAAACCCCCAAATTTGACTTTACGATGCTTGTCAGCACGCTCTTGGCAATGCCGAACTGGCATTTACCTCAGCCAGTGTCTGAATTTTTCTTTTAGAGGGACGGGATGACACTCGTGTCTTGACATTGTAGGTTCAGCCGTTGAGCGTAGTTGCATCTGCACCGTGACTGTGTCGCCATCGAGTGCAGAGCACGGTAGACTTGCAGTTTGTCTTTCTGTTTCGGAATGTTGAGTTTTTATGCAATGGGCGATGCTCACGATGCATACCGTAATATCCCGAGAGATAGCCCACCTTAATCCGAGAGAAAATCAGGCGAAAATAAGGAGTGGGCTGAGTGGGCTAACTTTGGGTGTACAATCGGAAAATATTGAAAAAACACTATTTTTAGATAATGTTTTTTTTTTTTTTTTTCTGTCAAACCATAGCTGACTAGCTGAATTTACATCCAGGCCATCATTGATCCCAACACTATGATTACTTGGAGTGGGCTATCTTTCGGTGTTTAAAAGAAAACAGCAAATTAAGCCAAAATTAGAGGTGAGCTATCTTTTGGGGGTGGGGCATCTCACGGGATATTACGGTAAGTGAGAGCTCTGGCGCTGACGCTTCAGTGAAGGCAAAATTGAGCTTTTTTCACATGTTTTATGCATGTGTGAAAATTTAATGGATCTGTTTTTCACGAGGTTATGCCTTTCCCGTAATAATGGGTTTGGCACAGTATGTATAATCCAAGATTTATATAAACAAACTATAAAGAAAGACCTTTTTTGAGGCAAACTCTTTGCTGATGGTTCTTAGTGAGAGTGCACCTGGAAGTTCGACTAGCGTGCGAACACGCTGTGACTGAGCAGGATTATTCTTGTCAAACAAGGCTAGGCAGCACAAACGTCCTATGCACGTCTACGGGTCATTTATAAAACGTTAGGACATGCTCAGGATGTCTGAGGACTGTGCATCTTGCCAAGAGGGATGTGTCAGCGGCTGGCCTGTGGAATTATCTCATGCCCCAGGAAATGAGTGGAGGCGGAGCGGGTGTGCAATAGGTTCCAGCGGCGGAACAGATTTCAGTCACCATTTTAAAGGCTGTGGATGTCTTCTGCTGGTCCCTAGAGATTTCTCGTTGGATGCCCAGCTCTATTGTTCCCTGACATGACAGGTGGACATCCCCGGGCGCTACCGACCCCGGCAGCTGTTTGTGGACTGGGAGCAACTGAGCCTGGTGCAGCTGGAGCTGGGTCCTCAGCCCTACCTGCACGTCACCAAGGAGAGCCCCAGGCTGGCTCTACACTTCCCACAAGGTCGGTATAGTGCAGCTGGGCAGCAGCAGGGGTGGGACCCATCAAGAGAGGGAGTCTACCATATTTCACCCTTCCCTACCCTAACCTAGGTATACTACCCTCCTACACTATTCTAAGCTGTGTTACCCTTCCGTGCTCTATTGTACCCTAACCTACCCCGTCTTGCCCTAGCCTATCCTACCCTAGCTAGCCTACCCTAGCCTAGCCCCGCCCCGCCCCGCCCTCAGGCGGTGTGCCGTCTTTGTTGCTGGCAGCCGTCCTCCACAGCGTATCTTCGTATGGTCGAAGACCCAGTTGCTCGCAGCGGCCAAGAAGTCCATTTTACACTCAGTTCACGCAGAACACAGAAGCTACAAAAGGCCGTGGTATGCACCGGAAGTTGAGACGCTGCGTACGTCGTTCATCCCCGTAGCCAAGTCAATTCAAGAGCGAGGGGTGGGGCATACTTCTTTTTCGCTCGGGGCAAAAGAGCGGGAGTTTCTAATGTGGAGAGGTTGTGACTCCAACTAAATTACGTCCTATAGTGTAAATATTGCTTAAAACTTTTTTTTTTCTTTTGCTGAAAATTTGTTTTGTGACATGCTTGTCCCAATTAGGCTGAATAAAAAAAACATCTTTTTTCCTTGCAGTTACCCTTTAATACATTCAAAATTTGTTTCCCAAGAAAACTTTTGTCAGGAAAGAAAACTAAAGCTAAGGAGCTGTTTCCTTGTTTAAGAGTTACCGTATTTACTCGAATCGAACTTGCCCTCGATTGTAACGCGCACCCGTGTTTCGAGGTCCGAAAAAAAACAAAAAAAAAACGCAATGACTTGATTGTTACGTGCACCAGATTTTGTGGGTTGGATACAGAAATGAAACGTTTTCTTATTCGGAACAACGAAGGTTTATTCCAAATGCTTGTGATGAAATGATGGGCGCTGTCTCTCTGGCGGCAAGGTCATCATCATTTTGAAATGTCAATGGCAATACGGTAGCGCAGTTTTGGGTCGCACTTGATTCTAGCGCGCATGTGATTTTTGGACCTATATGCGAGGAAAAAAGGTGCGCTTTAGATTCAAGTAAATATGGTATATGCCTTGAATGGCAGTTGAGGGACCACTTCCGGTCTTGGCATTGATCCAATAAAGCAATGTAGAAGCCTACAGACCTTGTAAATGATAATGCACATAGTACTAGGGAGTATCTAGCTCATAGTTATGTATCAATGGATGGCTCAGGCTGGCTTGAGTAGTGCACCAGAAGGACGCTTTACTTCAGAGAGGAACGATCGAAGAAATTTGGGGGCTCGGGGAACCCATGAAGGCACTGAAGGGAACCCCAAGGGTTTGAGAAGCCATTCTGTATAGCAAAGGGCTACAATAACGTTCATCTTTGAAAATTGTCCAGCTTAATTGAAGATGAAATACTGATTTCAAGACCAACTCCAGAATGTCACCAGTTCATCAAATCTTAGCTGTTCATAAGCCAAAACCACATAAGTATCTTGGAAAAAAAAAAAAAAAAGCAAGTTTGTAAAGAATGCTAAGTAATGAAGAAATAGGTCTGCTTTGTTGAAGGATATTGTTTGTTATGCTGTTGTGCACGAGGAATGCCCAGCAAAACGAAAAGAGATGAAGTGTGACCTTCAGCAAACAAGAACCTAACAAAATTTAAATGGCTTTTTGTTTTCTCTGTCATCTCCTAAAGTGGCAAGAAAAGAAAGAAGAGCCAGAGAGGGAACAAGAGCCGGGAGCCTTCTGCTCTCGAAGCAGTACGGGTATTTGATCTGCACGCATTTCAACAATAGCTGGGCAGTGCGTTTTTCATTGTGCTCTCTGGCGTTCCAAGAATGTTTTTAAAGGTTACGCTCGTCCTAGTGCGCGGCCGTGGGCTCAGCACATGATTTACTGCAGGAATACAACTTTTAGGCAACATTCTTTTTTTAAATGCTGCAGTGATAAGTTGTAATAGACCAGCAGTTCTCAAATGGGGGTCTGCAAAGGTACTCTAGGGGTCTACGAAGCCCAGCCCCATCAGTCAAGCCCAGAAATTAAAGTTGTCTTTTCTCAGATCGAGAAGAAACATTCTAATTTGTGGGTAAGTTTTCTCGTGTATATGTCAGTAAGATAAGTTTACTTCACATTAGCCCTTAGTTATTTTCATTTATTAAATCGCTATCTTAATTTACCTATACTCTCCCTTCTTTTCACCACTAACGGGGTCCTCCATCATCTTTGCCAATCCAGAAGGGGTCTGCAAAACATCAATGGCTGAGAACCACTGTAGTAGACCATGTGGAAAAATACAAATACCTCAAGTTATGGCTTAATGAGTGAAGGAAATTTTTAAAGGAACATGGAGGAAACATAATTAGGACAGGGAATATAAATTCAGCTGTTATGAGGCTTGAGGCATTGTTGATTTATAATAGGTATGAAGTGGTCACTGGTATATCGAAAGGAGTGATGGTGCTTAGACCGTCTTTTGGCAATAGGGTACTGTGCATGAGGTCGGATGTTAGATCAGGATTAGAAATCTGACAAAGGGGCATGGGCAGGCTGGCAATGGAGCGTATGGGAACACACTGAATGAGAGAGTACAAGGAAACATAAGCTGGTTGTTTTTTGAGAGAGGAGGGACATTCAGTAAGTTTAAACTTGAACAAAAGTTTTCTAATGTAGGATATATGGTAGGCGTTGAAAGTGTACAAGCAATTATTCATAAATAAAAAATTTAAACTCTAATTGGGCAAACTGAACCTGAAAGCTGACCTTTAAATACCTACACACTTGTGGTAGGACTAAGCAGACTAATTCAGTGGAGAAGGGAGTAAACAAGCAGAAAGGAAAATGTGGGATAAAAGAATAAAAGGGAAATCAGCCTTAGCAATATAGAGATCACAATAACAGAACATAAGAAATGAATAGATATTTAATAATTCACAGGGAAGCCCTTTACTGTTTGGGTGAGAACGGGAGTGTTAACGACAAAGACACGCTGTAAGGCTAAATATCGAGAGATAGACATATGAGCCTTGTGCCACAGTGACAGTGAGATGCTAGGACATGTGGTTTCGAAGTGCATGGGACTTTGTCCTGCCTTCTCTGAAGGGGTATCAGATTTGGCAGGAGCACTGGGTTTTGCTGCTCAGAATGGAAGGCCGGAGAAACAAAGAATTTTGATCACAAAAAAGTATAGAGAAGTGTACGACAATGCACAAAGTTGATGGGGCACATTATTTAATGAGGGACGTAAGTTACAGCCAAATTTAAAGGGGAGGGGATGTAAATGCTTCTAGGCTAAGTGGCACAAGCTACCGCCCAATACAAGGCGTACTGCCAATACAATGCATCCATCCTATGATGGAACACATACGCCCGCTGAAATTGTTTTGATCATCTTCAGAACGTCTTGCAATAGAACAGCGTTTGGCTAGGGACAGATGAGCAAGGTAGGTTTTTTCTGCTACTACCAAGGACAGAGTAAGAGAAAGAGGTTTGTCTCAATTATATTACAAGAATAGCACCTTCATAGAAGGAACATCAATGTGCCATCGCATATGGACGTGAAGCACTGCAAAAACGGGCCCATTTTTTTTTTTTTTTTTACACCGTTTTTATTTTAGGGGCAAAGCTCTTTAGGGTCTAGCCTTGTCCGTTTGGCGTCCGTGCTCACATTGATTGCCATCCCATCTGTCTTGTTAAAAAAAGAAAAAATGTTTGTGCAGTCAACAGGATTTGAACCTGTGCGGGGAGACCCCAATGGATTTCTAGTCCATCGCCTTAACCGCTCGACCACGACTGCGGAACGAGTAGGGGGCTCTGAGATGTGGTAGTAACTCGAGCTGGGGATGTCATGGATGAAACGTTGCATGTAGTCGCTCAACGTCTATACAGGAGAGGGCGCTGCGGTCAAATGCGTATATAATCGCGTTAAACTTTGCAAGCTCAACGTTAATAGATGAGAGGGCGCTGCGGTCAAATGCTCAAATGCGTATATAACCACGTTCCATACGAACGTGGTTATATACGCATATTCGAACCCAGGACCATTAACAATAGAACAGAAGTTAGAAAAGATTTTGGAAAATCAGGGCCAGATGAGTAAGGATCTTCAAGAAGTTAAAAGTGGTCAAGCAAACCTTAGGCAAGAAATGCATAATATTCACGGAAAAATTAATAAACTGGAAAATGCAATGTCAAATATTCAGAGCGAAATGGTGAAAGTTGATAGTCTAAAGGAAGTCGTTGCAAACCTAGAACAGACAGTCAGACAGCAAAGTGAAAAGCTAATTGACCTAGAAAATAGAGGAAGGCGAAATAATCTACTTATATTTGGCTTACCCGAAAAACACAACGAAAGCACTGAGGAACTGAAGCGAACCGTAACGAAAGATGTCTTCCTGGAGACTCTCGGCATCACAGTAACTTCGATTGAGCGAATTCACAGACTTGGACGTAAGCGCGAGGAAACGAATAGACCGGTAATCATAAAGTTCTTCGACTACAACGAGATAGAGGAAATATTTAAAAACTGTAGAAAACTAAAAGAAACTAAGCTCAGTATCAGTAGTGACTACGCAAAAGAAACAGTGCAAGTAAGAAAACTATTATGGGGAAGCGCGGCATCGAACAGAGCAAAGGGCGATAAGGTATCACTTGTACATGACAAGCTGAAGATTAATGGTGAAACATTTGTGTGGGATCTTAATCTAAACCAGCGACGTCGTGTTCAACCCAGTGGGGCAGCCTACAACTGACGCGATGCAAGGGCGGCTGAAAACAATCCACCTGAATTGAGAGTTATTAGCCTAAACGCCCGAAGTGTGGTTAATAAAATTGAAGCTCTAGAAATTTTGTTTCTTGCCCACAGTCCCCATGTGGTAGCTATTACAGAAACATGGCTAAACTCCAATATAGAAAGCAATTGCATTGTTCCCCCCAATTATAAGTTAGTTAGGTGTGATAGAACTACCAGAGGCGGGGGTGTGGCTATTTGTTTGAGAAATGACATTGATTGTGTGGTGCTTGAATGCGACTGTGATGAAACTGTTTGGTGCCGAATTTCTTATTACAGTCGAACGTTCCTTTTCGGAGTGGTTTATAGAACGCCAAACGCACCAGTAGAATTTTTGGAGGGCTTGAATGAGTTTTTGTGCAAATATGTAAATGATACTACCAAGGTAATCATGACTGGAGATTTTAATTTGCCCCATGTAAATTGGGGTCTTTTGACAGCTGGTGGCATTGATATCCTTAACGGAGAAAAAATAATTGACATAACGTTTAATCACAACCTTACCCAAATAGTCAAGGAATACACTAGAATCACCGACCAGTCTCAGTCAACATTAGACCTTGTCTTTATTACAGAAAACATATCGGATTACGAGATTTCAATTGTAGAAGGAATTTCAGACCATAAAATGATTTTGTTTACGATTCCACTACCACGACAGGGTCATTGCAGGGTTGCTAGGCCCCTAATTGTTAAAGACTTTACTCGCGCAGACGATACAAGTATTATAGATTACTTAGAGACATCCTTAGAAACATTAGACCAACTAAGCATTACAAGTACAGTGGATGATCTGTGGAATTTTTTTAAAACTACTACTTCCTTTTGCATTAATTCCTTTGTTCCCAATAAAACTAAAAAGACATATCGCACAAATCCCTGGATAACGCGTGAAATTATCCACCTAAAACGTCAAATCAAAAGGCACAGAAAAGGATTTAAAGAACATATAAATGCTCTAAAAATTAAATTAAAAACATCACTCAAACAAGCCAAAGAGAGATTCTTTTCAGTGACTCTTCACAACTTTATAAAAACTGCCCCTCAGAAATTCTGGCGTTTCTTAAGAGGAAAGAGGGAAATGATCGAGCAGATTGTTGAAAATGATGTGGTCATTACTGACAGTGCAGAAATGGCAGATCGGTTTAACGTGTTTTTCCAATCAGTCTTTTCAGCCCACGACGTACAAAATCTCGATGAGGCCTTTCATTCTGATATTGAAACGAGTACGCCAGAAATAGAGATAAGCCGGTCCGGAATATTTGCTAAGCTATTGTCACTGGATACAAAAAAATCAACAGGCCCGGATAAAATACCGAATGAATTCTTAAAGCGATATGCAGAGTGGCTATCTTTTTATTTAAAAATTATCTTCGACAAATCATTACAAACGGAGTCACTCCCGCAAGATTGGCTATCCGCACGTGTCGTCCCTGTGTTTAAAGGAGGAAGCCGCTTTACGATAGAAAACTACCGGCCTATTTCATTGACCAGCGTTTGCTGTAAAGTGATGGAGCACGTCATTTCAAAATATATATTTACTTTTTTAGAGGAGTGAAAGACGTTATACTCTCATCAGCATGGCTTTCGAAATGGTTTGTCAACCGTAACGCAGCTTGTTGAAACGTTTCATGATTTTTCTTTATCTGTAAATAATAAGGAACAGATCGATGTAATTTGTATAGACTTTTCAAAAGCATTCGACCGCATACCTCACAAAAAATTATTATTCAAATTAAAAAAGATAGGTTTGTGTGATAAAATCGTTAACTGGATAGAAGCATACCTGTCAAATCGGAGTCAAAAAGTTGAGATAAATGGAAACATATCACCACCTCTATCTGTAACCTCAGGAGTCCCGCAGGGCTCAGTCTTAGGTCCATTATTGTTTTTGATATATATAAATGATATAGCTACGCATATTGCAGAACCAGTAAAACTAAAACTTTTTGCAGATGATTGCCTTCTTTACTCTGTCATAAACAATACTAATGATCAATTAGCTCTTAATAGGAACCTGGAAAATCTAAGGCAATGGTGTGAGGACTGGCAAATGCAAATAAATTTTCGTAAGTCGACATATATCCATATAACGAACAAAAAAAGCGTTTTGAAATTTTGTTATAATATAGGCAATGTTAATTTGAGTGTTGTAAACAGTTTTAAGTACCTTGGTGTGGTGATCTCACACGATTTGCAATGGCGCACCCATATAGATAATGTCTACTCCTCTGCCTATCGAAGTTTGTGCTTTCTTAAACGAAAGTTAAAACATGCAACTAGTAATGCCAAAATCACAGCTTATAAGACAATGATCCGTCCTATTTTAGAGTACGCCAGCATTGTATGGAGTCCAACCAAAAAGTAGACATCAATAGACTAGAAAAAATTCAAAGGCAGGCTGCACGTTTCATTCTTAATAAATACAAACGAACAGACTCTGTGACTGAAATGCTTAGCCAGTGTGGACTTCAATCATTAGAAACTAGACGGAGAATAGCGCGGCTAAAGTTCTTATTTGCGTTGTATAACAATCACTTAAACATTGAACCTGAACTATATTTAAATGAAACACATAAACGATCGCGCAGATTAAATCACAATAAAACAATCCAACCGTATAATAGTAGGATAGACGTTTTTAAATATTCATTCTTTGTGCAAACAATTGAAGACTGGAACCAACTTCCAGATTATGTCATTAATTCTGCAAATATGTCCCAATTCGAGTCTTCTTTAGAAAAGATATTTACCCAGCAATAAATAAGAAGGGCGTTTTTCCTTTTTTTCTATTTCACTTCTTTTTACAAAGTGTGGCGATATGGTTCACGTTGTCTTCAATTAAAAATTGTATAACAGTCTTCTATTACGTACATATGTATAGAGTTCAAATTTTTGATATGACTATATATATTGTTGTTACCTCTCCTGTAATAGCCTTCAAGTGAAGGCTGACAGTATTCTTAAATAAAAATAAATAAAAATAGCACACATTCTCTTTCTGACATCAGCACTATTTATGAACAAAATCAGTATCATCAGCACCACCAGAGCTTCGCCCCAATCAACATCATTCACCACGTGGAGGTGCGGTCATTTTCTTTTTGTCTTATCAGCTTGTGCAAGTTTATACTCTTCCACTGCTCATTACGTCATTGTTAGTGGATTCCCGACCTGCTTCCAGCGGCAGGTACACCGAAGATAAACGAGAGTGTGCCTCAAAGTGTTAGACACGCACCTCTTTGACATCGCCACACTGTAGCATTGAGCTCCTTGTGACGCGCTGCATGACATGCTCGCGTCAACGGGAATATGAGCTTGGTGGGGTCTTGTAGATTTACTGGCGACAACACAAGAGGAATAAAAGGTGCAGAATTTGCGTTTGAGGTTGCATTGTTTCAGTCTGGGCATTGGGCCACGTGTCTTGAATCCCGGGAACTTGCCACGTGACCCATGCCACCTCTTGCAGGGGAGCTCCTGGCAGGGGTGGCCCAGAGGGTGCAACTGGTGGTGACCTCTGGGAGCCACCCAGTAGCACCCGAGGACAGGGTGTCCCTCAAGGCCTCCAGGGGGCTCCAACTCAAGGCAAGGACCCCGTCCCAATTGTCCACTTTTTTAGGCCCCGCAATTTGTCCGTCTATGGTCACCGACAACATACCATATTTACTCGCATAATTTGCGTCCACGCATAATTTGCGCACCCCAAACTTAAAGCCCAAATTTCCAGAAAAAAAAAAAAAAAAAAAAAAGCTTTTTTGTTAGTTAGGGTGTCTAGTGACTGGGAAAACCGGGAATTCTCAGGAAAATTTTAACCACTGGGAAAAATCAGGGAATTGTCAGGGATATTGTCAAAAGGCGAGCCCAGACAGGAAAAATGAGCCAGATACACCATCGAGTGCCCTGAGCAGAGGCTTGAGGCTTGGGGGCAGAAAAATAGGCAATAAATTCTGCTTAGAGCGAAGCGCAGGCTCTGCTTACCCGGTGTAGAGTCTGCTACACGATGCAAAGGGAACAGCCGACAAATTTAGTCCAAGCCTTGGATTAGATTGGTGTGGATACTAGGCTAGATCCAGTTATAGTTACTACATTTAGTAACAAATTGGAAAGCCACAGACCCCAATCCAACCCAAGCCCTAGGCCGAAAGTATCCGAAAGTGTGCATCTGGCGACCATGCTGCCATTTGGTTATTGACGGTGTGGTTGAGTGTTGTGTTCTCATCGTGTCTCCTTTCTGGAAGTGGCCTCTTCGCCAACGATGTAGTGCTCGTTTAATCCAGACTGGGCGAACCTGAATATTTTGGAATATGCAAGTTGGATTAAGCCCGTGCAAAATGATCCTTACAGTGTTCAATGCCTTGTGTAGTAATGGTTTTATATATTTAATCGCCTCTGCAGTAGTCAGGGAATTTCACCTGAAATAGTCAGGGAAAACCTGGAAAAGTCAGGGAAATTCAAGATAATGATTTTGCTAGATACCCTGCTTAATATGGACACCCCACTATGTAGAAATGAATTTTTAGGGACAAATTGAGTCGACATACAGTCGTGCCCGGTTAGGTATATCACACTCGGGTATTTCGAATTATTGTTTATATGAAACAGTCCAAACATGCCCTTGAAAATCACATGTAATAGTATAGGAGCGTTGCCTTTTTGTATCGAACTTTCATGGCAGGGACACTCTATGATATAGCAAACGAAGCCCTGGCTGCCCTTTGCTTTTCGCGAGATTCGACTCCGCCGGTGGCGAACACATTGCTTGCCTCGTATGGCTGGCAGACCCCCAAGCAGCATACATGCTGGAAGACATGCAAGGAAAGAGCAGTTGTAAAAACAATATAAAATAAACCGTAAAAAAAAAAGAAAAATATTGAGGATCGCAAAAGGAAGGGCATGCACTCATGTGGGGAGCGCAGGGAGTGCCTACTGTGGGAACGGTAGCCCGCGCCCTTTCCTCGAACACTGTTGATACTGGATGCTGCATGACTCCCTGGCCCCAAAATAAAATAAGCAAACAAAAAGTCTTCGGCAAGTCCAGTGTGTCGACAACAACGGTTGTGCAATTGCACTTTGAACGCCTTATCTTTGTTTACTTTGTTTTTTTGCCGTTATTGATTTGCCCCCTTTTTTTTTGCCTTTCTTTTTTCGCTGCTTGAATTTAGTGCTTTCTTTTTTTTTTGTTTAGCTTTTTCTTTTGCCGTTATTGCTTTGCCCGTTTTTGGGGGTTTTTTTACCTTTTTTTTTTTTTTGCTGCCCGAGTTTAGTGAGCTTTCTTTTTGTTGCTTGCTTAACTTTTTTTTATGGATCGAGATATTTTTTATGCGTATTGCTTTTCCAATTTTCTGTCATTTTTTATTTTTTTTTAGTTTCCTAGCTGTTTTGTTGTTTATACTGTGAGGTCCCGTCCAGGCATAGAGATCATACATACTAACGTTTTGCTGCCTGGATACACTTACAATAGAAGAGTTCACAAAATATTTATTGCACAGATAAAACAATAAAAAATGGAACACACATTAGACTGAAGGGTGGGATTACAATGAAAGACAGTATACATATTAGTGTGAAGGGTGAGGTTGCCTTGCTCGCAACAGCGAATTGATGCGTGGCTCAGTCACGCTTAGAACCAGCCTCATATCTGCTGCCGGGTTCAGTCGGTTCCTGTGCTTGTTTTTCAGGTAGGCTAGTGCTGAGAATGCCTGCTCGTAAGCATATGTAGTTGCAAAAGGAAGAAGCATGTCCACTGCCCTGCCAAAGAGGTATGGGAACAGTGAGGCAGTCTCCATCCAAAATGCAACCACATCTTGGCTGCTGAACTTCTCTTTGAGTGCAGTGCTTGCTCTGACTTCAAGGAACTCGTTTTCAATCTCAACAGCCTCATTGTTGAATGCTGTTATGTCCATATGGAAAGGGGACACAAGCCACTGAGCACTGGCCACCTCCGGAAAGTAATTGGCTAAATGAGCCCTGAGTGTACTGAGGTGAGCCGTGATTACCGCTCTGTCAGAAGCAGACAGATCAAGTTGAGCCTCACAGGTGCACAGCCTCTTGAAAGGGCTGTGATCTCCCCTGCTCATGTGGCTCATCCAGCCCTGCAGTTTGCTGCAGAAGGCCCTGATCTGGTCAGCAGCACTGACTAGGGTTAATTGTCTGCCCTGAAGGCTTTGGTTCAGTATGCTAAGGTGTTCAAACATGTCAGCCAGGTAGGCTAGCTTGATGAGAAAAGAGCTCTCCACAAAAGGATCAACAAGTGCTGGATCGTCGGCGAGAAAAGTAGCTAACTCATCTTTTAAGTCGAAGACCCTGCTCAGCACGTTCCCACGTGACAACCAGTGCACTTCTGTGTGAAGCAGCAGGTGTTCATGTGCTGCTCCCACCTCTCCTGCACAGTGCCTTGAAAAGCCGAATGGCTTTGGGCTTGGACTTGACCGTATTGATGATTTTGACAACATGGTTCATTACAACCATCAACTCGCTGCTGAGCTCTTTTGAAGCTAAGGCTTCCCTGTGGATCATGCTGTGTGTGAACAGAATGCTGCTGTTGACCTGCCTGATCAACCCTATCAGCCCCTTCACATGCCTAGTCATCGCTTTTGTGCCATCAGTGCAAATAGCAATGCACTTGCTCCAACTGAGCCCTCCACTTACAAAAAACACATTCAGCGCATCAAATATGGCCCTTCCCATTGTGGTTGTCTTCAGTTCAAGACAGCAGAGGAACTCTTGCACAATTGTGCCGTCCTAAAGGTACCTCACGAATACCACCAGCTGCGGGTACCCCGAAACGTCGCAGCTTTCGTCCACGGCGATCGCAAATTTCGGGGAGTTTTCGGCGCACTTGATCACTTGACTCTCCACGTCAGACGCTATTTCGCAGATCCGCCGGCCAACAGTGTTATTTGAGCATGGTATTTGCTGCAACCTCTTTAGGTGCTCTTCTCCGATTGCAGTCTTGATCACATCCTGAACGCAAGGCATGATGAGATCCTCGCAAATTGTGTGAGGTTTCAACCGCTTCACGATTCGGTAGCTGAGCAGATATGTCGCTTTCGTTTTGCTCAGAGATGATGATGTTAAGTCTTGGAACCAAAAACGTGCCTATATCAGAAACAGTTCCCCAGAGCGCTTGATAAATTTTCTCACCTCTTTGTGTGAACCAAGCTTCATCGCTTCCAGCTGTTGTTGCTTCTTTGCGAAATACTTGGTTGTCCTGTCCCTGTATGCTGGATGTTTCGTGGAGAGGTGACGCGAAAGCTTCGCTGGGTTCATAGAGCTATTGGCCAAAACTTCGGCACAAATAACACACTGAAGATTTCCTCGTTTTTGCGTAAATTCATACTGGAGGTAACTGTCGCAGTATGCTCTCGGTTTCTCTTTCTTGCTCATTGAGATTTAAATGCATAAATACACGTTTATAGCTCGTAATTGTGTCTAAATAGTGCAAGAAAAATACAATTTCATGATGACGATGGCAAATTGCAGCAATTGGTTGCTGCGTGCGAACGCGGGCGGCCCGTGTTGCTGCTGTTGCGACGTCAAGTTTCTGGGTGAAATTGCCCCATCTGAAGCGGGACTGAGTGGCGTGAGGGCCATGAGTGCGCGAGGGGCGTGAGTGGTTTGAGTGCGTGAGGGCCGTGAGGGCAGTGAGTGCATGAGGGGCGTGAGGGCCATGAGTGAGTGAGGGCGGTGAGGGCCGTGAGTGCGTGAGGGGTATGAGTGTGTGAGGGCGGTGAGGGCTGTGAGGGGCGTGAGGGGCGTGAGGGCCATGAGGGCGGTGAGGGGCATGAGGGCTGTGAGTGTGTGAGGGGAATGAGGGGTATGATGTCTGAGGGCGGTGAGTGCATGAGAGCTGTAAGAGCGTGAGGGGAATGAGGGGTATGATGGCATGAGGGTGGTGAGGGGCGTGAGGACCGCGAGGGCAGTGAGGGGCGTGAGGCCCATGAGTGCGTGAGGGCCGTGAGGGTGAGTGAAAGACTGAAGGTGAGTGTGACTGTGAGGATGAGGGTGAGTGAGGGGCTGAAGGTGAGTTTAGCTGTGAGGGTGAGGGTGAGTGAGGGGCTTAGGTGAGTGTGGCTGTGAGGGTGAGGGTGAGTGAGGGCGACCTGAAATGCCGATCTCTGCAAGGTGCCCCCCCCCCCCCCCCCTTCCGTAGCGAGGAGAATGCATGAGCGGCGCCGGCCGCTCAGGCGCAAAACATGACGCCCGAGGAATGCGAGCGAGTGGTGATTATGGCGGGCAGGCCGCCGGCTGCTGCTGTTTTGGTTGTTTTCCTTCACCAAAAGCTTTCTGCTACAAGAAGCAGCGCAGCTCTACGGTTACGCCGACTCGGTGACTCGATAGCTCCATGCCTTCGGTAGGGTCGCAAAATAGGTTGACTCTTAATATTTTACAACATTTCCTAAAAAAAAAAGTAAACTCATAATCGAATAAATACGGTATTCTGACTAGAGCCTTATTTAAGAAGACTGTTCCTTTTACGCCCTATCTATTCTTATCACAAATGGTAAAAAGTAATATGCTCGAGCACCAAAGAGAAACCCTCGATCACTGTCATAAATGAACTCATTTAAAGATTACTAACGAAAAACAGCGCGAAATATTGACAAAGGACAGGTAGAAGGAGTAGATACGACTAGTGCTTTAAGATGTAATCACTTTTCCATTCTCAAGTGATGTGCTACCGGATGTTGGCATCTGCTCCAAAAGCGTGAATGGCTGCTCGAAGCCAGCTACCTGCTACAGAACCTGCTAAGACAAGGTCAGATGTCGCTCCCATCGCTGCGCTGGCTCCTACGACATAATTTGCTGCTGTACGGGACCTGTTTAGATGTGGAGGCGGTATGAGACGCCGAACAGATCATTTGGAGACACGTTCCAGGCGCCAAACTGACTGCGAGCGTTGTCCGCAGGTGACCGGTGGGGAGTTTACGGCCGAAGCGAGCGTCCCGGTGGGGCCCCTGGAGCCCTCGCAGAGCGCTAGCGTAGAGCTGCAGCTGCTGGCCCAGGTATCCAGGGACACACTGAGCCACCAGGTGTCTTTGTCCCTGCTGGAGGCGAATGCCCAGGTGCAGCTACACTTCCTGCCACCGTTCGAGTGCTCCCACAGGCTTCACACCTGCCACCAAAGGTGAGCCCTGTCCCTTGCCACAAGCTGGCCCTTTAATGAGGAATGTGCTCTATTGGCCGAATTCCATGAAAAGACCGACACGTTTGAGCCACATGTTCCAGCATTACGCATACCCGTAGTTTAAAGCCGTATATAATGGGCGCCATAAGTTAATGCGCTCGAGCGCGCTTCAGCAGTCGGAGTGCACTTCAGCTAAACTAAATGACATTGTCTCATTTCCGATGCGCGGTGATGGGGCGAGCTCCTTTGTCGGACATGGTGCGCGAGAGGTCAAACAGGTCTGTTTCCGGTAAGATGATGGCGTTTCCACTTTCGCGGCCAGTCTCGCTGTAGTCTCACGCGTCTCGGATACTTCGACGGCGATCACTTGGCAGCTCATGCAGTCGTAAAAAATGCTGGTGTAGACAAGTATGCATACATCCTTCAAATGCCCGTCAAAATTCTTCATGTGCCTTGCTACAATTTCAGGATCAGGCGAGCCGATGAATTTGGCCATTCAGGCGTCATTCTTTAAATCTTTTGGGAATTCAGACGACGTTCGGCGTACTTTTAGTCGCTGCACCAACAGCGTGCAGAACAAATGCAAGCTCTTGCTGTTGCCGCCTTCACCGTCTCCGCGCACTTATTTGATCAAAGTCCTCGTCGAACAAACACTCAACGAGTTTCGAGTTTTGACATGGTGAAAGCCATGTTTAATTGCGTGCCAGAAAGCCGTAACTGGAAACATAAAGAGTAGGCGTCAGATGCCACCTCGGTTCGAAAAAAAGTGAGGTCGTTAAAGGGGCCCTGCAAGGACTTTTTTACTGGTTTTTAATTTGCACCAAACCTGAGCGCACTGAACAAAGTAACTTAATGAAACTTTTCTTTTCTCAAATTTCGCTTTAGTTTAAAAGTTATAGGCAAATTAAAATTACAAAAACAAGCAAAAAATAACCTCCTTCATGACGTCCTTGGTTGCCTGAGTGGCCGTGAACTAGAGGAGGGGTAGTGAGCCCAGCGAGCGCTCACGGCTGCCGCACTTCGTGTCGACGGCGCGAGAGGGCACCACTAAAGCATAATCTGAATAGGCTGTATGCAGCGGGCAGCCAGAGCGGCTCTCAATGCATCGTTGGTTGTTGCTTGCCGGAGGCCTGTTCATTAGATCAGAAATTTGCTATGAATTGATTTTAAAATGTGATAAAAGACTCGATGGACTAGACAAAAATGTTCCTAGAATTTCCACAGCAGTTCCTAAAGAGTAGTTAATAAAGAAAGTTTTACGCGCTACAAAATGGTGCAAAATTTTATTGCTTTAACAACAATCTGTGCGGCGATTTCGGTAACAGTTTATACTTGCGAGTTCCCGTGCCTGCATTACAGGAAGGGCATTGCAGGAAACTTCTAAGAAAGATCCATACAACGCACTCTATACTCTACACTAGTGATTCTCAACCAGCGATGTTTCAGAAATCCTTTCATCAGCGGATGCGATGGGGGACCACATCCACTGGGGTATCGAACAATTACAATAAAAAAAGTGTAAATGGGATATACTCACTGCATGCAAACCAACTTTGGAGCTTTGAAACAGAGAATAATCAAGCCTACTCACTTGGTGGGCATAGTTTGGTCTATTCAGCATTGTGGAACAGCCAGCATCAATGAAAAATTTGTAACTTTATCACTCGGCTCGATCGACAGTCGAGGCCTTCGTGGAACCTGGAAATGTCTTCAGGGACCTCCAAAGTGTCCATACCCTTTTTGGGAACCGCTGCACTATTCCAATAAAACAATTTTTGCTGCAGTTTGGACAACACATTACTGAAGGTTGTTGAAAGGAAGCCAAAGAGGTTCTCGAAAAAGCGAGTTAAATGTGAATTCTTGCGTATCTTTGTCCTGTGAATTTGAATATCACGAGCATTTGACCCGGATGTATTGACAGACGCGAGAAAAACCTAAAAACCGACCGCCAGGCGTGACGTCATACCCAGAGGTTTTAGCTGTCTCATGCGTGCCGCTTGTGAAGGAACGCATGCAGCGCTTTTGACTGCTCGGGTAAGGCTTGCGGAAAGCTCAGAAATGTGGAGATCTCTGTATATTATGTCATGATACCATCCTTGCACTGAACACAACGAGAAGGAGGGGCTTCGGCGCTATGTCGAAAGGGCCATTGTGGCTACTTGGCGCATTAATCTGAAATATAATTTTGATACTCGTAATTCTGGAGGCCAAATAAAGACAAAATTTTTTTCTCAAATACAGAACTGCTCCTGTTTCCTTTTAAATGTGTTTCTAGTCAAAACAAAAATGCAGTGCAGTTCTACAGTCGTTGACCGATTTTTCCGACACCGATAATTCGAACTTGTTTGATATGCGAGGAGGAGGCGAGGACAGGATGCCTTCATTATGCGCGCTTTGCTTAGGCGAGGGCTTCTCCGCCTCTCTTTCTTATCTCCATGCGCGCGACCCAAAATCCAGACTGCACTGTGCAAAAAAAAAAAAGCTCCCCTCCATGTTTTTTTTTTTTTCTTGCTTCCGTTAGATCTTTTTTTATTGTTTTAACGCCTTTGCAAGGCGTTTTATTCGCCCACGCTGCCCATGCATTTGCGACCTCACTGCACCGGGATAAAAAAGTGTGTTCATTTCGCGCGCGTGGGGGGACGGAGTCAAAATTTTTACGTCCGAGTTGTGGGTGCGTTTAATACGCGAGCGAATAAAAAAGTCGAAATTTTGAGAGCCGACTTGGGTGCGTTCGTTACGCGAGTGCGTTCATTGTGCGCGTAAATATGGTAGTTTACTTGACTAAACATAATATTTACAATATTCGGTGACCGAGCCGGGGCAGCTGGAGCTGGAGAGGTTGGAGCGGCCAATGAACTAGTGTTGCTGCTTCTAGCTGCTTCCAAACGGTCGTCCTCCACTGCGCCACATCGTCTGCTACGTGATGCCATTCAAGCAGTTGTTTTTAGAATTTACCCTCTTACGTGGCACTTAGTGCAAATAATTCTAAAATTTTATTTTTTTATGTCAAAAACTATTGTCATTTCATACATCCTCAAAATATTGAGTAAAAATATATTTTTTCACGTTCCCCATGCATTTGTGATCAGAGCTGGAACCTCCGGGTGTTCGCTGCCAGTCGCTGAGAGATATGGCGTTCTAGATTGCGCTACTCTGCTCTGAAGGAGTTATATAGTGCTCTAGGAAACACAACCGAGAAGCGGCCATTTTGGCTTTTATGTTGGCTGCACATGGATTGGCTTGGCTTGGCAGCGCTACTTAAATCAGTAATGCTAAGTCCTACCACTAGGTGACGCTGTATGTTTTTTTTCTCTAGCTGCACAATATTATCATCATCATTGTTGTTACCATTTTGCTTTGTTCATTTGCCATTGCAGTCGTGGACTTTCGCCTCTCATCTCGACCTTATCTTTGTGAATCATGTTTTCGGACTACGGTAGCTTGGGCATCATTGCCCCATCTGTTCTTCTACGCCGCAATGTTTCGCTAAGAAGCGCAGAAAGTACTCGACGATAACACTAGAAAAGAAGGCAGTGATTTTTAAGCTAATAGAAAGTTGCCGAATGCAAACGGAGGCATAATCTGAAGCAAGGTGCGCAGACGTAACCTGAAGCTAAGCACTATTTATTAGGGATGGGCGAATATTCGGTTATTACGAATAGCCAATCGAAATTCTGTTCTATTCGGCATTCGCTTCGAATCGAATTTAAGTATTCAACAATATTGAATTATTCGACAATATAGAAATTATTGACCTTTCTAAATACAGTCAAACCCGCCTATATCGAAGCCGTTTACATCAAATGATTCCTTATATCGAACAGTTTTTGTGCACAGTAATGTTACAGTGATCTTATATAGCAAAAACTATGGTTACATCGAACAAAAATTGCAGAGCGCCGTTTTGCTCTGCAAGCTGGCTTTCCCCCAACGCGAGCGGCCGCATTGGGGGAAAGCCAGCTTGCAGAGCATGCTGACTTTTTTCCGGGCGGTTGCGTTGGTTGCTTGGAAAAAAAGAAAACATATCGTTTGTGAAGGGAGCGGAGAGAGGGTGTTCCGTACTCCCTCTACCCGCTCCGTCCGCAATAGAGAATATTATTTCTTCTTTTAAGCAATTAACACAACCGCCCGGGAAAAAAAAAACAAGAAAAAAAAAAAACAGCTTGTTCTGTTCCACCTCTTTTAGGGGAAAGCCAACTTGCAGAGCAAAACGGCGCCCTGCAGGAGAAGGCGCTCCTGCTTGGACGTGCTCCGTGCTCTCAGCATAGTTCGGCGCCAATGCGCGAATATACAAGGTAGCGGCCTCATCGTTTTGGAGTCCATAGATAGCGTAGAAAAATATCGTTATCGCGGATGCAATGAAGAAAAAGCAGCAGAAGATGCAAGACTACTTCATTGTGTAATATTTCAGCAGAAAGTGTATTTTTGAGAGTCGAATTCATTAAAACTTTTATATTGAATTGCCCGCTCTATCGAACTGGTAGACGTTTTTTTGCGAGTTCGATATAAACGGGTTTGACTTACTCTGACTTGGATTTCCGGCCAGGTGGCGCGAGCTTCCGACCATTTCGTGCTCCCGAACTCAATACACTTAAAATTAACAATTACAGTACTTCTAATACCAAATAAGTGCAAATATAAAACTATAGTTTAAACATATCTTGTGGTATTTGTTGCTTGTACTATTCAAACTATTTGATTTGAAATTATTCGGCCAAAGTCACTATTCGCTTCGAATTCGATTCGGACCCAAAATCCTCTATTTGCCCATGCCTACTATTTATGACTTTTTTTGTTTTTTTAATTTGATGATTTTTTGGACTGCTTTATTATTCTACCGTCTTTTCGGTCCCTGCGAAGTCCGAAAAATCGGTTGGCGACCGTATTGATTTTATCTGAGATCTTTGTGGAGTTAGGCAAAGATTGTGCAATGGACGGTGCTTTCCTGTCTCTTAGCCGGCATTGCTTTCAGCAAGGGTGAAGTATGGGCGGTTGGTGATGCTTGTTTTGTGACTCCCTTCAGGAAGTATGTGCAGGTGTCCCTGCAGGGGCTCACGAGCCAGTGCTTCACAGTGGGCAACGCCAGCCTGGTGGCCACTGACAACCAGCAGGTCTTCCTCAAGCCGCTGCACTCCAGCTCCCAGCTGCTGGTGAGGGTCCCACCTACAGCACGCAGGGAGAAGGTGCCCCGGTTCTAGGGAAAGGGTGTCGCATCTTGCCGTCCAGAGATCCTGCTCTATGTTGCCTCCTGGCTTCACATCACTTGTGTGGAGGATTAATTTTTGCCCGTGGATGAATTTTAGCCTGTCCCGCCGAATTCGTGGTAAAGGTGTTTGAATGAGGGTAAAGAAATATGGGTGTTGAATGGCAGTGCCAACTTGTAAAATTTCGCCTTTTGTTTATATGACTGGGCACCTTTCCCATTGGTGCAAAAAAAGCCATGAATTATGTCCTCAGTAAAATAGAAATACTGAAAAGTGCCGCATATATTAAGGAAAATAAATAGCAAAAACCACATGCGGATTTTGGAAAAATTAACATAAAAAAGCACAGAACTCGAGTTGTAAGTTTAGATTACAAGCAGTTTTTTGGCCTTCTGGACAGTCATAGCAATAGTAAAACTTACACGCAAACAATAGATTCTACAATTTTTTTGATTGCCAAGCACATCTTAGGGCAGATTATTGATACCTAATTATCTGTAAATTTTAGGGATTTTCAATTCTGACCCACCAGAGCTTGTATATGAAAACCCCAAGAGCTGTGTAATATGCAATCTGCTGCACTGTTTTCGCTTTCTTTTTTCCAGCCATTGGGATGCTGCCAAAGCTTCGTAAAATTGTTTGTTGGTACCGTGAGGGTTACCTCCAGATGGCTCGGACAACCGAGCAGGTTCAGCCACTTGCACGAGTGGAGAGGGTGCTCGACGATCCATTTTGTAAACCTGGTCAGTGTACGCCTTGTATGTAGCGCACGCAAGGGAGCCGGGAACCTTGAGAGCCGTTTCAGAGACAGCATTGGAGATTGATGACGGTGGCCCTTACGCTTTCACAACCATCTTTGCTTGGGTGGAAAAATAAAAGTTTGGGGGGGGCTGCACTAACACTTTACTCCCAGGCATTTTGCAGTCAGATGGTATGTGTGGCAGCATTTCGGAGAGAATGATGCACTGCCCCCAAGGAAGAGGTGCAGGGATCTCTCGCTGTCATTTCTAATTAAAAAGGAGAATTACGGGGTGATGAGAAGTTAAAAAGAAAGGTTATAAACAGTCCTGATACGGTACATTGTCCAGTAAAAAAGCAAAACAAGAAAAAAAGCTTTTTTCCCCTTGCATTTTTGAGTGAAATCGGCTTGGATCACTCGCGGTTCCTACGATTCTCCACAGCGCCCACGGTGGTGCTAGCATTTGCAGGATTGGAATAGGGAGGTGGGACAATGGGTTACACTTGTAATGTGTGTAGACAACAAAAGCAAGGCTGGAACAGTGGTAGCGCAAGGTTCTTAGTAGTGGGAGATTGTCTTTTTAGGTTTTTTTATTCTCTTGGCTAGGGCACGAGGCTTCTTTTAGCTTGCCCAGTACAAAAGGAAAACCATCATCTCGATCATCATCAGCATAATTATTATCATCATCATCACAATCATCATCAACATCATTATTGAATCTCCTTGTGCACAGTGGGTAAGCCCTGGGCAGACGGTGCAGTTGCCCCAGGGAATCACAAATGGGGGCGGCCAACTTTTTTTATAGTCTCGGCCAGGGCGCCAAGTTTCTCGGAGAAGTCCTTTACGAAGGGCAAAGCAGCATCTTTCTCATCCCCGTCCTAATTGTTGTTCGTCCCCTCGTGCTGCAGCGAGTGAGCCCCGAGCAGACGGCGCAGTTCCTCTGGGAGATGATGAACGGGGACGGGAAGCCCGTGCGCTTCTCCTTTTCGCTGCTCTACAGCCTGGCCGGGCAGGGAGGCCAGCGCATCGAGAGCACCTTCACCCATGACTTCCGCATGGACAGCTACCAGGTACGTGCATGGACATTCTCCCTCACCACGCTTCCTTCACCAGCCCCATGGGGCAACCAACCAACGACACTGCAGTGACCGACAAAATGAGAATGGCAGGGAGGAGCTTCAGTTTTGCCCCCAGCACGGGCTTCCTACCTTCAATAACGCTTCCGCGTCGGAGGGCACGGAGCGCATGCTGTAGGACGGGCGTTCGTAATGCATGCCATGTCGTTCTCTTTTAGTCAGTGACTGCAGATTATTTCGGTTGTGGAACTTCCCATAGTCCCTGTCCAACAAAAAGCGTCCAAAAGCGTGTCCCACTTTTTGTAGCGGCGGCACTGCCAGCGCATTAGGTGCACGTCATCATGCCCTAACAGATGCAACAGACTGATTGCTTTCGTTTGAGGAAGCTGACCAAACACTGTAAATTTTGTGCCCTTACATTCTTAAACCATGAGAATAGGGCCTCTTCCACGTGCGGGTCGAGGCAAGGCCTGAGACTCTTTCGGTCAGTCTTGTTGGTGTTATTTGCATAGCGGTCTTCGATCTTCCTTGCACTCAGGGTGGTAGATACTGTGCTTGGTACAAGCTCGATGTCCGGAGTGATGTCTTCTGTCTTCCGACCGCTGTCCACTGCCTTTAAAACCCTCATTTTTGTCTCCAGAGAGATAGTAGGGAGTTTTAGTAGACCGTGTTTCCCCCTCCGCTAGCCCTCCGCTATGAAGTAACCGCCTTTGTGCCCGGTCGCCGATGGCCTTGGCTGTAGAGTGCAGGGTAGCGGAGGGGCTTAGCGGAGGGGCAAACATGGTCTCCTAAAACTCGCTAGTTTTTCGCTTCGTTGCCATCTGCAGCTCCGCTATGAGTGGCGCGGTTGGCTTTAGTTTGCACTGGTTCTTTATGCCTCGCAGAGAAGCCAACAGCGGCGCCACCGCCATTATTTGCTGGAATCATAGGTGGCACTACCTTTCGAAACGCACATTTTTGTACATCGGGCGATCTAAACTTTCAGAATTTTTCATTTAAAAATTACTTTTTGTATATTTTCTACTTTTTAATAACCTTCGTAGTATTTTGTGACGCAAGAAAAGCAGGAATTGTTTCACCATAACCGATAGCGCATCAGATTTCACGGTTTCGGTTTCGTTATATAACTAGAACTCCCATCCAAATAAAGCATGACCAACCAAACTTCATGATTAGTTTGCTATGTCCAATAATTCGCTATATCAGTGTTCTTTATAAAGAGGTTCAACTGTACTCCATGCCCGTTGGAAGCGCTCCCCAAGGACGTCGTGTCTTCCTGCTTCTCTAACGCCCGTGTGCACCGCGGGATGGCGCCACCTGCTCTGGGAGGCTATAGAAAGCCAATTGAAGAGAGAGTCCATCTCAAGCCACGGGGAGTGTTTCCAATTCAATGTTCAACGTTTGCCACGGAGATCGGTCGCAAGTGCCCATGCGCCGCTATTTTTGCGGCGAAGAGGAAAGCAACCAGAAAGGCGGAGACGTTTGCAGAAGGTCATTGCTTTCGGCACCTCCTCGCAGGTCGTATTGCAAACGCGGCCCATACATCACGTGACCCCGATCGAGCAGTTGGAAACTTTCTGTGATACGGGCTCTCGGAAGGCTAACGCCGGGGCTTTGCGCGCGACACATGGTGTGCTCCTTCCTGCCCTAGAGGCCTGTATTACAGTTCCAACTGAGCAATCGGGGTCACACAGGTTTAAGGGGCTGCAGTTGCAATACGAGCTGCGAGGAGATGCCAAAAGCGTCGGTCGTCTGCAAACATCTCTGCCTTCCCTCCTGCTTTCCTCCTCACCACGCAAAAACATGGCGCGTGCGCACTTGCGACCGATCGCCGCGGGAGGTGTCTGCCATTAAATTGCGAATGCTTCCCATGGTTTGAGATGAGCCTTCAATGGCGGTGGCACCCCCATCTGAAGCAACGGCAACAGCATACAACTTCTTGGACGGCGGCCCCCATTGTATTTTCCTCCGTCCAACAGGCATAGAGTATCAGGAGGCATTGCTTTTGATCATCAATATTTTCACTTCTTCCTTCTCTTGTAAGTGCATGAACCCATTGAAGAGTAATTTTCGTTTTCATAGCATACTGCAAAATTTGATTTCAAATCAGCTACTATTTGCTCGAAAATGAGACAAAACATTAATTTGGCCTCCAGGTGTTGTTTGCTGCTCTCGCTATTGATTCCCGACTATCTGATGCGTTCATTTGGGAGTTTTCCACTCTGTTAGAATGGTAATGGAGGCATGAATAGCACTTGTAATAAGTAGCCAAGGGGGGGGGGGGGGGGGGGGGTTAAAACGCCAGTTGCGAATTAGCACTAGTCTTATCTTTGTGCTCTTGTCCACTCGTAACATCTTTCTTTTTTCATGTTTGCCCCCAGGTGCCTGACTGAAAAAAAGTGTTTTTTTACAGCGGAGCTGTTGAAGGGCAACTCCTTTCAATTCCAAAAAATTTAGGCTTACATGTGATTCCATTTCACAAAGCACTGCTAAACAGCTCTACGACTTCGGATTTGCGAAATGTGGAATATTATTTGTGTAATCTTAATTTAAACATCAGCTGATACGGAAACCGAAACTTCGGTTGCGCCAGGCAACATTGGTCTCGTGTCGTCAGAGTCATGGCCACATCGCTTCGAACTACGTGGTCTTGTGACGTTCGTAAGGGCAAGGTACAGGACACGCGACGCGAGCGGGCCGCTTCGCATGGCGTGGGCGGTGAGGGCCCGGGGGAGAGGTAGAAGGGGAGAAGACGAAAGAGGAGAGGGGGAGCGGAGAAACAGACTGATAAGCGTGCAGGGCACCGCAATCTAGCGCATCCATGTTACGGTGATCACATGAACGCCGTTGAGCCAACACCGGGAGGAGAAACTCATGACATCATCGTTCAATTTCGCTCTGAGAAGTAAAAACAAACAAAACATGAGAATGACGTAGTCATGCCTCTGACGTAGTGGTTCAACGTTGACCGCTTCAACTCCGTCGCATTGACTGTGCTGACGATTGCGCCTCACGTCGCATGCTAGAGTTGGCAAATTTCGGCGACATGGCTCATTTGAAAGTTAGCTGGCCAGTTTATTAAATATATAGATGGAATTAGATTGTAATATTTGATATGGCGTCTACCTATATGATACTGAAGAGGGCTGCATAGTTTTCTAAATATCAAAAATGAAGCGAGTTGCCCTTTAAGGGCTAGTTTCCCCAGTTTCATGTCCGGTACCAAACAAGTGTCGACACAAAACTACACAAAACTCGGGACAGCTATTGCTATCTATGAGCAATGGCGGCAACCAGACAACTAGTCTGGTTGCTGCCGTCGTTCATAGATGGCGGCAACCTTTCCAGGGCTATCATAGAAGAATGGATAGTTGGGCGAGTTCGTAGGAATTCATCGTAGGAAACGGTCCATATGCAAAATCTCACACGAACGTCGATCATGCGCCATCCTATCGTCGTCGTGCTGTTGCTTTCTTGCCATCGCCTTTGCCTCTTGCACAGCCATATTAGGGGTGAAGCTCCTTAGGGTCTAGCCTTGTCCGTCCGGCCGGCGTCCATGCTTACATAAAAAGAAAAAATTTTTGCGCCGTCGACAGTATTCGAACCTGTGCGGGGAGACCCCAATGGATTTCGAGTCCATCGCCTTAACCACTCGGCCACGACTGCGGGACAAGTAGGGGGCTCTGAGATGTGGTAGTAACTCAGAAGCTGGGGTTTCTGTCATGGATGAAACGTTGCATGTAGCCGCTCAACGTCTACACAGGAGAGGGCGCTGCGGTCAAATGCGTGTATAATCGCGTTAAACTTTGCATGCATTGGCTCAACGTTTATAGACGAGAGGGCGCTGCGGTCAAATGCTCAAATGCGTATATAACCACGTTCCATACCACACATTCTCTTTCTGACATGGACCGTTGACTTAAGCGGTGGAGATGCATTCCCACGCCATCTAGCAGATCCAAGCTGATCCGCTAGAAGAACCACTGGCTCTGCATTTCACCAACCATAAAGCAGTCATAATGAAGTTGAAACGCAACCCGGAACTCAGCACTACCTATGAGCAATAAAAAAAAATTAGCATCATCAGCACTACTTATGAACGATAAAATCAGTATTATCAGCACCACCAGAGCTTTGCCCCAATCAACATCATTCACCACTTGGAGATGCGGTCATTTTATTCTCCCCCACTCCAGACACGGCGAGACTATGCAAGATTCGCTGTCCGTCCGAGGAGCGGGAATGGCAAGTGGGCCGCCCCGAGCAGAGTAGACGGAGGGCCACAGCCGCATGAGGATAGCAAAGGGCACAGGACCCCAGCTATCACACAGGAGAGGCAGTGCGTGCAAATATCCCGAAGCGCATTGACTGAACACAAATCTTCTAAAGCAGGGTTTCGAACAGTGCAACCGCTGCCGCCGTCAATCGCATCTCACTTTGTATGATAGTTAGCAATTTTTTCATTGTGTGTTTCGTTTCACCAATTAAAGTTAAGTCTCCTTTTGCCTGTCTTGAAATGGACATTGAAGGAAGTCCCAAGATTTCTCTAAAACTGCCTTGTTCCACTTGGTGGTGGGGGGATAAAAATTCCCCAACTTTAAGCATGCGCTTTCTATCCTGCTTTCTTTGGTTCTTTTGCTGCCAAGCTACTTTCTATGGCAACTTCCAAAAGCCACAGTCTCCTCGTTTCTCTGTTTTGCCTTGCGTTACATAATGCTGCCTCACCTTGAATTTCAAACATCTCTGATATTCTCAAAGATCTTTAGACCGAGCATTTTCTTGCGAGGGGCATTTCTTGGCAACATAAAGCGTGCGAAAACTAGATGCTATCGCAAAAACCAAAACTTGCTCCGGGAATCGGATCGAGAGCCGATCCGATTCAGTCCGATGCAGTCGAACTTGGCATTGCTGGTAGACTCGGTTTTTTCTCTGCTAACTTCCAGGGTGCGGGGTCGTCTCACAGAAATTCGTGAATCATAGAAATAACAGAGAAGATACAGGTGAATGATTGTGCAAATCACATTCCCACAATCACTCGAGCTCCCCGCTCCCTTCGAAGTGGCCTGGGAGGGTTTGCCGGAGACGTCAACACTGTGGTCATCCTAGACCGGGGTCTGTATGCCAGGGGGTTAAAGATGGGAGCAGAGTATGGCAAATTGTATGTGTTGGTATCAGTGGTTCCGAAAGAAAGAAAGAGAGTGACAGAAAAGGAAAAAGGAAGGGGACGACGCATTGGACGTGTCCATTTCGGTGCGACTCGCTGAAGTTGTGCAATTTTTCGTCAACTTGAATTTTCTTTTATTCAACTTTTAATGCCCACGTTTTCTCGCAAAGTAGAGCTAGGGGTCACCAATGTTTGCCTCCTATACGTACTGTTTACCATGTAGCTGACAGGACGGTGAAAGCCTTGGGAGTAGTTCACGCTGTTGCAGCTGACTACGACCAAGTCCGACAAAATCAGTTTTTAAGCCTCCTGCTGCAACGGCTTACGACCACGCCGCGCAGGAGCAACAAGGTCCTAAGCGGCCCATTTTTTTGGACTCTGTCACAGTCTGTTGTAACAGTGTGAACTAGCCTTTATTGTTGCTAGACCAATTAGTCACCCGTTTTAAATCACACAACTCCAATTTTTGCGCAATGGTGCACACAGGAAAGGCGATTACTTGGTGCAAGATTGCCAGTTACCTCGTCCAGTGAGCACGTAGCCTCCACCGCCCCGTCTACACAGGCAACCTTTTCCTCTCGCTTCATCGCGCAATCGGCCTGTATTGCCACGCGCAGACGCTGTACGCGGTGAAGGTGCGGGTGGACCCACACTCGGGCTCCGAGTTCTGCCGCGCCGAGTGCCCCTGCAGCCTGGAGGTGCGCATCTCGCAGCTGGGCCCTGTTGCCCACACGTCCGCCCTCATGTACGAGCTGCTGCCGGACCCCAACGTCTGGGCCGTGTGCGGACGCACCGCCGGTGAGTTCCGTGCCTCGCTCCCATCCCTTTCGCCAGCACCGCAGTGCCTAGAACGCATCTTCTGCAGGTGCGTTTACCATGTTCCACACCGGCCACGCACCAAAAAGCGATCCCGAAGTGGGAACAAATTGCGTCGCGGAAGCTGGCACGTCGCACCGTCGAACGGCACTATCCTGGCAGTTGGTGTAGAGGTTCCGACAAATAGCGCAAGCGAACGGGAAGGGCACCGTCGTCGCGGCATCCGGGATCCCAGCTGCCAACGCTTCACATGCTGGAGAGTGACTTGCAGCAGAACAGGCATCTCCTGCATCCAATGGAGTGACATTTCGATGACGTCGTCGAGCCGAACTCGAGGGAAAACAAATGAGAACGCAATAAACAGACCAGTCGGTGACGTGTTCCGGACACCATACCTGAACTGTTCGGGGAGTTGGGTCGCCATCGAACCAGTATTTTATATTAATACCGCAGGAGTTTCGACCGGTGGACCAGTCAGTGCTGTATCACGGAGCGATGCATTGATATGACCGGGAATAAGCGCACATGCACAAACCATGTTCGTGTGGGGGCGTCGTCTGCTAGGCTCTTCTGGTAGGTTCTTCTGCTCACTGCACATGGCCCTTCTGTTGGTGGAGCTAATTGTTTGGGCTTTATTATTGCTTTCGGGTTGAGCTTGTGTGGTATCAAAACGAAAAGTAATGTGTCACTCATAAAATCCTTCACAATCCCCGTTGGGGCTTCCTGAGCAAGTTGCACAGTTAGGCGTCACCTTTTTCGCTTGTTCCATTGTGCCCAGTCTAAAGGATGCCACGAATTAACTTTGTTTTAAAGGTCTCGTAACTGCACAATTCCGAAAGAACCCTACCGTCACTTATTTATCCTTAGTAATGTATTTGCGATAGAAGCCAGAGGCCATTTGCACTTAGTCTGTCAATCATTTGCGGAGCTTATCTTCAAAATCAAGTTTGACTTACATTGTCTACTTGAGGCCAGCTACCTGCAAGTCGCAATTGAGGGCACTGAAAACAAGACACCGAGGGTTTGACCGTATTTTAGTGACAAAGGGGTCAAACTCTGCGTAAGGTAGTGCAATCCCAACATCTACCCGGGTCCATCTGGTTTTAATGAACAGTTGCGAAAAAAACATGTTTGTATAATTCACCGCTGTAGATAATCGGCACAGCATAAAACATCATCTCTAAAACTGGTGCATCTATGACCATAGTTCGGCAAATACTGTAACGTCTTTGCTTCTCACTTCTAGCTGCCTCCCACTAGTCTGTTGACTAGTCCTCCAATTCACTCTTCAGTGGAGAAAAGTCTTTAATCCTTTGACGGTCGAGTTTTTAGGGGCAAAGCTCCTTAGGGTCTAGCCTTGTCCGTCTGGCGTCCGCGCTCACGTCGATCTTGCTGGTGCTCGTGCTCGTGAGCTCATGTGCTCGTGTAGGGCAAAAAAAGAAAATGATGGAAAAAAAAAAAAAAAAAAAAACAACTAAATGTTTGCGCAGTCGACAGGATTCGAACCTGTGCGGGGAGACCCCAATAAATTTCTAGTCCATCGCTTTAACCACTCTGCCACGACAGCGGGACGAGTAGGGGACTCTGAGATGGGGTAGTAACTCAAGAGCTGAGGATGTCATGGATGAAACGTTGCATGTAGCCACTCAACGTCTATACAGGAGAGGGCGCTGCGGTCAAGTGCGTATATAATTGCGTTACACTTTGCATGCATTGGCTCAACGTTTATAGATGAGAGGGCGCTGCATTCGAATGCTCAAATGCGTATATAACCACGTTTCATATCACACATTCTCTTTCTGACATGGATGAAAACGAACGAAAGGCTCGGCATGCTGTGGGTCAGCGTCTACGCAGACAAGCACCACCAGAGCTTCGTTCCAATCAACATCATTCACCACGTGGAGATGCGGTCATTTTTTTCTTAATTATTTAGCAAGAACACATACAGTGCTTGTGAGCTGTTTAGAAATAACAACTGAAAATATTGACTGCAAAAAGTTGTCACCTTTCTTCCATTCGGTTTCATCGTGGCGAATCCCCTTCTGCAACTTCTCAGTGGCTTCAGATTCCTAACCAGAGAGCTTCTCTTTTGGATGATGAGCTCTCATCCTCTGAATTTATTTCCAAAAAGTTACGGAAGACTGAATTGGATTGGCACTAACGCCAGAGCGGCGGGTATGTGAAGCGAGCATCACGTGCGTGCGTGGAGGGGCTAATTTGAAAACTATAAATAGCCCAGCAAAGCGAAACACTATGCAAATAATACGTTTATATATCACCAAAGACATAACAGATAGCAACACCTCCTACGGTGCATGCAGTTTCACGTTTAGGCATTAAGGTTAAACTTCACCATGTCCATTGCTTTTTTTTTTCATTACACCATTAAAGGTGAAGTATGATTAAATATTTGCACACTCTTTAATTTATATACCTATTGATTCTGCTTTGCTTGGTTTCATTTTTTCTGGTGGTCAGAAAGCATTATGTTCTTGCAGGTGTGGTGCACATGAACGAAACGGAGGAGCACACTGTGACGCTGGAGGTGAAGCCCCTGGTACGGGGTTTCCTGCCCCTGCCCACTGTCCGCCTCTCCAAGTACATTCCTTCGGGCACACCGAGGAACGGTGAGTCAACAGTCTTGTCGGCACAAACACTTTTCCAAGTGGTGTGCTCGGCGTCTTGGGACCTCCCATGCCTCGGGGTCGGTGTTCTCCCCACAGTAGACCAACAGTCCCCGGCTGGCTGTCTACATCTGCTATGTCCAACCCACCTCTATATTTTGCCTCCGCTAGACAAAACAAAGTGAACTTTGAAAATTCATGATGCCCCAGATTGTTGTGTTTGGCAGACTTATGTGGCACTACGCAACAGAACTGCATAATCCCCGCAAACAAAATCACTGCTGTGCGGCACAGTCAGTGCCGAGAAACCAAAAGTTGCAACAGTTGCCCCCCTCCTCCTCCCCCCGACACCCTGGAAATTGTCAAATGTACAAATCTCAAGAATTTCTGGGGGAGAACCCTGCTCAGTGTTCATAAATATTGTGGCAGAGGCAGTGGTAACGTAGATTCTACTTTGCGTTGCTCATGAGAAGTGCACGAGTGCTTCGCCAATACTTTTTTTTCCTGGGTGCCATTTTCTGCAATGTGCCTTTTCCACATAAAGACAGTACTGAGTGACAAATGTCCAAATTTACTTTTGGGGACACCTGTCATCAGTGTGTTCGAAACAGCATCTCCGAAAGAAATCCCTTTCAAAGTTGGTGATCGAGCAGGAGAGGAAAGTGAAGTTTGCATCTCTTGCGGTTGAACCTGATATTTTGCATCTTCCCGTTTCCTCCAAACCATGTGCTTGTTCTCTTCCCTCCTGCACACTCTCCCACCGCACGTAAAAGTTGTGGCAAATTTCCAGGCAATTCTGTAGCATACAGGAAACGTTTTAGCATATGCATACTGTGTGTACACTTGGTAATTGTTCCTAGAATGAAGTGATACTACTGCTAATCGGTCCAAAAAACCTGGCGATCTCCCAGCGCCTTTTGTATCTGCGAGCTCCTCTTCCTCAGTGCACGCAGGTGGTCGAGTTCCTCCTCGCCTATCCCTCTGGTCACACGACCTCCCCGTTGACGAATCTGCATCGAGCACCTCACTTCTTTCCCACCCGTCAACCAATCAGTGTCTAGCCTCGCGGCCACATTCTTGTCTGGGTTTCATGAAATGCCATACACGTGGCCAAAGAATGTTTCATGTTAACACATTCTGTGCCGTGTGCATGGCAAAGCCGGCAGCGCACCCGGCTCTCACGTGGAAGTGATGGGTTAAAATTTTGCCAGTTTTCTTTTCTTTCTCGTTTCCCCCACTAGAATAGAAAGTTGAAGTCCATTCTCAACAACCATTGTGCATTCTTTTTCCAGACATTCCTGAACATAGTAAGGCTGCGTACAGTTGGTCCTATGCTATGGTACCTGGAAAGCATCTCGGACTAGTGCGTTAACCGCGTCACAAAAAGTGATCCCTCGATTTCCGCCCGATGACTTCACCAAAGTGTTACGCTGTTGCCAGCCACGATTGTGGCGGTGTTGCAACAGTGGTGATGGATGTGGAAGACGACCATTCTACTGCAAGTCGCTCTCCTGTCCGCGAAAGCCGTCAGCCAATTGAGATGCCGCGATGGCTGCAACACTCGCGTTCTCTTCGTGTTTTTTCCAGAACTTCTACACCCGACCGCCAGGATTGCGACATCTGACAGCGTGGCACTTTTGTTTTTGCAACGTCATTTGTTGCCACTTTGGGACCACTTTCGGTGCATAGGCAGAATAGCACACTAGACGCACCAGTCCAGTTTCTGGCAACATACTTACGCAAGCACTTGATCCTGCCGTCTCGCCGGCATCCGCGACGTCCATTATCATACTTTTGTTTTGGCACTAATTTGCCACATCAAACCTTTAGTTCTCCCAGTCATTCCTGCTGCGTCGCATCATTCACGACATGCCCTCCGGTGGGCCACGACTCCAATGTCGAAATGGTGACCAGTTATGGTGTTCTAGAAATGGAGAGCTGTTGGTCTTCGAGGCACTAAGGCTGCAGGTGTGGCTTTCCCCTTGCAGCTGCGGAGAGTGGTGCCCAAAGCACGGCCAAGCTGGAGCCCTTCCTGCCCGGCCAGATCTACAACTGGAGCCGCGCCATGCAGGTGCACGTGCTGGCACCCTCCACCCTTAGTTCGGAGGCCGCCTAGCACCCCTTTTGAGACCCCCGTCCGTGCCGGAGACATGCCAACGACAACCGAGCTAGTCTTGGCCTAACCCTGCCTGGCACTTGGAAGCGGACAGGTGCGGGCAGGAGACGTTCCTAAATTTAAAAAATAAATCCTTTTTTTTTTTTTTTGTGTTTTTTTTTCTGAGCCCCATTTGCATGCCTCGTTTCCACTAATTAATTACCTTCTGAAATATTCACTTTAGCTGGCATTGCCCGTCGTAAAATCTGCCAGATACAGTCTATGCTCATTACAACAGACCTGGTTACAACAGATATTTGGATATAACATACCGATTTGTGAAGTTTGGTTGGTTTTCCTCTATGTACCATTGACTTAACTTTATATCTGCATACAACATACTCCTTTTACAATAGACCAAAATCTTCGTCAAATCAAGGTCTGTTATAACAAGCTTAGACTGTATTGCTAGAATTGAAACTGCTGAATTCTGCTCCATGCTATTCAATGCCATTTTAAATTCAGATGCAGCTGACGCCTAGAGCTGATGGGACTAATCAGACAGCATCAAGAGCGCAGCATCATGGCGTTCGTCATGATTCTTTGCACGTTCTGCCGTCGCGAACCAAACAGAAAAGGCGCAGTGACTCGCGCTGTTGACGCTGCTTGCATGGTCCCATTAGCTCGTAGCATCATGTGTACTGAAGCTGAAATGAAATATAACCATTTTATTTGCAAACACCACCAGGCGGTGCTGCATTCTTTGACGTCCCAGTGAACTTCCGGTTCATAAAACAAATCACCAAAGCTCACCTTAACATTGCTGCTTGAAACGTCAATGGAACATCTAACCACCATGCAATCTCCAGGCGAATGCCAAAAGAACGAAGAAATGCGAGATCTGTTCAAATTTTTTGAATATTCTTGTAAACCAACTTGTCTCCTTCAAGACAGCCAAAGGCCTTCCTTAAATCTCCAACTTCGTTGTCCGCACAGCATTTATGCTTTCTAGCACTGCTGACATAAGCAAGCTCCACAGGCTTGCAAAGACACAGCGAACGGAAGTCGCTTGGGGCGCAAGCGGCAGTTTATGTTTGTAAACAGTAAAAGGGTCTATACCTCATGCTTCACATGACCTGCTTCACACACCTTGAGCTTTGTATGCATTGTTATGGGCATTGACTGCTTGGCCGGACTTCTAATATAAAGGGCGAGGTGTATGAAATCCACACTTATGATACGCGTCCAAATTGAGCGTTTTTATGCCGGACGTTTACGGGGGCATGTGTGATAAGTAGACTGGACGACCTCACCTCATTTGTGTCAGTGTATACTGAAGATGCCACCTGCATAGGTGGCGAAACGTCTGTACCTTTTGTTATTAATTTGTTATGTTAAGTCGGAGTAAACCTTTTCAATCATGAATTCACCCGGCTTTTGGAACATTTTTGCACGTGTTTTTATGGAAGGCCGTAAAATGCTGCCCCTGCCTTATATTTTTCTAAAAAGAGTTGATTTAATGGTTTTTGATGACGCCCAGCAAGTTTATAATTGGAACTTTGTCTGCTTTCACTAATTCAAAAGTTAATTAACAAAATTATACTTAGTTAGCCGGCTGATCGTTACGATTAGCCCCCTATATTATGTCCCCCAGGCCGCATAACTCACCTGCACAAACCACATAAATGTAGCTTTTAAGGCTCTTTTTAAACAAGTCTGTAAAGCTTGAAAAAAAAAAAAAAAAACTTGTACAGTCAAACCCGTTTATAACGAACAGCAGGAAACGCTACGATCAGTTCAATATAGCAAGTAATGAGGAAATTAGCGCAAATACAAGGAAGGAAGAACGTTGGGACAGGAAAGAGCGCTTTTTTGTCCCAACTTTCTTCCTTCCTTGTATTTGCGCTAATTTCCTCATTATGTTTAGCCAACTAGCCCACCAGATGATTTTAATGCAATATAGCAAGTAGTTTGATATAGCAAAAAACATAACGAACTTCCACAATGAGTTTGTTGTAAGGCGAGAGCTTCTCTTTCTATCTCATCTCTTCACTTCCGCCTTGTAACATTGCACTAAACTTGTTTTCTTTTAGCATGCGTGCAAAGTTTGTTTTTTAGCTTATCTTTTCCCTGAATCGTTGCTGTTCGTGGGCAAACGCTTTGGGATGAAAAGATTTTTTTTTTTTTTTTTCCTGTGCTTGCATTTTGTGTATGCATTTTTTTTTTAGCTTTCTCCCCTTCTGAATTGCTTTTCTTCGCGCAATTTTGTTTGCAACATGAGCTTTTGGAATTTTCTTTCTTTCCTGCTTCTTTTTTTTGGGAAAGGGACAGGCTAGAAGACGATTGTTTGCGTGTTTTTGGAAGCCTTTCCAGAGGGAAAGAGTTCGATATGGCCAATATGTTATTCGTTATAAAACATACTTTTTACATGCATTTTCATTTAAAATTTTTGTGAGTTCGATATCGACAATAATTCGCTGTACGTGGGTTCGTTCTAAACGGGTTTCACTGTATATGTGTGGTGGTTGTCTCTCAGCCTGCCAACACAACGGTCACAGCACCCATGAGATTAGTGCTGCATTGGTTTGCAAAAGGCAATGAGGCTAGTACAGTCCGACTGCCACACTATCGACACCAGAGGCGGGCCAGTTCAGTGGCTGTCTGTGTCCGAAGCTGGTGGGAGCACGAGTTTATCGAAAGGTTCAACGATTCTGGATGGTGTGAATAGGCCTGCAAACTGTAGCCAAGGGTGGCAACCACTGGCAACAAAGTGATGCAGAGGTGGGCTGGTCAGGGTGTTAGTTTACAAAAAAAATGTGCAACAAATTGCTGGGCAGTGGACCTCTTGGCGAATATGTGCTGCCACCTAGACACGTGACTGGGTTCGAGGCTAAGTGGCGAGAAAACAACATGCGCGCAAAGCTTCTCCCACCCGTTCCACACCCGAAACGTCAGCTACATCCTGTTCACCCATTCAGGCGCTGTGACCTAGACCCCCAAACTCGCTTTTGTCCCTATCGTGCGTAATCTTCCGCCCCGAAGTCGACACAACAAAACCATCTTCCCTCTCTACTCGGCTAGAAGGAAGAGAGAGAGGGTACTGGAACCATTTACTCTCAAACTGATGTTTCTATAAAAGATCCATAGTGTTACACATGAAATGTTCCGGTATCGCTCCGGAACGTTACCGAGCGTTACCAAGCCTGGCCCCTACGCTCGCGGCGCTCTTCATCGGATAATTGAACACATGCCATAGAAATTTGATAGCAGTTACTGGAATGAAGATCCAGGCATCTAGTCAGGTTTTAAAGCCTGGCGAGTTTCCAGAACCTCCCATACTCGCCGGAATTATCCAATCACTGTTGATCACGACCCTTCCACCAGCCAATCGGCGTCGAGCTTTGCGGTCGATTTTTGGGGCTTCACTAAATCTGGTGACACGCCCCCGACGAGCCAAAGAATGTTTCACGTTAAAGAGTCTGTGGCCTTTCTGGCGCATCTCACCAGTCATATCTAGGCGACGGGGCGTTAAACTATGGTGGCGAGTTGAACCATTGAGTGAGGAAAAATGGCGATGAAAAAAGCAGTTTCTTCCTTTTGTGTAGAGTAATGGTGAGGAGAAAGGGGTCAGTGTTCCTTCCTTTTGGTCGCAAGTCAGCCTTTATTAACGGGAAGCTCTGGCAAAATATTGATGGTCATTGATTTTTATAAAAGTTTCACCATGTACTAAATATCCACCCGTAAGTATGACTACAAGTTTAATCAAAATATTCATCTTCTTTCGAGAAAATGAATTTTGAAGTTTGCGCGTACACCTCCAAATCACTCGCTGCCGCTCTACTGATGAGCAGGGGCATTCATGACGTCAAATGTATCTGAACAGACGACGCTTCCCAATCCACGACGTATGTTGTAGTGAATGGGCGTTTGTGCTTGGTTTTGCAAATTGCGTCAATGCAGCAGATCGAGCGACATCTTATTGGTCTCCGGTAGAGGAAGTCTCTGCGGCAAAATTGGGTCCACGCAGTCCGATGTTCGCATTGTGCTAGAAAACATCTCACACCTTGCTAGCAAATAAAACCTTTCATGCCATTCTGCTTTGAAGCGGCATCTGGGTCCACACGTCGGCGGACCGCAAATGCAGCTTTCACGGAAGGTCCCCCCGGAGGCAATGCCAGTGGATCTAATGTGAATTACGAATTGTCCGAAATCATGAGCATCTGCTGGTCATTGTTGACTAAAACGAGTTTGATGAATTGTAGTCCATTATTTCCCACTGTCGAGATGACGTTCCGAGGCGAAACAGGTTTGAGCTGCCCGTGTGCTGATATTTATAAAACATCCGATGTCGCAACAAGATGGCAAACCAGTAAAGTTGCAGGTTAGTTTCGGTTAGAATGTATTTCTACATGCGAAAATGTATTTAAAAACTTTTTTCTGAAATTTGCTTGCTGCTTTAGGCTCACTTTCTTGTGCTCATTAAGAAAGTATGTTTACTTGAATACGTTCAAATTGACGCCGGAGTTCCCCTTTAAAGGGATGCGGAACCGAAATTGGGATTCCCCAAAACATGGCGGCAGAAGCGTGCAACGGGATGTTACGAGCAACAAAACATCACTCATACAGCGATATCTCGTACAAATGACCGTATTTTCCTAAAAAAAAAAAAAAGGAGGCACATTTGACAGATATGTTGACGTCTTGTTTAGTCAAGAAGGAGAGGAAACGGCCTCGCGTCTTTTCCGCCTTGCCGCCTTGAGGGGGCGAAGTGAAAAGAGGAGGAAACGAGATATGTTCACGTCGCGCACCTCGTCGGCCTCGTTCATTCTCGATTTCTTTTTCAGAAATACGGCCGTCCATTCAAGATATCGATTTGCGAGTGGCGTTGTAGAGATTGTAGCGTCCCGCCTACCACTCCTGCATTGTTTTTGTGAAATCCAAATTTCAATTCACCATTCCTTTAAGCACTTTAGAAATTTTGCCATTGCACCAGCTCCCCTGCCGAAACAAGGAGGGTCATTCCAAATTCAGGCCCAACCAGGGGCGGATTTAGAGGGGGGGTCAGGATGTCCTGATTCCCCTCTTGATTTCTGCATGTGTAAAATTTGGGGCGTATAACGAAGGAGAGGGGGAGGGGTTCCTAAGCAAATGGTACGCTGACCAACACCTGACCCCTCCCTCAGGAAATTCCTGTATCCGCCCCTGGGCCCAACACAACAGTCCAATTCGTTAGACCATGAGATGACATCACCAGCAGCTCCAATATGTAAGAATCTTGACTGAAGAACTAACGCGAAAAAACAGGGAGCCAACACCCAGCCAACACTTGTCATGTGGACTACTACATGGTGTTGGTAGTCCCATGGCTGGATGGATTGATGGATGGTAATGGCTATACCCTTTGCAACGGGTGGCAGCTTGCACGACCCATCCTAACATTTCGTCATCCCTTCTTTTTTTTTTAAATTTGTATAAATTTTGTTCTGACACAACCACCCACCCCCCCTTAAAGTTGGTTTTTCTAACACAACCACTTTGACCCTAAGGATGACTTTCAACTGTCGAGGTATGTTCTGTGTGTCCCATTCACTTGTGTTACGCCTTCAGTTCACGTAGATATGCCCCACATCTATCATGCTTTGTCCGCATTAAAATAATAGGGCTACATTTCCAAATTGGACCAGGCAGCATGATCTCTTTCTCAATCTCTTGACACTGCATAACTGCTTCCTGGGAGTTCCAGTGACGATTATTACGTCCACATTCCTGTCGCCTTTGTCAGTTACAGTTTTCATAATCACCGAGGCACTCTATAATATACTGACTCAAACGTGGGTTCTTGTATTAGCTCTTCAGTCATTGTTATAACTCATGGTTGCCAGTTTATCACTACTATATTCCAGATCTAACATGTCTCCTGCATCACAGATCTTGACTAATTCCTGGAAATAGCCTGCTATCCGCCAGTAGCACTACATATTGCTGGCGTACATCAGTACGATAGTAACTGGTTTGTAGCGTGAGCTACGGTGGCCGAGGTTTAGCAGTTTTGCGTGGCTGTCGAAGAGCCGTGCTGTGCAAGCGCGAGGAGCAGTGACGTCACACAGCGCACTGCTGGCGCGCCAGAGCCGCCGCCGCAGCAGCACGCTCTGCTGCCGCCACGCGTGCCTCGCCGATCTGCGCATGCGCGAGGAACAGTGACGTCGCACAGCGCACAGCCGGCGCGCCGAAGCCGCCGCCGCGTGCTCCGCCACCACCACACGCACCTCGCTGGTCTGCGCATTCCAGAGGAGTGAGGCCATAGCCGCGGCAGACGCACCGGCGCCGCCGCATGGCCAGCTGTGTGCCTCTGTTGCTCAGTAGCCAAGTCTGACGCTGCACCGGAGCTCATTTTGTGCGCATAAGCTCACGCTACGTATATCCTGGCATAGCCAAGCTAAGCCACCACAATTTTTTTTTATCTTTTGGCCACGTCTGCAGCACGAGGGATCAAGGCCGACACTGCTCTTCTCTGGCCTCCACTCTGCGAATCGTAAAGGCCGCAAAGAACATCCCTGCCCAAGTGCTCGACTCGTATCTTTACTTATGGGCCTATTTATTTTCGCCAGGGGGCTGTAGCTTCTGCTAGCATGAACGAGGCGTGACCATTAATGCTGACATACAGCGACGTCCCGGTGGTTCATCATGCACGGTCCACGGCGTCTGTCATTCTTAGCAGCACTTGTCCCTGTCCACTCTTTCGTGTTTGTCTTGTGTTTGCGCAAACAAGTTTATTCAATCTGCCAGTCTGTCTACGCACACTTACGGGGGGTTTGAAAAAAACTAAAAAAATCTCGGATATTAGCAGAAAAACGGTGGAACTGGCAAACCTTCCACGTCATATCAAAGTGCTATAATGATTTTCGAAAGTTTTTTCCTTCTTTTATTTCAAAAATTTGTATCGACAATGGCGAGCGTGGTGATGCGCAACTGAACAGCAGCTCAAAAGTATCGGACTTTGCCCTCTAGGGATGCTGCTAAAATCTTCAAAAACTACAGGCCTATTGGGTCTTCAAAGTTCCCTTTGCACATTTCGAGCCCCCCATTCTCTCTGCAAACTCCCCACATTCACGCTCGTCAATATCCCACAGATCCACTCAGTTTGCCTCGTCGCGAGCTCCCAACATCCAAAAACGCAAGCCAGAGCAGTCCGTTTCCACATCTGCAGCTTCTATGAACCGTGTTCGGGAAAACATAAATTGCCCTCAAGCCTCCCTCGTTTCTGCAATGCCAGACAACATCATTTGTTTTAACAATAGAATATTAAAATCTTTCCGTAGTTTCTTTATGAAACTGTCTAAATTTCAAATCAAAATCAAAATATGACAAACGCAGACACAGGGCAATGCAAAAAGGAACTAATGTCCACAAACGCCACTGCTTTCCTTGCAGACAAAAAGGGGCGATGCTCTGCACCAGCCCCGGCTCAATCACTTGGGAGACTAGCGGGCGGTGCTTGCGGGTGACTGGTTCCACTTCTTCGAGGGGCGCCTTATCTAAGCACCAGCAAGTGGTGGTAACATAGTCGCAGCAACGTTGAGGGCTTCAAGTGGGAAAGCGAGGCCGGTCACGATCGGCCAAACAGCATGATGAGCTCGCAGTGCCGCGTCTGTGGGAACATGTCCACGGGGCATGCCAGCAGCGGCCGGAATGGAGGTCCCAGAAGCCGCGACCGGCCAGTCGAGCGGCAGAGCCTGCAACGAACCACGAGGTTCCCACGGCAATCGGTGCAAGGTCACAGATTCGGATCATTTCTCCTAAAGCGGCAGGTAGAGAAGCATTACATAAGCTACACTTAGAGTAACGACACTCCATTTCCCGATTCTCTCTTGGGCGCCGCCTTTTTGTTGCCGGGTGCAGGGCGGGCTCAACTGACGACGGTCGCGATTCGAAAATGCGACTTCATCCGGTTTGGACGCACTGTCAGAAGGTTGAGGCAATGTTGTTCTGCTCTGTTGCAGACTGTTTCGACATTTCTGGAGGATGGAAAACGTTTTCTGCAATTTCAGATGACGCTTTCGATAACAGGCAAGGACAATTTTAAGCAACAAGATGCCTGAAGGGTCATTAGTAGGAAGCTTAGCTTATATTTAGTGGTAGAGAAAACCAAACGGTGCAATGCAACGCTGTTGCTGAGGAAGTGGCCCGTGCATCTATCTACCACTTGCTTTGATCTGGGAGTTGAAGGGGTTAGGACATGCCAAAATACAATAGGAGATAACTATACTGCTAGGACCCATTGGATGTTCCCATATTTCTGCTAAATTTGTTTAGAAAATTGTGCGATAGTTTCGTGGATAAATAGATTCATATGCGGGATGCTCGGATCCGCCTCATTCGAAGAAGTCGCCGTGGTGGTTGGGTTTATGACGTCACCTGCCCATCGTGTGGCATCCCTTTGCACGCGCTTACAGGCTTGGCTCTCTTGGCATTTCAAGCTTCAGCTTCCTTGTTTACGTTCTGCGTTTCAAGCCTGCGGTTCGTGACGATTACATCTGCGGCATTGCTTGCTTTGTCGAAGTCCTCGACACTGATCGCAGCAGCGATGAGTGTGATTGTTATCGAGAGAAGTGAAAGCTGGTCATTTTGACTGCGACCCACTGGCGACCAGCTCCAGCGATGACGAGTCGCGGACGAACTCGCAGTGGCTGCCGTTGTTCGTGACAATCTCGCAGGTGCATGCGTGGAAGAAGGACAAAGGGCCAGGGATGAGAGCGAGAATAGCTTTAGGGTTGCTGAGTTGCATGAGCAGTTTTGATCGTGCCACGGCAAGGCAAGCTTGGGCGATCATGGGGGCACCTAGAACAAGAGAGCGTTCAGGATTGTGTGGTTTATAGGCACCATGGTGTGATTAACTTGAGCAGTGCGCCCTGGTCACCAGACGAAAATTATAAAATTCGTAAATTGATTATTGCAAGTACTAGAGCTGTGAAAATTGTGAAACTTGGTGTATATACTAAGTAGCCAATGAGCATTCTGTGTCAAGAATAATCTACCCGTTTAATTTTTGTGTCCTAACCCCTTTATACGGAGATGATGATATTTAAACAGACCACAAAAATCATGCCTAGAATTTTTAGGAAGCAATTCCATTTAATTTCTGGCACTGAGAAAACAATGCCATACTCTTCAGTATTACCTGGGCAGACTACGAGCCAAATATTAGACTATAATTCCAGCTAAATGTCTATAAAACTGGCCAACGTAGTCATCAGAAGCTGCTAACAGTACAGCGGGTGGCATGGGATGCCACAAAACGGTGCAACCCAAGTAGTATGTACATCGCAGGGCCGACGGGCAATGCAAGCAAGTGGGTGAGGGCAAGCGCGCAAATGCACTGCCTTTTCTATTTATCTCTCATCAATGTCACGTGTTAGATGACATGAAAGCAAGAAGGAGCATATGAAACGTTCCCATAATTCGAATTGTGCAAAGCCCGCGACTATTTGAGATTTTATGGAACTGGTTTATTGCAGCCAAGCAGAGAGAAAACCTTCCGCACACAATGCACTCTTAAGGGGTGACATGGGTCTTTGGAGCCGAAAACTTCCTAAAACTGCATTCTTTTGAAAATCGCGATGGCTGTTGTTCTTCTGAATCTACCAGGCTTATAATTTCGTGAATGAATATCTGAGCTATAAATCAATTTATAATATCTATGTGGGTTGTATGTGCATTGAAGTTGACTCTAAAGCATTGTTTTCACAAAACACAAGTTTTGAACTCCTTGAAAATTTACAGGAGGGATATCTCAGCATCTACAGCAGATAAAAATATAATCTTTTTTGAAATGTGTTGCTAAATGTGTGAAGCATACAATGTTGAGAGCAGATTTTTTAATATAAGTCTAGAAAAATTTCTATTTGATCTTTTGCTATATTACTTGTTAGACATGCATTGAGCACTGAACTTCAATGTGTGGTAAAATCTCTAATAATGAGTTTATTTTAAAAGTGCTTCCAACATTGTATTCTCTACACTTTGTAGTATCTAGCCATCTGTTAAAAATAATATTTTGTTGAGCAGTTTTTTTTCTATCGTTTTTCCAAACAAAGGCAGGCAAGTTTTAATTATTTTAAGGACAATGCTACTGACCGAGAAAGTGAGCAGATATATAAAATCAGCACAAAAAGCTGAACAAGCATGTGCAGTTTCATTAAGTTTGGTCCTAAAATAAGAAAAAAAGCTCCAAGACCAGTGTTCCCCCTTAAAGAGTACCCAGAACTCACTGCACGAAGTTGTCCTGGGCGACCCCCTCGGGCTTGCAGGAGATGTAGACCAGCCTTTTGATCTGCTTGTAGTCTCGCATCGCCCGGATCGCTTTGCTGCCTGCAGGGGTGGGAACAGTGGCATGAGGGCAGTCCTACGTTCAGCCAGCTCTGCCTGGGGACACCAACAAGTGTCTCAGGGAAAAGGGGTGTAAAGTAGTTAAGTTACCGGAAATACTTTCCAAGTTCTAAAGAAATTTCAGTTACTCAGTTCGGTTACAGTTACTTACAAAACTTGTGGTGACAACTACAGTTGACTCTCATTATTTCAAACTCCAGGAAACCAGACTTTAGATTGAAATATCAGAAGTTTTGGATTGTCAGAAATTCATCTAAATATGATGTAAGGCAAAGAAGCGATTTGCTATAGGAATAACTACATATACCAAGCAGATTTTTGTATACTTTTCTTTGCACAGGCCTGTTTATAAGCAGGCACGCATATGAAACATTGGTGAAGTTTGGTATAAACAGCAGTTTTGGCCAAATATTTTCTAGTTGAATATCAAACAGTTTCTACAGGCCTTTTACTACAGTCATACCATGCTTAAATGAAAATTCAGCTGAACTCACAAAGGTTGTTCCCAACCTTCCACTTGTCCACTTCTAAGCTCTGCAAGTTTTTAAAGAACTATATCTCTGAACTGTGGCCTCAAAGTCCAATGCCTACATCGGAGTGGCACATAAATGACAATAAACTTAAACAGGCGCCCAGCTATCCAAATCGAGGGAATTTATAAATCTGCTCGCTATATTCAAATATTCTTTCTTTAATCTCGAATTTAAGCTTGTCAGAAAAATTAAAAAAAAACAAGCACGAATAATTAAAGCAAATTGTCAGGACAGTACTGCTTGCATAATCGCAGTGGGTTAATCCCATCAAGTGCGCTTCTCGCCGAGCACCGGCGTACTGTGAAAAAGCAATACCTCTGAGCTTCGTCGCTATTGCTTTCCCGCGGTACACAGGTGCTCCGTGAGAGGCACACTCAACGGGGCTAACCTGCCGCTATGAACAAGTAGTATAAATTAAGCGGAAGCGATGTTTGAAGTAAGCAGCTTATAAATGCATTTAAAACATTTTGGGACAACTAAAATTTTTAAATTCGTTTGAATTAGCCGGAAGCATGAAATATTCGAGTTTGAATTATCGCGAGTCCATTTACTCTGTTCACCCCTAAGCTGACAGTGCGCTCGAAGCTACGTGATCGTCAGACCAATCGCCTCCCTTTAATCACCTGACCCCCACACTCTGTACACGGCTATGGGTCATGCACACCCACTATGATCCTAATCGCATGGCAAAGGGCAGATGTACGACCTCTACACCAAGCATGCAGCTTCCACCGCAGTGTCAGCTTAGGGGTGCAGAAAGTATTTTGAAATTCGCGTGGCAAAGGGCAGATGTACGACCTCTACACCAAGCATGCAGCTTCCACCACAGTGTCAGCTTAGGGGTGCAGAAAGTATTTTGAAATTCGCGCAGATTTTGTCTCGACGTCAGCTGTTATGTCAAAGAGTCTGTCCCCCTGAGTGTTGGATCAAATTGGAAATGTGCCAACATCTCCACATTGGAACACGAACTGTTGGATCACAGTACATCTCAACATCACAGAATACCTTACAAGTACACTTTCCAGGTTTTCACCGAAAAAACAAACAAAAAAACCGCTAAACATTCGACAGTGTCGGATATACAAAATCGGCTAAAACCGAAAAACAGTTTTTTTTCATATTTCCGAGCAAGCGCTGGTTTTTTTCACCGAAAAAGTCCTGCATACTTCCCAGTTTTAACCGAAAAACATCAATAAACATTCGCTGGTGACGGAAATAAAAATCGTTCAAAACAAAAAAACACCGGTTTCTAAATATATTTTTTCTAGCAATGTGTTATTTTCAATGAAAAAGTCCTTCGCAAACTTCTGTCAAACACATTATCATACCCGGAATCATGCACTTTGCCTGCCTTTCTTTTGTGACCTACAGGGTCTTGGACCCTTGGAGGACAGTAGCTCTGTTCCACTGTTCTCCAAGGTTAGTGGGACTCCTGGGCTGCTGAGTTAGACCACTATCAGTGGCCTGAGATGCCAGTCATAGCTGTCTGCAGTACTGTCCCAAGCCTCGTTGGACGCCTTGGGGTTTCCCGTGTCCAGCGCAAATGTTGAGCGGGCATCCTCGAAATTGCGTGTCGTTAACAGGAGGGAGCGGGCGTAAGTGGCAGGCATGAGCCCAGGAATGTATGCATTAATTTACTACAATAATCAAGTGTGAAAGAGATTGAGTAAAAGATATCCTTCAGTGGTAGTTTACATTCGCAAATTTTTCCCCAATAACCACCGTTTTTAGTGTCTGCGCGACAGAATTCATCGAAAAGCACCAGTATTGGTGAAATAAATAAACACCGACAAACAGCTGCTGATTTTTGTCATAAATAAACGCCGGAAAGTATATACCCTACTTACAAGTAATTGGAATGTAGCTGAGTTAACTTTTAAGAAACTGTCAAACTATGTGCTTTTTGGGAATATATGACAAAGTTTGACAGGCTCTTTCTTGTGATCTATTTCAGATTTCTGGAGATATCAAGAATATTGATCTATTGTATATAGATGTATTCAGATGTGTATAGGTGTATTCAGTTCAAACATTAGCAAACAGCAGAAATAAAAAAATATTCAGGCTTCATCCTCTTGCACAAAAAAAACAACAAAAAAAACACTAGAGAATAGAATGTGACCCACACAAACCACACTCGTTTGTGCAAGATTTTTCTTTATTACATTTTTGTTTTATTTGTCTTACTTTTATTTATTTACGTAATTACTTTTAATTTATAACTTTTTTATTTATTTTGTTTCATGCTTTCTATTTTATTTTTTGCTTATGCGTTATTATTTTCAACCAAAACCTGCCGCTGTCGCCGGCACTTCTGCAATCAAATAAAATCATTGACCCATCTGTATTGGCTGCGCCAGTAGCTCAGTGGCTGTACACGGACATGCGGCTCTGATGTCGCGCCACTGCGGCGGCACTGTTGTTAACACAAGGCATGCACAGACGCTTCACCTCATGCGAATGTGGTTTCTGCGCACGCGCAGTGCCCACACCTTGTCTGGGCAAAGGCGGACTTGTTTGTAAACAGTGACCACCACAACACCGACCCAGGTTTGAGCCCCACTGGGAGCTCACACTTTATATATAAACCTCATATATACCCTTACTGTGTGCAACACTCCCAGCTTGTCACTCATTCATGATGCTCGTTCATGACAATTTTCTCATAACAAACGCCAAATAAAACACATTCTGTGTTAAAAAACAAATATACAGATACTTTGGCTATGGCAATGCAACATGATTTATTTGAAAGTAAAATGAATGTTTCGAAGCTTAAGATCTTGCCACCTCTGCATTGCATATGCAATGCAGAGGTGGCAAACAAAACGCACAACATAGCATGCCTAGCGGCTGGTTCGGCAGCGCTAAGGTAGTGCTGCCAAACCTATCCAAGCCTTCTAAAACATCGAGCCAAACCCACGGTCAAGCCAGCAAAAAATGCAAGATGACAGCCTCTCTGCGACCGCTGCTCATAATTCATAACTATTTTTGGTCCGAGAAATCAAAATTTTGGACTGCATCCGAAAAATTGGTTGTTAATACATAGTATTTCAATAGGCCTTTCCGGAAATATGTGATGTCCCCAGCGTCTGCGTTACGCATTGCGACGCTCAGGTGTACGGCACATGAAATTATGCAAGAACCAAAAACAAAGTTGACATTGGTTTATCAGTTTGTGATTTCATAATGCAGACAAGGCGTAAGGAAAGCAAAACAGAGTAGGTACGTGATGACCCTCTTTTCCGCTTGCTTAATTTTTGCGTGTGTTCCGCGCTCCTAATGACAAGATAAAATTAATTGTGCCGCTACCAGGATGTATGAAGCATTCGAGCCGGCACGAGTGTAAATACGAACAGCCCCTCAATTCCCCCCGTTGCAAGGTTTCCCGGGATTTTCTGGAAAGGTCTATTGGCTGAGTAACGGTTCGTCGTCGATGTCCGAAATAATGAGCAAGTCCGAATTTACGAAGTCTGAAAAATTGGTCGGGGACTGTAGTGCAACTTATACAAACTTATTTCTGAAAACAGCCGTTTATAGGGGGGGGGGGGGGGGGGGGGGCGGGAGGTGCAACTTATAAAAAAAAACTGTCGCATCTGCCCCTTTGCGTCATACTCTCGTCAAGCTTCACCGCGTTTGCTGCTTGCGGCGGCTTGGAGATCCACTAACGATGATGTAATACACCGGCCCGTCTTCGAGGTAGTATTGGATGGATGGACATGGTCGAACCCTTTTAATCGGGCGGCGGCTTGCACCACCCGGTCAAAGCTTTTAATGTCAACAATTACCCCCCATTAAATTTAGAATTAAGAATGACAAAGTTTCTATCGTGACGTCACAGCCACTGTGGCCATCTGTACTCCATTCACCCCTAAGCTGAGACTTAGGAGGAGGCCACACCCGGGTTATTCGAGTTGTACGCCTCTCTTTTGGCACGTGGTCACGCTCTATCCCATACCCGAGCGAAGAGGGCCGGGTCAGGTGACGGAAGGGGAGTGGCCGATTGGTTCGGCAAGCACGTAGCTCCCGGCGCAGTCTTGGCTTAGGGGTGAATGGAGCATGGTGGGCACTGCGCGAGACTCAAAAGCATATGAGTCTTCAAATATTGTATGTAAAGCAGATTGTCAAAGCTGTGGCGTAACTCTGTGGCAATGTGTCAGACCCAGGGTCAAATCCTGAGACCGCAGCGGCGGCAGGCAATCTTTTTCAAGCAGTTGACAATGTCGACGACAGCGCCCTATGCCCTACTATGACAACTACAACTTGAATAACTATGACTACGACGACAACAAACATTATTTCCAGCGGTGGGAAGAGCCCAAACAGCCATCTCTGCAAGAGGCGCCACTTATAGGCCACAAAATATGACCATACCTAGGCAAAAGAGGTGGCTTAGCATTTTTGTGGAACCTATGAGAATTAGTAAATACCTACATGCTAGAGTGGTCGATATGGTCACTCCACCTTTGTCCCGTAAGTAACAAAGTCTTCAAATCAAATTTTTATCCGTGCGAATCATCATCAGTTATTTTCTAAAGTTGTGCAGATATTCAAATTTCAAATAGTAGTTTCGAATATTACACTATTCGATATTCGCTTTGAGGTGTACTGCGATATTCATATTTTTCTAAGTGTTGAGGGTTAGCTCTGTCAAGTGTGCTTCTTATCGAGCATAGGTGCGCTGTGGAGAAACAACACCCTTGGAAGCCGAAGCTCTGTGGGTGTTGCTTCTCCGCAGTGCACCGGTGCTCAGTAAAAAGCGCGGTCAATGGGGTAACCCACTGCGATCAACATTTGGAAAAGGATGAGTATGGCAATGGCGTGCTTGGGAGAAAAGCACACTTTTAAAGTGGGATGGTGCATGCATGTGCCTGGTGTTTTTAAAAAGATGCGGAAACTTTGTGAATGTTGTATTTACGTTGCAGTAAAATCTTCAAAATTAAACTGTGGCTGTTATGCTTTAGTATATCTTGGGCAGAGATGCCCTGACAACTTGTGTTCATCATTCATGATTTTTCTTAATTTTTTTTTGTTTGAAAGTGAACAAAGAACATTTGCACCATAGCAAGGTTTGTAAATCCACTAAATATTAGGTATAACTGGGCATCTCTCTAGGTCTCATTTTATGTAAAATTCATTTACTTAAAAAAACTCTTTCACCTCACCGTGTTCAAAAAGTAAAGTATGACATCAGAGCGCATAAAACAAACTTTTGGCATTCGTTTAAAGTCGGTCCCACTCAGTTGTGCATGCCGAGTTGAATGGCAAGCCACTGACACGGAGAGCAAGCAATTAGAACTTTCCGAATTTTCCTGTGAGCTGGCCACAATACTATTTTAGAGATTCGACCCCCTCCAGTTTCGGCCATTGAGGATGCCTATCTTGACAAGAGTGAGACTTACTCAGTCCCCCACGTCCAGGGTTGACAACTGCACACAGCTCCTCGGCAAAAAACTCATTCCGCATGTTGGGGACCAGGTGCTCCGCACGTCCAGCCACGAACCTGGCATTGGTGATGCCTGCAAGAGCAGTACACTGTGCGGTTAGGTGGATATATGCAAATGGCTGAACCATTCAAATAAGATGACAGCTTGTGCCACCTAGGCACTGTTTTTAATATCAACATTTAACCTCTACCAAACATTAGTTTAGGTTTTTTAAAGTGATACTTCAATGAAACTCTAGAACTTATTTTATTGTCTAAAAGGCAACCACGTTGTGGTCACACTACAGAAACCAATTTTTTGTTCGAGAAAACACCAAAACATTATTTAAAACGAAAAAAAAAGAGGATGTTTACAATCTCCTGTAACGCCGAATTAGAGCGCAGCTCTTGAGGCGGAGGAGGAGAAGGTACGGAGAAGAGTCTATGCCCCTCCTCCTCTCCTGCTCGCGTCCTATTTAAAGAAAAATTTTCCGCTAAATTTGGCGGAGGGTTTTTTCCGCTAAATTTAGCGGGAAAATTTTCCGCTAAATTTAGCGGGGAAATTTTCCCGCTCATGTTAGCGGGGAATATTTGGCGCTAAATTTAGTGGGGAAATTTTTTTCGCTTAATTTAGAGGGGAAAATTTGGTGCTAAATTTAGCGGGGAATTTTTTCCGCTAAATTTAGCGGGAATTTTTCTGCTAAATTTAGCGGGGAATTGTTCCGCTAAATTTAGCGGGGAAATTTTCCGCCAAATTTAGAGGGGAAAATTTTCCACTAAATTTAGCGGGAAATGTTTCCACTAAATTTAGTGGGGAAAATTTAGTGCTAAATTTAGCGGGGAATTTTTTCCGCTAATTTTAGCAGGGAAAATTTTCCGCTAAATTTGGCGGGCAATTTTTTCTGCTAAATTTAGCAGGGAAATTTTTCCGCTAAATCTAGCAGGGAAAATTTTCTGCTAACTTTAGTGGGGAAATTTTTCCGCTAAATTTAGCAAGGAAATTTTTCTGCTAAATTTAGCAAAAAAAAAAAAATTCTGCTAATTTTAGCGCGAAAATTTACTTATAATGCTCACACAGTGACGTCATCTACGATGTCACTGTGACCCTTGTGACGTCACACGTGACGTCACGTGTGACATCATCATAAGAAACGTCCCATAATGCACCGCGCAACTTGATTCCCAGCTTGAGCGACGGTGACACCGCTCAAGCTGGAAACAAGCGCTTAAGAGCTGCGCTCTAAAAAAAAAAAGATAACCAAACTGCATTTGGTAGATGTTCCCGAATGTTGTTAGCACGTCAAACTTCCCCGAAAAGCAGCGCTCCTCCGCGGAAGTACGGCGCTGAGCTACGAGCGCGCGTAGGCTGTCAATCTTGTACGAACTGGACTTCCCTTTTGTCCCGCACCTATTCAACTACTGCATGAAGTGGCGAGCAAGCATCTCGAACAGCCAGGTTGTGACGCATTGACGCCATCAAGTGGCAAAGCTCAGAACCACGCCAGCCTCGCTGTGTGCTTGCCCATGAAGTTGAACGCGACGTTACAAACGCCCTGGAGGTGCCAGATCTCCCAAAACGCATCGCATCCTCCGATGGCTGCTCTTTGAGTGCTCGCCGAAACCAGCGGTATTTAACGAAAAATATAGCCATCCGTTTAAAGCACAAACATCCAATTGTCACTAGCAGATTTTGCTGATCATGCTCAACCTATTTCTGAGAGCTATACTATATTTAAATTTTCATTTCAGTATTCCTTTAAATGTAATACTGCTAAAACTTACGATCGATGTGATAGAAGCACTTCTTCGCTAGGAATAAGACAAAATCGTTTATTCTTCCTCGATCTTATGCCACAAGTCAGAAAACCTATGCCTGTTCATAGCCACAGGGTTACCAGTCATGGCTAGAGCCACACACATTCTTCTCAAGGGAAATTCCTTCCTTGTTTGTGTAATGCTTGGATTAGGCTTTCACAACCACTGTCTTGCAGGGAATTTCCGTCAATTGGACAACTCGAGTATGATAAACATCCGCCAAGTAAATAAATCAAGCTTTTGACAACAGAGTATTGCTGCCCGTACATCCCTAAGCTGAACACCCTTAACAGAACAGTGCCATGGCTACAGGTAACAAAATAGAATATGCTGACAAGACTAGATTGTTCCAATGATCCTGAGCACCAACCTGTTGTTACGAGACAATATTGCCGCGCGCAGGGTCACGGACTTCTGGAACTTTCTCGTTTATTCTTGCTCCGGACATAACTTAAATCGTTTATCCCTGCTTTTGTTGTTCTGGAAAGTGCGTGTTCATTCTCGCCCCGAGCGCGCTACGCTCGAACCTTCTCCGCCGAATCTTTAAGATAGTGACTCACTCTAGATAAGACGCCGCCCGTGACATTGTCGAGTCAGTTTCGCCCCAGCGTTTGACTCTGCTGTCACGCCGACTTCGACGCCCGCAACGCTCTGCTTTCTTCTGCTCCCTTTTTATTTTTGGGCACAAGTTCGCCACTTTAAACGTTTATTTCTTCCTCCTTATTTATTGTTCTTTTGGTCACCACCCGTGACACTATTAGGGAGAAAAGTTCCATAGGTCACTTTAAGCACCTTCTCATGCACTCTACTCGCTCGGACATAACAAGTGTATCGTAAAGAGGGCCCAAAAGTTGACAAAGAGACAAAGGCTAATAAAACAGATTTGTTTTATTAACCAACTAAAATCTCCATAGAAAAGGAAATCTCACACAAAAAGCCAAAGAAACAATGCAATATTTGTACTTCGAGAGCGTACTGAAGTCTGAATCCCTGACCCAACCTCCAGCCGCAAATGTCGACTCATATTTGCTGACTTGACTTGTGTGAGACAGTGTTCCCTCGGGTTCCTAAAGGTCTGTCCCTCTCAGAGGTTCTTCTCGCAGCTGACTCGAGAAAGTACAACTAGGATACCGTCTATCTTAAAGGCCGGCCAACTAGCAGAAAGGAGGACGCTAACTCTCCACTCTCCTCGATTTTCTCCTCCCCGTTTTTCCCGCAAGAGAAAAGAAGATAACCCCTCTTTTTTGTCGCTGCTTAGGATTAGACAAGATTAATCTAGCGGCCAGTTAATAAGCACACAAAGAAATGCAGAAGCCACACCCTCTATCTTCCCCACTTCCCCCTTCTTTATGCTACCCTTCACTTTGACCGTCACACTTGCGACGCCAACAGTGCCGTGGAAGCTAAGTGCTTGTCGGCCTAGTCATACGCCTATCTTTCCCCACAGAGGCTGCGCCCCCACCCATACCTACGTGTAGAGAGTGGGGTCCGGCAATGAAAGGAAGCGGTTGAATGGTCCGACCAGCTCATACCTCCCACCACACCGTCAGCTTTGGGCTGAAGAGAGTCTAGACTAAAACCGAAGAAAGCCAAGCGGCTATTCTCGCATGTTGGCATCTGCTTGCCCTATTGGGTTCCTCACGTGGTTCGTTCATTTCTACAACTGTCATTTTACCAATAAAGGAACATCAACAACAGCTTTTTTTCTAAGCAAAAACTTTTTTTCTGTTTAATTAAGGTTTTTTATTTTAGATATCTTGCAGTTTTTAGGGGTTTCTTTTTACTTTTATTTTTTTTATTAGAGAACGAAATGTGATTCTTCACTGTTTCAGCAACCGCATCAGATACTAAAACGGACAAACTTTTGCAAATAACTAATTTTGACAATTTTCATGACTTAAAAATATTCAGAAAAATTGATCATGCAAGTACATCACTCCATCGCAACCAGTACATAGCAAACCACTTCCAATCGTAAACTGTAGTGCCAACTAAATATTCCCAAAATTAATACTTTACGAAATCCACGAAGTTACGCGACCGCAAAAATTTAAATAATTTATAGTACAACGAATGTTGAGGTCTCTGAGCCTTTTTTCTATGTTCTTCTCAAAGAACAGGATGCGAGACTACGGCCTGAAAGAATACAGATGTCGGAGGAGGAGACATATTTTGCGCTTGAATGGCAAGCACTTACGAGCCCTATTTCTCACGGCAGAAGATGATGCAAAAAGGGTATGCAGCATGCGTAAGAAAAATTAAGTGGAAACTTTCGAGAGGGGCCGGAAAACTGTGAATGCAAAACTGCAAAACATGGGTGGAGAATCACACTGGGCAGGTTTCAACGGTCCGAGAGTGGGGCAGAAAATTTCTAACCAATAGACGACACGAGAGCCACATCGGCTGCACCGTCACCGGCAACGTGGCGGCGACCCAGAAGCATCTTTTGGAAAGATGTATAGGTGCCTGACAAGGCCTTGCCTGCACCCCCCCCCTCCCCCTCTTGATTTACAACCAAGAATGGACTAACGTTTTGTGATGTTTCAGAACACAAACAACACCGAACTACTCATGGTAGTGGGATGTTTTTCGAGCACCCGGGCCATCCGCCTGTTCCATGGGGGTTGGGGCGTCCTACGATGTGTCCCGTTTTCTTCGCCGTAAGCCGCGATGATCATCACTAGTTTGTTACCGAAGATTACGCTGAACAGCAACAAACTAAAACAATAAATAATCCTAAAAAAAAAAAAAACGCCAAATGCAAAGCAAGAGAAATAAACCCGAAAAACATAAAACCGTCATTATTACGTACCTCTATTAAAAAAAATTTGTAACGTAACAAAGTCTTCTCAGATTACTCATACTTCTGACATAGAAAGATAGTGCACTTCTTCCAAATTAGCAGAACAGGTTCAGGCAGTAGCCCTGATAGTCCACCGCCGATAAATAACAGTGGACAGGGGGAAACGGACGGCCTCTGCCGGAAAGCGAGCCTCAGAGAGGCGACGGAAGGACGGTTCAAGAAGCTCACCGTTGAGCTGTGCGTTGTGGCTTGCATCCTCCACCGCCTGGGAGCTCGCATCCATGCCAAACACCGAGTGGATCCCCCGGGCCATCGTCAAACCAATGGTGCCTGACAAGAGAAGGCGACGGGGCAGGGCAGCTCAGCCGTAGCACGAGGAAGAGATCGAGCAAAGACAAAACCTGTATTTTTCCTCTTCGTTCCTAGTAGATCTGAGCTGCACCAACTAGCTTGCGTCCGCGGCGCTGCACGTGCATCTCGCAGCATCTTGCAATGAGTGCCATGCTAGGGTGCGGCAACAGCAACATCTGTCACTGTGCAGGGCTCGTCTTTTATGTGGTATTAGTTTGAGGTGCTTCGTGCTGACTCTTTAATATGGAGGGCTGGCACACTGGGAGACAGCCGAGGCCCAATGCTACATGGTGGGACCAAGACACCGGGACGACGTTGTCTGCTGCAAGTGGTCAGCGCCGCGCCACTGACCAATCGAAGCAGATGACGTTGTCCAGGTCCCTTCGTCCCGCTGTGTAACGTAGGGCCCCAGGTGCATTCGCACATGTTTGCATTCGAACATTGCTGAAAAACGGCAGTGTTCGAATGCAAAAACCCACGTGTTCACTTCCTCGTTATCGTTTCTCGCACAACCACGTCGACTGTAGCGAGAAGCTCTCTCCCCGCAATCACGCTGGTTTTTGCTTTAGAACGTCGCCAACGCAGCATTGGGGTTCTGGAAGGTTCTCCGGAGCATCAAGACGTCGCTCCCTCAGTTTTTTCCCCCAGACAGGACCAGGCCCCACACGATACACTCTCCGTCCGAGAACTGGGAACGGCAAGCGTGTCGCGCCGAACAGGATAGACAGGGCGGCAGTGGCATGAAAGCAGCAAAAAGTGCAGGATTCTGACTATCACGTGCGGGAGGCAGCGCGTAAGCATCTTTCACACATCTCCTAAAGACCACCTCTTACAACTATTCCACTAAAGCCAGAGCACATCAACTAAAAGCAAATCTCTTAAAGTACATCTTTCAACAATGCAACATTTACCGCTGTCAATTGCAGCACAGTTTGTGTGGTTGTTTGCAATTCTTTTTGCTCTCGGGACATAAATAACAGCCATCGGTACCCTTTCCCCGATTTGTGTAAATTACTTCTTGAGTTAGTCGATCCCGCAAACATTTACAGGAAATTAGTTCCTTAGATTAAAGTCTGTTTGCTTGCTGCATGTTGTTTTTGACTAACTTTTGGTTGTTGGGAAATATGTTTGGGGGCCATGTCATTTTTAGGGGCTTAAAATATAAGTTTCATGCTGTTGACTGTTGTAAAAATAGTGAAAGCTGCAGGTAGTGTCAAGCATAAATGCCTAGGTGCTTCTCCATAATGTGCTCATTCAATCATCATCAATTAAGTATTAAAAGTAATTTTTTTGCAATATTCACATTAGATGCATATAAAACAGTTTATGATTTCACTCCCATAATTTTCAGGTTGTATAAGCTTTCAGACAGGCATTTTTAGAAATTCCACAGAACTTCGGGACAACTCCGCTCCAGTTACAGTATTTCTTGAAATCGTTCAATTTTGGGATAAGCCATAACTCAGTCCACATTTTATTGAGAACACATAACCAAGCTTGATAAAATTTCTATTACACAACAAATATTGTCGTAAATGTTCGGAATTTTAGATATTATTTCCAGAAATTAACTTGCCAGAAAAAACAAGCATGTGGGAAATATGATTAAATAAAAAAAACCTTCTTAATTTTGTATGAATCAATAATCAATACTTTTGACACCATTTATATTGAACAACTCCTTGATCTGATTCCAAGAATCCCGATTTGGAGACATCTAAAAACTCTAATTGGCGAACAACTGCAACACAAGAACAACAAAATATGTACAATGCTCAGTAAACTTATCTGAAACACATGCTAAGCCTACTCTTGGCCTGTTCTATTTTATTTTTTTCTATGTGTGCGTGCATAGCTGGTTCTAGCCCTAAGCTCTTTCACTTTGTATCACACTATGTCCGTAGCATACCTTCAGTTCACATAAATTTACGCAGTTGTCTCATACTTTATATTTTTTTCTGCATTCAATATTCCACAAGTGTTCCGTACAAGTATGATGAGCACTGCACTTATGTGCTCTCAACAGATGTCACGTGAAACCACCTCAGCCATTTGGTCTATTTGAGGGACTAAAAATAAAAAAAATTGCCTAATAAACAAAAAAACATTAAAAATATGTTGTTTTTTTTTTGTTTTTTTTTTTTTTAATTTTAAAACATTTGGTTACAGGTGACATGGTGCTCGAATTTTCTAAATTGCTCCACAAATGGCAACGTATATGAGGAAAATGCAAAGGGTCTGGACTTGCTCCACCAGGGATGGTGGGGAGGCACCTGGTACTACATTGTACAGTGGTAATCCCACTTCTGTCCGACGTGGGAGCATGTAGCTTTCTTTGGCGAGTCCTGGGCTGGTGGCATTTGCAGCAACTAATCCAGCCATATAGGACAACATGGAAGGGCGTTCCACCCGCTCTATACTCCACCCCTACGCTGAGACTGCGGTGGGAGCTATGTGCCCGCCGGACCAATCAGCCGCCTCCCTTTTATTACCTGAGCCAGCTCTCTGTAAGTGGTTACGGGCGGGAGCATGATGACGTGGCGAAAGAGAGGCATATGACTGGTCCAACGACGATGTAGCTTCCATCACAGTCTCAGCTTAGGAGTGCATGGAGTACACATGCCACAGCTGAACGCTGAAGGCTGCTCGCATGCTCTTCTCAGATGTCAGAAAGCTCTAGCAACGGTAAACAAAAATAAGGCATGAGAATTTATCAACATTATCATGATCAATAAGAAAAGAACAATAATAAAGTAGGACCGCAGGAAAAAGTGATGTGTTGACCTGCAGCCGATATGGGGACCAAAACCGGCAGGAAGCACGAGAGCAGCCTCCTGCGTTTAGCGGTGGCCTTTAGAGCAGGTATGACACCTTCAAGCTAACCGCTCCATGCTGCACCACGTGACTATATTACTATTGCGAATGCCACCAGTCTAGTGCTTGCCAGAGAAAGGTGCATGCTCCAGCATCATTGTCATAGATAGAAAGGAAAGAAGAATATAGAACTGGAAATAATAAACCCTTAATAACCAACTAGTGCCTGCTATTCAAACAAAACAAAAAGGCTCGAGGCACACCTAAGCACTTCATATGATTTGTGAATGTGAAAGCCATGCCAGTGATTCTTCCGCTCCTTATTTCGTCTGCGGCATATTTGCGTCGACGGCACACCGCGCACTCTCCTTGTCGCTCTGACCTTGGACGTTTCGTGTTACCGGCGCGGTGACGGCACAGACACGCAGCGCCATGGGGTGGCGGTCGTTGAAACTGATGAGCAGAGGCCAATGGGAGCCTCATTCTTTGAAACTATGACGCGCGCCAGCCAATGGGACCGAAGCCAAAATCCATGAGCGTCACTCCGCTCCTTTGGGGTAGGAGAAACTAGGTGCCGTTTGGCTAGGCTTTTCGCATGGTTTCAAAGCTGGGAGCCGGCTTCACTTGGAGAAGAGAGTTAAGGTGCCGTTTGGCATGGCTTCGAAGCTGATGATGTCGGCTCCCTTCATGGGACCAGTTAATGCTTTCGCATTAACTGGTCCCCGGTCCCAGGGAGCACCGAATGTGTCCCACACAAACCACACTCCCCGTGTGTGGTTCATGCTGTTTTTTTACATCTTTTTCTGAAAACATGCTTAATCTAGACATGGGCACTTGTCCGGTCAAATCGATAAAAACCAAGATGGCAGCCAATAAACGGCTTTGATGGCAGGGTGAACGGAATCAGAGAAAGCACATTTACCTTCACACGATATCCTCGTCATCGCCGCAGGCAGTTTCTTGGCTGCCGCAACAGGGTTAATATTTTCAACCCATGCCAGTGCTTTGGAGTGTTGGCACTTGACGTATAATTTGCAGAATTCCAAAGGTCGGGTAACGTTGGTGGTCGGGTAATGGTGGACACTTCCACGGTATTTTACGATATCTACTTTTTTTCTTTTTCATTTTTTTTTTTATTATTTTATCCTCTTATCTATTTTTTATGGCTATATTTTTATTTATTTAATTCTATTTCTTTTATTTATTATTCTCATCAAACACCCGATGCTCTCGCCAGCAGTTTTGCACTCAAATAAAAACAATAAACCCCCGCACAGCAGATATGCTAGTAGCTCAGTGGCTATAGTATCAGACTGCCACCGCACCGACCCAGGTTCAGATTTCTACTGTTGCTCATACTTTATATATAACCTTAACGTCTGTAACGCTCTCAGCGTGTCACTCCTTCATAACACTAGCTATGATGCTTATTCATAACGCTGGCTACTCTACTCGTTTTTACGCTCGTTCGTGACAATTTTCTCATAAAAAACTACTTGCTTAAGCAGATTTCACGTCAAAAGGGTACTGCCGCATCCTGCGTCGACGACGGAAGGGCAACTCCACTGAAACAGTGCGTTACCGTTGCTTTTATACACACGGTACATCCAGGAACGTCCTGAATCAGAACACGCGACGACAGCCCAGAATTGGCTGGAACTTTCCAGAAAAACAAAGATTGATGAGAGAAACGACTGTACCAAGCAGGGTTCGAACCCCATCCTTTTGTACAGAAGCCGCACGCGTCACCAACTCGACCACGCATGCGGCATTATGGACGAGTGCGACTACCTCTGTACACTGCAATACCCTTGTGCTTGCAAGTGATGACGCGGCACTCCTGTTTCATGCTTTTGTCGAATCGGTTTCATGAACCTCCTCCCACGTTGCAGATTAAGACGTTTTCTGCAACATAAAAATGCTGACTGCTCACCGGTGCCACAGCAGATGTCCAGGAGGGTGGAATGTTGGTTGCAGTCCAGCATCTGCCGCACTGCGTCGTACATGAAGCCCGCCACCGCACTGTTCACCTGCGTCGACCAACGGGCAAGCACGATGTCGTTGCAGACTCTCAACGTACGCACTCTATTTTGTGGGCCCGAAGTGCTGCTCGTGCTATGTTCAGTCTGCACACTGAGATCACTTCAATCTTGCACAACGACGGACTACACGAAAGGGTTTGGGATAGAGATCTTGCTTCTCTTTAGCATTTCTTAGGCACTCAGAAAAAAAGACATCCACTCTTGGAGATGTTTAAATTTCTACGAAGACTCAAGTTTCCCTCAAATTAAGTTTAAAAATCAGTGTATGAAACCTGAGGTTGGGTCAAACTAGAAGAAGGGTCGGTCCTAAGAGGGCCGAGAGAACTATGGACTTCTGATGCACCTAGCCTAGAATACGACTTGCATTGACGGCGCTTAAACTAGGAACGCACCAAACCACCAAGGTAGGCAGTCAACTGAACGTCTGGCATCTGCGTCATATGCTTCGCAAAACGATCAAGTAAGCCATACAGCTTTCTTGAGTGTTCAAAGAAGTATGTAGTGTGACACGGTAAGCAAAAATGGGTGTCTTTAGCCTTCCATTGCAGCACAGAATGCTAAGGCAAGAGCCAGAAACCAAAGTAGTAAACCAAAAGGGACAGTAAAAAGAAATCCAGAAGCACTCTAGTCAACGGTACGTTCTAGGTACCATAGCAACAGAGCACTGCTACACCATCTAATCAGTTGTATGGTACCTGGGATGCATGAGACAGGCTCACCTGGAAGAAGGACTCTGGCGAAAGGCGAAACCTGAGGTCCCCCATCTCCTCCTGGAGGTGCGGCGGCCCATGCAGCAGCTCAAAGGGGGCCTGCTCGTGGCTGCACCTTGTGTGGGGGCTGAGAAGGGGACATTCTCAGTCAGTGGGGAACAGGATGTTGGATCATCCCTCTCTTCAGGTCCACGTAAGGACATCTAAGAAAGAAGTTCCTTGTACACTGAAGTGCATAAGGAATGCTCAAGCAACATGCACACACATGCCATCTATGATACATATGAGCAACAACAGGAAAGAAGTTCTTTCCGTGTATGTAGAGCTTAGCCAGCTGTGGCTATTCCTGCGCTGCACTGGTCCATGGCTATTCCTGCACTGCCATCTCGATGAAAGTATATACTGTATTTACTCGAGTAATAGCCGCACTGTTTTTGAAGAAAACCTGAGGGTTCGCTTTTCCGCGTAGCATGCGGCTTTGCCAATCACCGCGATCGGCAGCATGTTTCCAGCGGTTTACAGGACAGAGATAACGTCTTCGCGCGAAGATACCATCTGTGAAGATTGCGTTTGTATGGAGAATCGTGTTCTCAATCTCGTTATTCACTATGTTATTTATGCACAATGCGATGATTGGCTGTATATGTATTCTGCAGGAAAGCAGACGCAAGGGCCTTGTTCATAAATAGTACGGCTACTACTCAAGTAAATACAATATAAGTAGGATTTTGCAATAAAATTTTTTAAAATGAGCCGAGCTCCATTTTTGGTGCCCTACTTGGTGACCCAAAATATGTTTTCTTCCGCATATGGTTCGGACAATAGACTTTCCTCCCTTTTCTTTTCACCTTGTGTTGAAAGCAGGCAATGCCACATTTCCTCATACATACCCCACACTTCTACTATGAAAAGGCCTGCGTATCAACTTTTGCACATTGCATGAGCTAATCGTGGCAATTTACCGGGTTCCGGCACAGTTCGCCGTTAAAATCTTTTGCATGCCTCACTGATCGCTGGAATCCTCGGCTCTAACACGTCGCCATGACTGGCTCCTGCACGTTTTGCAAAAAGCGCGTGCTCTTTGCAAGGGCTTATCGCACGAGAGTGGGCTCTATGTGAGGAAATGGGGAAGCTTTTGCCTGAAGCCAAAGAGCTCCTTACCATGCCTGGAAGTACAGAGAAGCAAGGTTGCAGTCCTTTCCCTCCCCGTGAACGAAGTAATCCACCAGACCCTGCTTTTCAGCTATCAGTTGTTCCTGCAAGTGTTTGGGGGGACAAGGTGACAGCACTGAAGCCTAGAAAAAACAATCACATTTAAAGTCATCACAACTGCACAAAATGAACCTGAAAGTTGCTCCAAATGAGGCAAAAGAAAAAAATGGAAGACGTTTACATTTCTTTGTATTACGTAATTAGGGCGCAGCTCTTGAGGAGGGGGGGGGGGGAGGGTATGCTTCTGCTCCCCCTCCATACCATCCCCTCCTTCTCTCCTCCTTCCCTCCCATTTAACGGGAAATTTTTTTTATAAATTTTCCGCTCAATTTAGCAGGGAAATTTTCCCACTAAATTTCGCAAGAAATTTAGCGAAAATTTTCCTGCTAAATTTAGCAAGCTAAGTTTCCCCACTAAATTTAGCAGGAAAGTTGACATCACGTGACCTCAACACTAATTCAGTTTTCCCGCTAAATTTAGCGGGGAAAACTGGGACGTCCCATAATGCAATGTGTGCGGTTACGCCGACACCGCTCGACCCAGAAACAAGCACATAAGAACTGCACTCTAAAAGTAAATTTTGGGAACCTTCACACCAAATTACTGTGTTAAATATATATATATAGGTGAGGACACACAGCACTGCAAACGCTGCGACGCAATCGACTAGATAAAGTCCTATTGGCACGCGACCGAGTAGCCTCAGCCAACAGCTTCTCCACTGTCCAGAAGGTGCAACTAAGAAAAAAAAGATGCAAAGACAACCTTAAAGGTGTCTTTTTCCCATGGTTCTCTGACCTTGACAGATGCTGGCATGAAAACCATGCTAGAAATCTTTCTGCTTCAACGCATTCATAGAACTGTTATTGCTTCCAGTGAGGCACAAAGCTAAGGTCAATGACAAAGAAGTGTCTAAGCAACATGTGATGCACAAGTGCAAAGTTCTACATGAGGCGGCACACCCAGAAAACGACTTTAAAAACAAGCGTGTTGTTTACCATACAAAAGCATGGGAAACCGGGCCTGCGACAGGCTGCCATTAGCCCCATACCGAGGAATCATCTCGTGGCACCACTTGCGACCAAACGGGGAAAGGACTTCATGTGGTGGCTGCATTATGCACGGTGTCCACACCTATATTTATCTTGCACAGTGCACCAAACTAACGAAGAGCATATGCCATCTGGCATGCCCTTCATTGACTTATACCACCTAAAGATCTTTGGTGAAATCCTCTCCGTAATGAGCATTCGTAAAATTGCAGGGACCCCAACTAAGCTTCAACTAAGTCTCAACAAAGCAATACGGCACCTCCCGAAAAATAGAAACACGGAAAAATTGTATCATCCCACCTTCTCCATAGGGAAGGCAACCGTGCTACCAAACCCGTGGTCCCTTCCCCGACAAATTCAGAGCTATAATTCCAAATTCCCCGATTCGTTTAGCGAGAAAACCAAGTCAACCAGTGATATCCCAGTGTGGATGATGACTCTTGGCGAGCCCGCAAGATACCAGAATCACGTCCGAAGCTTCTGCAGTGCATGTTTATTGACTTTCTACTCATGATGTCCCGTCCTCATTTCCAGGGCTTGAAGTGTGTGCGGTGAAACTCAAAACGACGTACGAAAACTGGGATTGGTGGCAGAGCGTGTTAGCGCACCGCAGCGCACACTTTCATGTTGAGTGAAAGCGTGCACTGCGGAACATGGGGATCTTGGGTCGAGTCCCCACCCCAGCCCGTTTTGATCTGGATAAGCGTTGTACCGACGTGCAGCCGTGCACCGCCACTGCGCGACAACAATTAAGACCCCGGGCTAGCAGTTGTACCACACTGCTAGCTCGGGATTTTTCACCTACAGTGAAGTTAGTGAGCCCACTGGGGATCACTAACTTCTTGCTATCTAAACAAACACACAACGTAACAACCTTTTTTTTTTACGCAAACTGACACTGGCACCCACCTGAGTCAGCTGCTGGGGGTGCATCACCACGATGGCCATGACGTCGTCCCTGCTATTGGAGCGCACCACGACGTTTTTCCAGTGGCCCTGGAAGTTGGTCTCGTAGCAGCCAGCAAGAGGCGACCTCTGGATGTAGCGCTGGAAAGCCTGCAACCAGTGTCTGCCCTCAGGAGGCTTGCCTACCGCAATGCCCGCAACCTGCCCAATGAGAACTTATTTTCCGAATGAGGAAAACGAGAAGACTGCAACTCACCAAATTCAATTCTGGGTAAATTGTGCCTCTCAAAAAAAAAAAAGAAAAGAAAAAGGCTGATATCATTTTTAGTTTTGGCACAACAGTATTTTGACATATTTTTTTCCTTTGGATTACCCCGCAGCACTTGAAGCACGTTTAAGGGCAGACATGGGTTCTTGAAACTTTTTTTAGGTTTCTGAACTGAACTGATTTCAATTAAACTTGTCATGCATATGTATTTTCTTGTGCTGATCCCAAATCTGGAATTAGTTTTTATATAGGTCCATGGAGAGAAGTGCTGTGGAAGTTATTAAAAATATATTTCAAGTACCGTATTTGCAGGAATATAAAGCAACCACCAATATAATGCGAGGGTAAACTTGAATGGCATAAAAAAGAGAAACAAAATTTCGAGGACACCTAGGCACTTCTTATGAGTTGTGAGTGCGAAAGCATGAATGTCCTTCTACCGCTCCCTAAGTTCGTTTGTGGTGCACTGGCGCGGACGGCCACGTTTCGCAACTGCTGAGGTAGCACCCGACGGCCGAGCGCGCGCTCTCTTGAAGTGGCCGCATCACACTCAGCTCAGCCGTGCAGCCTCTCCGGAGTTTGCCTGTGCAGGCTCTGCGACCAGCTGTTCTCTTTCACCGGCGGCCAGGCCAGTAAAAGAGAGGGCTTCTCTGGTGGCGTTCCTTGGAACTACGCTGTGCGAGAGCCAATGGGAGCCTTGTCCCTTCAAACTATGATGCGCAACAGCCAATGGAAGCCTATCCATCATATTTATGCTACAGACAACAGGGTTGGGTCTAATGGGACAGGGGAAGGTGCTGTCTGGCGCGGCTTCAAAAGGTGATGACGTTGTTTCGCTCCATAGGCCAGTTAATGCTTTCGCATTAAAAAAGATATTATTGCTATTATAACACGGACTGAGGCTGCGTAATTAGTGCACTTGAGAACATAAAAAAGTGAAAAGAGACCGGAAGTCGACATACTTTTTTTTTATTCTACTTGTCTTAGCTGCTGATCTCCTTGTCACTGTCCGTTCGTCGTTCGTGCCGTCAATGTTGTTGGAGAGGCAACCCTTGAGGAAGGCATACGACACAATTGAGCGCGGCATAGCCTCCCATGCGTTCGTGATCCACTGGGCGACTTGCAATATCGATCCCCACTTGACACGTCCCGCCAGTGTGAGCACCTTGTTATTCTCGACAAGGCACTCCTCATACTTCCTTTGCATATGATCCTTTAAAGGTTTGTTGATGCAGACATAGAGAGGCTGCAGTTGGGAAGTCATGCCCCCACGTATCACCACGAGGTCACACTTGGCTTTCCTGATGGCATTCTTGAATTCATCAGTCAAGTGTCCTCTGAAGGCGACCAGCACGAGCATGAACACCTTCGCCAATGCCGCACCCGGACGATTGTCCCACACAACGCAAAGCCACTCGCAGTTCGCATGTCGAGCATGCGAGCACGAGCTTGGCACAAAGCCCATGCTTTTTCTTTTGGTCCTTGGACACAGTCACGGTTTTCGCACTGTACTTTGGGCAGGGCATAAGTGTGAAGAATGAGTTGATAACCCTCAAGTCCAGGTAAAGTCTGTGCCACTGTAGCTTACCTTGTCGACATTCAGTAGCTTGAACTTGCGTTCTGTTGCCGACTGCGATGTCAGGCATTCTTTCATGCTACTCGCATTTGCTGCCCGCTCAGCAGCCTCCTCCGCCGAATAGCAGGCGGTATCCGTGCGGTTTTTGCTGGCACTCGTGACATGGGCCAGTGATGCCTCAACACCGGGCGCACTACTGGCCGTCTTCGACATGATTACAGCAGAATCCTCCGGTTTTGATGCAACAGGTAATACTGGTGGCTCAGCCTTTTTTACCGCCTTCTGCCGCACATTTTAGTGACACTTTCGTTTCCTGCCATTCGCCTCACGCATAGTTTTCTTTAGTCGAAGATCACCAGGCATTCCGACAGCAAACAGAAAGTCCACTTGTTCACCACGTTTCGTAACAAGTTATGTTCGCAGGCTCCCTTACAACACGAAGCGACAAATGCCACACGGAACTAATAGGAATGCACAATAAACACAGAAACTATTCAGTAATAAAGATAAAAAAAGAAATGTAAAAGGAGGCAAAAGAGATCGAGCTCTACAGCGGAGTCATGAGCATAGGCCAGAGCGAATGCATATCAGCAACAACCCACAGAGAGGCGAGGAATTCGGGGAGGTGAAAGGTGCGCTGGGGAAGGGGAGGCCAACAAAAGATGCGCACTCCACCAACCGCACGCTTTGGCTTATCGGCGGCTTGCAAAAGTCTTCAGAAAAACCCGGGAAAGCGGGAGCTTTCCTTGAGCGACGCCATTTTTTGACATGACACGAAACACGGAGAAAGAAAGCAGTTTGAAAACGAGACCAAGATGGTGGCCGCCTAGTGTCAGATTCGCAAATGGCGAGCGCCCAAAGTTGGAAGATATTTTTGCTGATATGGGGGCACTTTGTCTACTGCGACGTTAAAAAGTCAAATTTTAAATGCTTCCTGACTGAATTTCACGTTCATAAGTCGTGAAGAGGTACTTGAAGGTTAAATAACCCAAAAAATGTTTTCCAAAAAAAAAAAAACATTTCTAAGTTTTTTATTTATTTGATTTGCGTTTTCTCTTAAACGAAAGAAAGTGATTACATGCGCTCTTACTGCTTGCCAACTTGTGGCGACATAAGCTTGTTCTAATGTCATCATTACTCAAGGCACAGACTTCTTGAATATGAAAAGTCGGAGCCAGTAATGAAAATTCTCAGGGATGTTGTTGGAAGGAATGTGTCGGGGGTAACCATGCTTTCTTTATTATTTAAGAAAACTAAGTGAAATTTGTTTGATACAGCTTGTTTTTAATGTTCTGGATGCCATGAACAAGTGCAAAAACCATTTTCTTGCACACACATGAGACATGGCAACACACTTAAAGGGCAACTCCGCTCATTTTTGGTTTTGAAAAAACAATGCAGTCCTCTTCAGTATCGCCTAGGAAGACCACAAATGAAATGTTACGACGCAGTTCTGTCTAAATGTTTCTTAAACGGAGCGGCAAACTTTGCAACCCGCCAAGTTGCCGAAATTGCCTGACTTGAGCGGGCGAATTCAGGCGCAACCAACAGCGCAGTCAAGACTACGGCATGGGCGAAGCCAACATTGAGCTAAACATCATTATCATGGCCCCCTTTTGCTTGTTTTCACTTCTCCGGGCGAGCGTAGCGCATGACGTCAGCAACATTGCCTCTCTGCGCTCAGCGGTGTCCACGTGATTCATGTAACGTGCCTGCGCAGCGCGTTTCTTGGGAGCCGTCCGGCCGCCTGCAGTGGTCCCGCCGTTACCGCCGTCTTCCGCGTCACAACCGCCATCGTCGTCTCACCGATTGTTATTATTGTCTCTCGGAGTTTCGTCCACACTACGGACACCACATGCGCAGACTTATGCCGCAGTTGTGCAGACGTCGTCGAATGCCGTAGACACCAAAACATGACGAAGAGTGCGGTGCAGACGACACTCGCACCTGCCACACGCCCGCCCCAATCCCGCCCGTCGTTGGGCCGAGGATCACGTGACATCTCGTACCACGTGATGGCCATGTACTTGGTGACCCGAGGCCGATGTTTCCGGGCGGAGCCGAAGTTTCGGTTTCAATTTCCGCTCGTGTTTAAAATTAGATTTAAAAATATATACCCCATTTTTCGCGAAGCAAACGACGTAGTGTGTTTTACTAGGGCTTTTTAATTTGAAATCAATCATTATGCCAAAATCTTTGGAATTGAGCAGAGTTGCCCTTTAAAATGGCCTAGTAAAATAAAAATAATTTGCTCCTTTTAACCCCTTAAATGCCTTGGACGAGCTGAGCTCGTCGGCCACTTTCTGGCTAAAAATGCCGTGGACGAGCTCAGCTCGTCCTGTGGTTTTTTCGGTAGCCCTCAATTCCACAGACGAGCTAGGCTCGTCTCAGCAGTTTTGTGGCGCAGATCATAGATGACAGCACTCGTTTTAGTTGGCAAATATTTTTTTCGCCGCCGCTGATTTCTGCGTAATAAACTTTTCAAATTTTATGTGTAATACTAGAGGAATAACAATTCAAAATAAAAAAAAAAAATATGGCACTCTTAGGTTACTTTTGGAAAAAAAAAATGGCACTTCAAAGTTAAACCACTGAGTGCAATTAACAAAAAAGAAATACTGTGTGCAAGATCTATTTTGTTTTAAAATAATTGAAAATCTCAAAAACACCATTTTCAAAAGACAAACAAAAGTTCCTTGAATTCTTTATAAATATAAAGATTACACATTCTAATCATACCTAGATAGCTGCATTTTACATATTCTAAAGCATATGGCTGCCAAATTTGGCTAAGATAGGACAATATTGAGAACAAAAATTCTCATGCGCAAACTGCAAAGATGCTTCAAAATAAAACTACATAAAGAGAAAAACGTTTGAATGTTACCATAGATGTGTAAAAACACTGTTTAGTGGCGGGAAAAAATAATTTCTTGTAAGAAACTGAAACTAGAGAAGACTGTGATGGAAAGAAGATGGCTAGACCAACTTCTCACCATAAATCCAACAGCAGGAGACGTCACAATCTGAAGAACCGCGCACACAAAAATTATTCAAATTTATGCCATTCTGCATTCTGGGTTGCCAAGAGTTCTTCGAATGCTTATTTGACCAATTTTGCAATCATAACCAGTCCTCAATATTTTTAAACATAAAATATGAAGATTCAAAGAAAATAAAACACCATGATACCCAAAGTGCACATTTTCTGCAAAATATTGCCGTTTTTCAAACAGCATCTCTCCTTAAAATTAATCGCTAAACAAGCCCTTGGTGTAAACTTAACAAGCTTGTTGGCCCCAGACACCAATTTTTCCGGCTCATTTTAAGGTGATCCTGGGGACCAACCTAGTCACGTACCCAGGGTCTAAATCTATTCAAAATCCCTGTCAAACTTTAGGTATTTTCCGGACTTACCCTGGCAACCCTCTTGTGACTCTCCTTGCATATGATGACGTGATCGGGGCTGACGCACACCGCCTTGCCCTCACCTAGGGGCACAAGGATACACACTTAGATAGTCAGAGCCCTAAGAGCTACCCTCAACGACGAACTGAGCGAGGGTTTGTTGGGTAGAAATTTAATCACGGTGCTTGGCAACATGTCTCTGACTAGTGTGCTTAACGTCCTGTACCGCCCATGCCTCGAGAGGGGTCCAAAAGTGGCAACGAATTGCATCGCAGGAGCTGGCAAGTCATCAAGTAAAATGTTGTCACTTGCGAGTTTGTTGTAGAAGTTCTACCAGAGCAAACACAAACGTCATCGGAGCATATTAACTCTGGACTGCCAAAAAGTCCGTAGACTATCAAGCTAAAGGTAAGCTATGCCAGAGCTGGAGTCCGCCACATCTGTCGCCGCTGCCATGCCACAGCCACAATCGCATCGAGCAACAGTCCGACGCGACTGTGACGTCATTGGGCGGAAATCAGGGAACCAAAAATGACATCTTGGAAAACACACCAATTGGAGACACATTCCAAGCACCATCGTGTGATCTATGTAAGAATCTCTAGCTTGCTCAAGTCTGAGAGTTGTTTTGTAAAGCCTCCGTGGCACCATCTTCTCGCAGTCCCACCGGCGGCATGCACGCACAAGCGAACAAGTGAGTGACAGGTACAAGAACCCTTTTCAGAAAGGCGCGTTTGTCACACTGTCAACTTTTGAACCATTGTCTCAAATTGATTCAAACTTTCAGGGTGAATTGAACCCCATTAGGATTGATGACATCTAAAGTTACAGTCTTGTAGGCCAATTCTACAACATACTACGCCTAACAAGTTCCAGAAAAAGTTACTTTACTAGCAAATTTATTTAAGAAAAATAATAATTGCAATCTACAAAATGTTTGGTTTAATGTGAAGTCAAATACCCATAATGTAAGTTAAGGTAAAAATTAATTGTAGAAAATGCAATTCTAGAGAAAAACAATAACATTCAGTTTTTGTCATGAAGAATTTAACTTTTTCAGATTATGAGCACCTTAACATGTTCCTCAGAAAACTTTAGTCTAAGACAGCACTGAATGAAATCTTTACCCTTTCAAAATGTCAAATGATACATTTCCTCATACTACCACATTTCCTGCCAAAAAGCGAAACTAAGAAAAATGCATTTGAAGTTTCAACTTTAGGTTTCTTTCTTTTCTGTAAGTCGGAGGTAGGCAAAATTCACCTGGAGCATTGTTATCACCTTCTTCTTTGAGACTTTGTTGTCCCCCAGGCAATAGTTACCAGTTTGTGTCATTTGTAGGCAAGCTAACTTTTGTAGCAGGCATTCCCTGACAAATAAACTGGCAAGAAATAAGAGGCAAATCATACTAAGGAAGAGCAGTGAAGCAAGAATAGGATCTGAAGTGGAAGGTACTGTGAAAGGGTGTCACTGAAGATGGCAAAATATCATGTCACCAGGCAGGACCAATCGTAAACCCTGTTTCGGGTCTCAACCAATAAGATTGTTCATACCAAATTTTCAGGATATTTTCTGTTTTGATGTATAGGGCCCTCCTGGCCATTGATACTTTTAAACTTGGAAAGCTCCTACGGGCGAAATCTAGAGTAAATGGCACTCCATTGAGGGTGAGATGTTGTGGCTATGTTAAACAAGTATGAAACAAGGCTAAATAAAAAACACAAAGAACTTGCCCCATGCCGAAAATAATTTATCGTGAGATAAATGCTGCATGTTTAAAAATGAAAGTTTCTGAAACCATTCTTCAAAAGTTAATAAACATAAACATTTAAAAAAAAAATTTTTTTTCTGAAAAAATTTGAATTTTGAGGCTATATTCCTTTTTAAAAGGCTCAGCCCTAATGTATTTTTAAGGGTGTTTTTCTAGGCTTCACAAACTGGCTTAAAAAAGCCAAGAAAGCTACATAAGTGAGATTTGTGCAAGCGAGTGTTACGGTCAGGGGATATACTGGGGGCTAATTTTCGGGATATATAATTGACTAAAATTAGTTCATTCACTTTTTCCTCGGCGAAGATAGACATATGGTACCAAATAAAAACTTGCTGAGCGCCATCCAAAGCTACTAAAATCATAAAATTAAGCCCATGGGAAGCGGGGTGGTGCGCTAAAGTTACCACTCATTCAACAGGCCCAACACTAGTGGCGCAAAAACGTGCCCACGCAGTTTTTCCACCACTTATAATCTGCGTTTTTGTGCCACCTGCCGCGCATCTGTTGCCCAGGTGCTAGCCTAAGTGCACTAGTGATCTTCCCACGCGCTCAGTTCTTTTCGAACTTAGCGATTTAGTGGCTTTTGATAATGCTCAGCAAGTTTCTAAATAAAACTGTATGTTTACTTTCTCTAATTAAAAAGGCAATCGACAAATTTTAGGTAATTATAAAAACTATCGTGAAAATTGGGCCCCCTGGTCGTTTTACTCTACTGCACATAGACAGCATTAGTGCAGCTTTTATGGCATTTTTAATACTAATCTGTAAAGCGTAGAAAAAACACCCCATATATCCGGGGTTAACTACTATTAGCGTTAGAAGTCACTGGTATAGGTGATGCAAGCCGCCCCAGTTACCTGTGGGGCTCCCCACCAGAAAGCCCACAACCTTGGGCTCCCCAGAGGGACCCTCCCGGATGGAGAATTCGTCCTTGTTGCGGTAGCCCTCCAGCACGGGCTGCAAGCGGGGAAGGGACTTGGATCACATGCCGGGAAGGGACCACACGTTGCACCAGGTAGAAATGTCGAGCTATATGGGTAAGCACAGTGCAACACAAATATGGCGCTGCAGAAAGATAAGACTGGAGAAAGATAAGCATTCGTCTGGCCCGGCTTTAATGCAGAAAGTGTTGCACGGCCAACTCCTATACTCCGTCTCCCCCTACGATGAACCAGGGCCCGAAGGCTGGTGGGCGAAGCCCTACCTCAGAGAAGCTTGCGTCCGCATTGCAAAAGAGTGTGCGAGAGAAATTCCAATGCGCAGAGCATGAAGAGCATCTTACGCATATAAATCTTTGATGTGATAGCGCGCTATTTTATAGTGGTGACGTAAAGGTACACGGTATTTAGTTTCATAAACATTCATGCCATATTTCCTAAAAATATTAACTGTTTGAATCATTTCGCCTTAGCCATAACAATCGAATCCAATCTTTGCGTACGTAAAGCGTGCCCAGACTTGTATCTCCTTTCCGCACGTGGTCCATACATACGCTCCCGTGTCAAACACTCGATCCGAATCCTCTTAATTTCTGAACGGCTGCTGGTTCTGATCCTGGGTTCTCTTTGCCACATTGCTTCCAGATGGTATTTAATCCCTTCAGTAGTCTTCAGTAACAGCAAGCAGATGGAGCCGCCGCGAGGGCTCGATAAGCGGATGAAAAATTCATCTCCACTTGACGCATCTTGGCACACTGATATGTACGATGGAGCAAATATACCACGTGGTTTCAAACAGGCTCGTGATTGGACCCGGCGGCCTGTAGCATTAGGCTTTAGTCTATTGTAGGATGAGACGGAGTATAAAGGTTTCCTGTAATGAAAGAGCGTCGCGTGAAAAACGACTAGACACGAGTCTCCTCGTGTCCAAGCAACCAATGCAAGAGCTTTGTCAGCGCTTCAAAAACAACAAACATTCACTGGTGGTGCCCAGAGGGACTTGGTCCCCCTCAAGTGTTTGCGCGAGCGAGGGGATCCCAAAGCTGAAGAGTTTCACGAGCAGATTAGCCCTCGACTTGCCTAAAAAAAGTTTTTGAGATTAGAGCCTACATAAATGCATCCTTGTATGTTTCAAACAGAGCCATCTGCCGGTGTGGGGGGGGGGGGGCACTCACGGAGGGAACCACCGGCCTGAGGGGACAGGGAAGGCCCTTGGGGTCAGCCGGGAAGTCCACCCCTGCGGCAGAGAGCTTGCGCCCCAGCTTCTGCAGGACCACCGTCAGGTCCTGGTACTTGAACTGCACACCGGGGGCACACTCACTGTTGCGTCTGCCCCAGCAATAGCCGAAGTCGGCGGGGGATTGAAAGGCTACTACGGCGCCTGGGACGCATCTCCGACCGGTGTGTCTGGAGTGCTATTGGAAGTCCGCAACGAGATGGTGGCATCACGACGTGGCTCCTAGCAGAAGCATTTCACGCAGACGTTGCACATAGCGGTTGACCCTGGTTTCTTATCGATGTCAGCTTGCCCGAGCACGGTGCTGTACAAAACGTTCGGGGCCACAGTTGGCGCTAACTCTTTTTACGCGAGAACTGGAAATTAGAAAACACATATTCTCTGTGCACTGGTGAAAACAGTCGCAATCATCTCAATCCCAGTATGTTTGCTTAATCGGTGCCAGCGAGTGAAGAGAAATTTGATAAAAGGAGGAGTCAAAAATGCTTCTAATGTAGATTTCATCACTTAGTGCCACCGGTAAAGGTGGCACTAAGTGATTTTGCCATCTCAGCAGAGATGGCAAAATTACTTGAAGTAATTACATTAAATTTTAATTACTTTTCTGAAAACTGCAAAAATGTAATTTAATTCCATTGCAAATTAATGCATACTAAAAGTATTGACATTACACTACAATTACTTTACAAAAAGTAATAAAATTACTTTGACATTACTTTCCAATACCTTGAGTCAGCTATCCCTGCGCATTTCTTTTATACTGTGTACCAAAACTCAGATCTTCCGGTTTACACTGCAACAGCCTTACGTGCCTCAAAGTTAACCATACTGAACAATCGTTGCACTGGCGCACACGACTTAACTGTCAAGCATGATGAATACTTTCCTCTCTAGATGTGACTCAAAGACATTCCACTCATCGGTTTCACTGTTCATTCAGCAGTAAACGTCCACAGTTTAAGGGTGATATGTTTTAGAGCGCAGCTCTTAGGGGCCCGTTCCCGGCTTGAGCGGCGTCGCCGTCGGCGTAACCAAGGTCACCCCAAGGTCATCCCAAGGTCACGTGACCCCCAAGGTCACCCCAAGGTCACATGATCCCAGAGGTCACGTGATCCCTCCCCTAGGGTCAAGTGGCCCACAAGGTCACGTGACACCCAAAGTCACGTGACTCCCCAAGTCACGTGACCCCTCCCCGAGGTCACGTGACCCCCATCGAGGTCACGTGACAACTCCGAGGTCACGTGACCCCCCTCTCCCCGAGGTCACGTGACCCCCCCCCCCCCCCCCCCCCCCGAGGTCACGTGACCACTCCCAGGGTCACGTGACCCCCCGCCGAGGTCACGTGACCTCCCCGATGACGTCATCGTCACTGATGTCGTCACCGGCATCCGCATCATCATCATCATCATCACTGATGACGTCACCGATGACCTCACCGGCATCCGCATCGTCATCGTCATTGATGACGTCATCAGTGACGTCACTTATGACATCACCGACATCCGCATCGTCATCATCGCTGATGACGTCATCGGAGTCCGCATCGTCATTGTCACTGATGACATCATCGGCATCCTCACGTGAACCCCCAAGGTCACGTGACCCCCCCCCAGGTCACTTCACCCCCCCCCCCCCCCCCCCAGTACCCTTCCCTCCTCCTCCTCAAGAGCTGCGCTCTAATTCAGTGTTACAGGGAGTTGTAAACGGCTTTCACTTTTTTGTCTTCCTGATTTAGAAGTTAAAGACCATGTCAGCATGTTAAGTCGGGCCATGGGACCTTGTTTCTACAAGGAGTCGTCACGTGAAAGGTTTCCCTTCTGCCTCGGACGCAACCTAATCCTATCCTCCCAAGCCTCAAGGGCAATAGTTGACATATTCCCGGTCATTCCTCGCAAAGAGGATTGTTCCCAAACACCCGAAGAGCCCAAGTCATTGCGCGTTGTCGCACAAGGGGGCTGAATATGTGCTAGGCAGAAGTGTCACCAGCTAAGGAAAGGGATGGCGCAAGCTTCCTAAAATGTGTACATTCCTAACAAACGGGTAGCGATATCTGCTCGAAGTCTTATTACCGAAGAAACTTGCCTAAAAATGGCAGCGAGACATACCACAAGCGGCACCTGCTTTGCTGGATTCCCGTTTTTCCCAACAACAAAAATCACCTTTTTAACAAGGCCAAGAATACGCAGGAAACATTCTGGGGCCTTGACAAGGCATTTGGGATTAACTATTTATTCCGGTCGTTTGTTGTTCCCAATGGTAGAAGCTGACGGTTTGACCTTGCTTAAAGGGATGGTGAACCGAAATTTGGATTTCAAAAAAGCAGTGCTGGAGATGTAGGCAGGACGCTACAATCCCTACAACACTACTAGTAAGGCGATATCTCAAATGGACGACCGTATTTTTGGAAAAAGAAGTCGAGATTGAACCAGGCCGACGAGGCGCGTGACGTCAAGATACCTGGTTTCCCCCTCTCTTCACTTCGCTCTCTCAAGGCCGCGAGGCGGAGAAGACGCGAGGCCGTTCCCTCACCTTCTCAGAGAAACATGACGTCAACATTCCTGCCAAATGCGCCTGTTTTTTTTTAAAAATACAGTCATCCGTTCGAGATATTGCTGTGTGAGTGATGTTTTGCTGTTTGTAGCATCCCATTGCACGCTTTTGCCGCGTGTTTTGGGCAATCCAGATTTCGCTTCAGCATCCCTTTAACGAAAGAGCAAGAAGGATGGGGATCTGTTAAGGCCCGTTCATACTCTTGCAACCGAGTACGACCGAGAGAGACCAGACCGGTTTTTAAGCCTCTTGCGACCTCTTAGGACTGGATGCGCTACAGCGGAGCTGGTCCCAAGAAGTCACAAGAGGCTTAAAAACCGGTCTGGTTTCTCTCGGTCGTACTCGGTTGCAAGAGTATGAACGGACCTTTAGTCCTGTACTCTCAGGTTTTAAAATGTGCGGACCTCACTTGTGATAGGCCCCTTGCCACTCACCCCTAAGCTGACAGTGCGGTGGAAGCTATGTGCTCGTTGGAACAGTCAGATGTCTATCTTTCACCACGTAACCGCGCTCTCGTTACTACCCCCCGTGCAGAGAAAGGGACGGGTCAAATGATGAAAAGAAAGGATGTGATTGGTTCCGGTGAGCTCGTAGTTCCCATCACACTGTCACCTTAGGAATGAACGAAGCACACTATAGTCGTGATTCCATGATGCTGTGAATCTGTATTTCCTGAAGTTTGTGATCCGTGGCTTTCCAGCAATGTCTTTACACGTAAGCTTTGCTTCTTCTCAATTCCAGCCCACCTTTGTGCGTCTGTGGAGTTCTTCGTACCAGGCTTTGCGCTCAGATGGCCGTTGTTTATGTGCTCTGATGTCTCTTTCACTAAATTTCAATACGCAAAATAATTTTTTCTTTGTTTAAAGCTCGCAAACAAACTTTCTCATTTGGGACAAAAGTAATTTCAAAAGTAATGAGTAATGTTCTCGAAGTTACTACCTGAAAGTAATTCATTACATTACTAAATTATAAGCATAAAGAAGTAATTCATTACATTACTCAATACCACAAGAAGTAATTTTGTTACTGTAATTTCATTACAGTAATGTCATTACTGCCATCTCTGTCATCCAGTAGCAATTTCCATACCATCGAACACACAAATGCTTTGTAGAAGTATACTACGACACAGACAAACGAAAAACCTGGCGGTGCGTTGCCGTCGTTGCCGCTTACAATGGCTGGGGACGTGACCGAACACAAGCTCCGAGCGACTCCCGCAAGTCGAATGATTCGATAACGCATACGGAGCAAAGTTGGACATGGATATGTTTTCGAACATCAAGGCACAAACCTTTACTCTAGATCGAGGCCGAGAAACGCGGCTTCGGTGTAGCCAGTGTAGTTGCCGGGCGGATCGGTATGACCCCCTTTAAGTGTCGCACGCTCCCAATACTGCTTGTACGTCAGAAGTGGCCACCAGGCAGTAACAGATAGCGTCATAAGAGCCAGACAAGTGAGCGTGTGCGCTGCTGTCGTCACACCATCCCAAATCGTGGCTGCTGAACTTTCCATGGGCTGCTAAGCTTAACAGCGACCTACAACAAGACAGGCGTCTGCCACATTCACCCCTGCTGCTGTGTCACCATCAAGATTTTAACAGGCAAGGGTGTGACACAAGGGTGACATTACCAGGTGGAAATCGGGGCACCGAAATTAAGGACACAGTAAACACGCCAGTCGGAGATGCGTTTGAGACTCCTAACGCTACCAACGCTTGAGAGCGATGACCATTAAAATCGGGAACACTTGAGATAGCAAAGCTGGCAGACATTTAAAGCTTCTCAGGCTGCCCAAGAAGCATTAAATCAGAACTGTCGGTGGTTTGCTAAACCAGAAAGTATATACACCCGTTTGAATAACAATACTGTAGGACTCCCCCCTCACCCCCTCCCCCAACTCCTTCCCCCCAAAAAAGCCCCGTCGAATCGCAATTGCCAGGATATTGCGAAGTGCACGAACCATCAACTGCTTCCGGTATGGATGCTTCCAGAGAGGTGTCACCGAGTAGGCAAGCCTGCAAGAAAATGCAGCGGTCAATTGCAATATTCTCCTTAAAACTCCGCTTCACTTTTTCTTTTTGAAAAAACAATGCAGTCCTCTTCAGTATCGCCTAAAAGACCACACATCAAATATTACAACCTAATTCTGTCTAAATGTTTCTTAAACGGTCCGACAAACTTTGCAACTTGCCAAGTTGCCGAAATCGGCTGACTCGAGAAACGAATTGAGGACCAACCAACAGCGCAGTCAAGGCTACGGTGTGGGCGTAGCCAACATTGAGCTAAATGTCATCACCATTGTCCCCTTTTTGCCTATGTTTACTTCTCTGCGCAAGCTTATTGGGTGACGTCAGCAACATTTCCTCTCAATGCTCCGTGGTGTCCACCTGATAGGCGTAACACGCCTGTACAGCACGCTTCTAGGAAGCCGTCCGACTGTCTCGCTGTGGTAATGCCATTACCGCCGTCTCCTGCGTCACAACCACCATTGTCGATTCACCATTTGTGACTACTGTCTCTCGAAGTTTTGTTCCCACTACGGACACTATGTGCGCAGACTTATGCTGCAGTTGTGCAGACGTCGTCAAATGTCCTAGACACCAAAACGTGGTGAAGAGTGCGGTGCAGACGACACCTGCGCCTGGCATGCGCCCGCCCCAATGCTGCCCGTCGTTACGTAGAGTATCACGTGATATCTCGTACTACGTGATAACTCTGTTCTTGGCGTCCAGACGCCAATGTTACCGAACAGAGCCGAAGTTTCGTTTCGATTTCTGCTCATGTTTAAAATTAGATTTAACAATATATATTCCATTTTTCCCGGAGTAAATGACGTAGTGTCTTTTACTGGTGCTTCTTAGAGTGAAATCACTCATTATGCGGAAATCTTTGAAACTGAGCGGAGTTGCCCTTTAAACAGTTGAACACAATTAAAGCATAAAGGGAAGATGCTTTCTTTATTTTCCTATTTCGGGCTCCACACATTTATTTATTTATTTACCCTCAAGGTCATACTACATTACTGAAAGTGATAAAAGGCTGGCTTGAGGACCAATATATTCCAGCTTTGTTTCAGATTCTAAAATAAAGGCAAAACTCGCCAAAGACAAGGCCAGGTTGGGTTAGAGCCTTCAACGAGAAAAATCGGGTTAAGTTTTCAAAATTGTAACCCAAGAAGCTTTCAAGCAACCGTCTCATGGTGTATCTAAAGGCACCGTGCCAGCCCTTGGCTGGTTCCGTGTGACTGGCTGCATTGCAAGTGCTCGCAACTGCACATGACGAGAAAACATGCCACCATGTCGGCGCCATCTGTTGGCTAGCCCTGGAATGCTTCCAACCTGCATGTAACCAGACCGAAAGCTCAGCAATATTGACGAGACAAAATCTACACGCTACCTATAAGAAATGATAGCTTATAACACCGTCAACAATATTTCGAGCCCACTATGAAAGTGCTACAAGTCTATCCGAGGTGCCACTAAATGAGCTACGCTCAGAGTGTCTGCCCCCATTCCTCGATCATCTCGAAGGTGCCAACGTTTCGGTGCGATCTGCGGCTACGACTTTCAGAGCTCGAGAATCGGTGCCGGGAAGTTTGGACGACGTCGGTTTACAAAACAGCAGCCGTTATGGGTTCTTCCCACCACTGGAAACAACGTCCGTTGTCGTCGCAGTTGTTGTTGTAGCGGAAGGGTGTGCATTGTAGATATTGCGTACCGCTCGAAAAAGAAGGCCCACCACCATGGCGCTCTTGGTGTTCGATCCCAGGTCCGCCACGTTCGAAGCAGGCACGTTGCCGTGGCCGCAGTGGCTGCGACATCACGACGGAAAACTCTTTCTCATTCTTAAGTATTTTTCAGATTTAACCAGAGTTCATGGTCGAAATTAAGAGTTTCGGCCATGTGGTGCAAGCCACCGCCCGAATAAAAGGGTTCGGGCGTATCTATCCATTTTATAACCCCTAGAAGACAGGCTTGTACATCTTGTCGTCATCACTCGATCCCCGAGCCGCCCCGAGTGGCAAACACGCCGAAGCTTGACGAGGGTTTGGCGCAAGGCGGCAGATGCGGGTGTCTTGGTGTCGTCATGCAATGGCATCGCGCTTGTTGCGCAACACTGGAAGACGTGCTGGCGGCGGCGCCGATGCATCTAGCCATTTGTCGCAGGGAGAACTTTGAGGTGCGTTTTCATGAGAACGAAGCCAGGAGGCCTTGCTGCCAAGACCCCACGGTGCGTGAAAGCGACACCGATGCCCGACGACTTTGCCGTGACGTGTCACAGCTGTTGCTGAAAGCGTACTGTAGGTTAACGCGGGCCTGCTCGTTTTAGTTCTGTCGTGAACGTTTCAATGTTTCTGAAAGATGGAAAAGCATTTCCTCACATTTCGGACATAGCTCCAGACAACTGGCAACAATGATTTCAAGCACCAAGATGGCTAAAGTGTCTCTACTCTGAAACATAACTGACGTAGTGGCCCTAGGCTATCCGATAGATGGCGCCAGCATCTCATAAGGGGTGCAAGCAATCGCAATGCAGTCGTTTGCATTCAAATGTGAGCGTGTGAGCCAACCTTAAAAAGACACGCAAATAAAAATAAAAACTTTTTTAAAAGTATTTAGATGAGACGCAGATTTTTTTAATTTTTCCACAGAATTATTTTTTCTTTTGTGCAATATTTACGTTGTTAGACGCAGTTTAGGTGGGAGGTTACAGCCCTCGCTAAGCCCCGCCCACGGATCAGTGGCCCCGCCCACGGATCAGTGGCCCTGCCCATTACTACTGGATTGGCTGAACGCTCTCGCGAGCCTAGTTCCAACTTGTCGCGATGTCCGGTGCACCTAGTCTGGCGTCTGGTGCCGCCAGCTATACTTCGTTTCCCGATAACTTGGCGAACTGTGCTGGCTGCGGCTCCCGCAAGCCAGTAAGAGCGTGGGAGCAAGGCACGTAACAACACTTCCTGTTGTGACCACTTTTTGTGATAGGCTATTTATGGTCACAACTCAATCTATGGGCTTTAAGCATCCTAGAAAACCAAACTTCACATTCATGCGTGGCCGATTTCTCAATTAAACTCGGTGTCAAAAATTGATTACCTCGTAACTATTGCAGACACCAGAGGGCGCCGTTGCACCTTTCATTCGGTGGCACCTGTTGTCCGATGGCACATGAATGTAATGCACGGTTTTTTAAGATGCTTAGAGCCGCAGACTGAGTTATAACCATACAGTATTGCAGAAAGCGGTTCAGCGCCCCTTAAAGAAAAAATTGAAAAAGCGACTCTTGCCTCACCTGTCATACTTGTTCTCTTGGTCAACCTTGTACACCCGCTTCTGTTGGCGGGGGGCGACAACGGCCCTTTCCTGCTCTTGCGGCTTGGCCCCATGGGGTTCCTCCGGGGTCACGTGCTCCTGGGCCAGAGCTCCTAGGGGGACCACCCTGCACCCCACCCGGACAAACCCCTGGTTCACTCTGGCGGTATGCCGCAATAGACCCTTTTCAAAGGTGTATGTCATCTAGTAGCTGCTGCACTAATCATCCGAGTCTGCCACTGTTTGGGAATATATTCCGAGCGTGTATTGGACACGAAGGATGCACCTGCGTATGGCGTGAACTCGGCTCGGCTCGCATCAAAAACGAGCGCTGCATCGGCGTCTGGCGGGGACTCAGATCCAATCAAAGGCTTCATGCCCAAGGATGGATGGATGGACGTATGGATAATGTTAATGGCTATACCCTCTGTAATGGGCGGTAGCTTGCGCCAGCTGGCCTAAGTTTAAAAAAACTTAGGCTAGGTGGTGGCCAATGTTGCTAGACAAACTTCTGACAGGGTCAGTTATGTTTCAAAATCCTCTACACTCTCTTGCTGTGAGCCTGACTAGTGAATTGGAACTATCCTGTGGCTATGCTTTTCTGCTCTTTTCCCCGTTCCATTACATGTAGGTAGGGTTTGGTGTTTTAGCAGTTTAAGCAGATAAAGTGGAAGAAACGTATGGCAGGTTAATTTTTGGGGAATTTGGGTTTAATCAAAAAAAAAGGCCAGTATTTTAGAGTGGTACGGCACTGCTGATGGACATCTGGGGGTGGGGGGGAGGGGGGGTTGCCATTGTGTAATTGTATGACACGCTTCATTATTGACTTGTGATATTTCTTTAAGACCTCCTATCATACGCTAGGGGAGGGTTCTGCCATTAACGATAATAATATCTGGAGAAGGGGAACAAGGGGGACAGAGGACAAACACAAATAGGTGACTGGTGCGCAACTGTAAAAAAATCCCGCCTGGTCCTGGTATCGAACCAGGGACCTCTCCATTTTCAGTGGAGTGCTGTACCAACTGAGCTAACCAGGAGTTAGACGAGATCAGGCTTTGCATTTCAAAATTCGCGAGGCAAGCAAAAGGAAAACCATATACACACAATCTTGGGTTGAGCGCAGATATCACACATATCATCGAAATAAAAAAAAACACTTTATTTTTAGATAAAAACAAAAAATAAGCCAAATTTCAAAATATAAAGACCAAAAATACCAAACCCTACATGTAAGTGATTCTTAGCGCTGTTTTTGGAGTTAGCATATCACAGAAGCATGGTTAGGTGATTTTTCTGACAACAGAACTCGAGGAGCACAATCGGAGAGGTATTTGGGATGCACACACCGTCACTTTCTGGAGTCATTTTGGCTAGCCTTAATTCAGAATAACAGCTGGCAAGCATGCAAAAACGAGCACCCCTCGATGCTCCTTCATGTCACCAGCTGCCCTGCCTGGCGCAGTCAATCAGAACAAAACATTTTAACCAGACAGCTGGAACACCCCACCTCCCCACATAAAAGAAATGGAGGGTAAGGGTTCACTAGGATGAATTTTCGCAAGAGTTTGAGTCAGATAAACTGTAGAAGAGTAGTAAGCTGGGCGAGCTAGGCGAGCTGAGTAGTAAGCTGGGTTTTTAACCATGTTTAAGTCAGATGTGTAACACGTCAAACCACCCAATAGTCATGAAGTCGTAAAGAGTTTTTGACTTGGGGAAACTGCAGACTTGAGCATCTACAGCAGTTCGAATCTCAAACCATAGCAAAAACCTTGGAGAGAGATGCGACCTGCACGTGCAGTATGCAACACCTACATCCTACCAATTATTCATGAATTCTGGTCCATGTATAGCCAGATACGTAAGATTTATTGCAGAGCACTACGGCCATGTAAAGTTTTATATATTGATGCATAGCAGTTCCTGTTACTCTTAAGTCGCATATTTCTAAATACATTTTGTGTTCCGGAATCAATGGCATCACACATTTCTTTGACGCTTATCTCCGAAAAGACGAGTTCATACCGGACTCAGAATATCTCAAAGTTCAGGTGCGAAAGCGAAATACACAACAACGACCCAAGAGCTCGGGAACCAAATGAAACCTGGAAATACACTCTTAAACAAACACAAAACAAGAGAAAGGAAATAAAAAGTTGTGCATATGCTGAGGCCAGACAACACACTTCTCTGCCTCCCGATTCAGCCGAGGACGTTTGTTTCCCGCTTTTTTTTTTTGTCATCTTTGCTGGACAGAGAGTGTGTTGTGAAGCCATGCTTATGCCCTCTCTTCTTTTGTGAGGATTTTTTTGTGCCTGAATAATTAAGAAAGAGAATGAAAAGAAAAGAACATTTGGGAAGAGGAAAGTACCATACTTCTACCTTAGATTTACACATATGACATGTTTTTTTTTTTGTTTTTTTTTTATAGGCTTTAGCCTATATTTCCCTATAAGTGAGTGACATGATGCAGTAGCCCTCCTAAATAACAAATAACCTCAATGTATTGACATCTTTTATACAACATAGCCCCTCACGTGCATTCCAAAATGCGGACAAGCTGCCCCTACTCCTACCCTGAGGAATGTGGAAGCAACCATGCTTATGACATTGTAACTCACTGTTGAATGACAGGATAATTAAATACTGGCAACTCATGCCCTGCTCACTGGAGACTAGTGAGCAGTTGAAAAAAATTAGATGGTTCGGGCTTCAAGCCAAGGATTTCTCCATGACTAGTAGAGAGATGCACTAATCGCACTAGCCAGGTGGTTAGATGTTGGCAGAGTAAGCAGATGTTATCAGCCACCACAAATTTAAACCAAATCGCAAGACAGGGGTGAGCAGCTGGCAGTAAGTAGTTAGACGTCTAGGAAATTTGACTGCCTCTTTTCTACTTCACCTATGCTGTATGGCAAAATATGAGGTTGTATCACTTTAGAAGTTTAGATAAAGGCATGTTTCATTCATCCATTCGTTTCTTTGATTAAGGATTCTCGTGAGACCATCAGGGGAAGATGAAACGCACTAATGGTCGAAATGTGCTACAAGAGGCAATGTTTTCTAACATTTCCTCTTGTAGCACATTGAATAAAACCACGAACCCAATCCTAAAAGGAGGTTCCGACGTTTCAAAACCGGCTCAATCTTTTTCTTCAGGGCGACTATTTGCAGATAGGGACAGAAGCTGCTGTCCCCTATCTGTAGTAGTCGCCCTGCAGAAAAAATACCAAGCAGATATTGAAATGCCGGGACCTCCTTATAGGATTTGGTTGGTGATTTTATTAAATTTTCCAAGTTTTTTCCCAACCAGGCAGACCTCTGCCGAAATGTTTACATTAAAGAGGCAGTGTTGGACCATATTTGAAATCCTCCATATTTAAAGCGAATTGTGGATCACAATAGTCAGGCACTCCAAAGCAGCAAGGCTGCTATAATCTATAGTTCGCCAACAGTTATTAATGGCCTGCCAACAGTCCTTAAGGATGGAGGAACCCAGAGACCAGCCAAAGTTCTAAGCAAGCCCAGATTTAGTGGCTGCTACTGTGCCATTGATGATATTGCTTCCGAGCTTTGCTTTAGTTCTTCCTTCCTTTATCACCACACGATTGTCACCGTTCCAACTAACAAAGAGAAGAGGTGAGATTGGCCACCCTTCCCACGTTACACTGATTTTCTACTGTGAAGGCTATGCTTTCATATCCAGGCAAAGGTTGATTTATGGTGGCCGAATGCATTGCCCACATGAAGCAAAAGCTCTCAATGCGAAACCCAAGAGTCCTGAATTTGATCCCCACCCCTGCACATTTCAATTTAGAGTTTTAGACGAGCACCGTACCAGAGTGCAGTCGTGCATCACTACTGCATGGTGCGCGTTAAAGACCCAAGACCAGCACTTGTACTGCAATGGCTAAATTTCTTGTCTATAGCAGAAACACTAGATGCTCTTTGGGATAGACTAACTTCTCGCTGTACAGTCGCTTGCAGAGGTCGGCATTTTAGGTCGCCCTCACTCACCCTCACCCTCACAGCCACACTCACCTAAGCCCCTCACTCACCCTCACCCTCACAGCTACACTCACCTTCAGCACCTCACTCATCCTCACCCTCACACTCACCTTCAGCCCTTCACTCACCCTCGCTGAACCTCACGGCCCTCACGCACTCACCGCCCTCACGCCCCTCACTCACTCATGGCCCTCACGCCACTCACCGCCCTCACGCCACTCACCGCCCTCATGGCCTTCATGCACTCATAGCCCTCACGCCACTCACCGCCCTCACGGCCGTCACCGCCCTCACGCACTCATAGCCCTCACGCCACTCACCGCCCTCACGCCACTCACCGCCCTCACGCCACTCACCGCCCTCATGCCACTCACCGCCCTTGCGGCACTCACACCCCTCACCGCCCTCATGGCCCTCACGGCCCTCACAGCCCTCACAGCCCTCACGTCCCTCACGGCCCTCACAGCCCTCACCGCCCTCATGGGGCGATTTCGCCCAGAAACTTTACGTCGCAACACCAACAACACGGGCCGCCCGCGATCACACGCAGCAACCAATTGCTGCAATTTGCCATCGTCATCATAAAATTTTATTTTTCTTGCACTATTTCGACACAATTACGCGTTATAAACGTGTTTTTATGCATTTAAATCTCTTTAAGAATACTAATGCACCTTTCTGAAACAGTTTATTTCCAAAAAAAACGATAGATTTCAAACCAGAACCAAGTCTTTGGGAGTCATTATCACCGGCACGAGGTATCACGTGAAAATTTTGAGTCCCTGATTGGATGCAGCCGCTTCAAACGTATTCGAATTGCTCCGAGTTGCTTGCTTATTTCGAGCCGGACCCGATCTCAGCAATTCGTGTCGATCTAGGGAAAGCTAGAGAACAACCCGCCATTAACACCAAAATTGCTGAGAAAGATGCTCGATCTGAAGGGCGCCTCATGCACTCACCGCCCTCACGGCCCTCACGGCCCTCACGTCCCTCACGTCCCTCACAGCCTTCACAGCCCTCACGGCCCTCACCGCCCTCACGGCCCTCACCGTTCTCACGGCCCTCACGGCCCTCACAGCCCTCACGGCCCTCACCGCCCTCACAGCCCTCACGGCCCTC